ACTATCCCTGTTGAAGAGCAATTAAAATGCTTTCGTTGCAGCAACTCAAGTTGTAAGCAGAAATGTATTTCCGAGGTTGCGGATGATGGCAGAAGCGCTCTGAAAGTGGCCAACATTCTGACATAAAATCAAGATCACACTGTTATATTATTTCCTTATCACTAAATCTATCATTCTACCTTATTCAAACAGCTCACATCGGTTACTTTCAATATACGTAATAGACTAAAGAGTAAAGGGGGAGATTACTGTGTGATTGTCAAGTTTATCAGTGGGAGAACATATCAAAAGAGAAATGCCATTCCATAGCTTCTTTTATGGTCTGTCAGAGCTATAAGAGTTAAAAGTCCATTTAAAGCCAAAAAAGCATTTTTGAAATAAAGTGTCACCAAAAGATAAACTTACCCCACTAGTTCATAACATAGCTTATTTTACGGTTTTGCACCATTATTTTACTAGAATTTGAAACTATTGCAATGTTTTAGTCCTAAAACATTGATCAAAATATGAACTTTATATAATCAGTGGTATTTATATACTTGATCATCCGTCTCAATTGAATCATAACAACTGTATGTTAGGTAACACTAATCTTGTCCTAATTTAAGACGTTTAAAGGAACTCCACTGAGGTCCAAAACACTAAAAAAAACATTTGAATTTTCTACATAGATCAGCTGTGGAATTTAAAACAGAAATATATGCAAATAGAAATATACTCAGGAATGAATTGAAAATAATATTTTTGTGTTATTCTCAGCTCTATTTCAGTGAAAAGCGTTGCAACGGTTTTCAATTGTGAGTCATTTCTGGAAAAAAAAGTTATTCTGGAAAAACAGAGTGAGGGAATGATCTTAGATTTTGCACACAAGTTATTTGTCTAGACCTATATCAAAGAGAATATTTATCTCAAAAATTTGTTTCCAGTCCCTTCATGTCAAACAACCTCAGTGGAGTCCCTTTAAAATTAAACTCAACTTGGTTTTGCTTGTTACTCCAATGTTACCACATGGTCAGCTGACCCAGTTAACCAGCTTTACTGGTTAACTAATCAGTAAATATCAATTTCTCTACTCGTGACCTACTTCTAATTACCAATCAACAGTGAGAGACAAATGACCATTAGACTCAATGTCTGAGCTCAACTGTCCGGTGTAATAATGAAAGTTAAACTATGTATATCATTACAATTTTATTCTCCTATTACAATATATAATATCAAAACTGTTACTGAAGACAGAACACAAAGCACATTATAATAATATAAAGAAATTTAACAATATGTACATTGTACATACACCATATAATAACAGCTAAAGGCTGAGTTAAAGTGACACTATGCCCATCCATGTGTATATGGTGAGTACACAGTTAAAAGTCAAAACAACATTACATTTTGCTTTGTGTTAAAATTTGTATTTTACTTTGAAAAATAAACACTAATCCATCAGACTGACTGATAAAAAGATAACATTTTAAGTCCCTGTCGAAATTTATGGACAGTAATGTTCAATTTCTTAGAGTGGGGGCAGTCTTTTTTTTATAATATTTGTAGTTTTAAACATTTTTCATTTCAGTAATTAGTCGATCACCATTATAACAGTCAATCTCTTGAAATATACAGTATTACTAATTCAACTTGACAGGAAAAACAAGATTGCATTTGAGAAAAATGCTATGCCACCGCATTAATACAACACTAAATAGTAGTGTAGGAACAGATTTTTTTGGTTTCTATACAATTTTGAAGATTGTCATAATGCATAGATGCCTGACCTATCTGATTCCTATTATCAGATTAATTCAAAACAATCTTGATACAGGTCCACCAAACAATTATAATTTGAACAATCTTGGTAAAGGTTCCATATAAGGAAAACCTATAGCCCCAAGGGCGGGGCTAATTTTGACACTAGAGGGAAAATATGAACAACTTTCGTAGAGTACCTATAGATGAAATCATTTAACAAATATTAAAGCTCTAAGCCTTGTACCTTCAGACAATAAGATTTGTGATTTTTTACTATATGTATATATTGAAAATCAATGACCCCCGAGCTGGGGGCAAATTTGACCCAAGAGCTATAATTTGAACAATCTTGCTAGAAGTTCACTTCACAATGTTTCATGCAAAATATCTAACCTCTAGCATTTGTCAGTTGCTAGAAATTTTTTTTTAAAGTTTTTACTATAAGTTTTTACTATATACATATAAGGAAAACCAATGACCCCCGGGGCGGGGCCGATTTTGACCCCAGGGCTATAATTTTAACAATCTGGGTAGAAGTCTACCTGACAATGCCTTATGCAAAATATCTAAGCTTTAGGCCTTTTGGGTCTTTACAAGAAGGTATTTTAAGTTTTTACTATATGTACATATAGCGAAAATCAATGACCCCCAGGGCAGGGCTGATTTTGGCCCCAGGGCTATAATATGAACAATCTTGGTAAGGGTCTACCAGACAATGCCTTATACATAATATCTAAGCTCTAGGCCTTTTGGGTCTTTACAAGAAGGTATTTTAAGTTTTTACTATATGTACATATAGTGAAAATCAATGACCCCCGGGGCGGGGCCGATTTTGACCCCCATGCTATAATTTGAACTATCTTGGTAGAGGTCTACCAGACAATGCCTTATGCAAAATATCTAAGCTCTAGGCCTTTTGGGTCTTTACAAGAAGATTTTTTAAATTTATTCTTATAATACCTTTTGGTTGACATGGCAACCAGATTTCTGCATGGAATGAAATTCTTTGAACAACTTTGGAAGCCCTTCACCCAAGAATCAATCCTGCCAAGTTTGGTTGAAATTGGACAAGTGGTTTTTCACAAGAAGATTTTTTAAGTTCACTATATAATCTATATAACACACACACACACACAAACAAACACACAGGTGAATCGCTATATGCCACCGCATCGCAGATGCTGTGGTGGCATAAAAATAACATGTAGTATAATGTCACTTTAAAGTTCCTTATTATCAGACATAGCCCTATCCGTTATGATAACTTAGGTGGACTTGTACCATCATTAACCCGAATATTGTCCTGCTTTGAATTTGGAACAGTCCATTCAAAACTTAAGGGATTTTAATACCAAAATACAAAAAAATAGCATAATTAATACCAACAGTGAAGAATAGCCTAGTAAGATTGCACTAATATACAGCTTGGCCTGTCTCTATACAAGTGGCAAAGGCTAATCACTTTTGGTTCCTCAAATCTAGGTTGCTACGGAAATATATATATATATATTTGTTTGTATAGAATGCCATTTAAAGGGTGAAATACATGTCTATTGTATATACTTAAACCAAGAGTGCCAGTTAAGGTAATAGAATTACAATATTTTCTATAAAAATAGCCACAGACTTTATCAAAATTTACAAACATTTATATTTCTTTCAACTTTTAGCACTTTGGGATGATTTTCACTAATATACAATGTTTCATGGTCAATCCAGTATAGATTTATATATCCTTTACCATAATATAACTTGAATTTGGACTTCACATAAGCTTATTATATTCTTGGTTATGAAACTGAAAAGAATTTCATATGATATTAAAATGTCTAATGCAAATAAATCTTTTGTAATCATTTTACTCTGTAATAGCCAGAAACAAAAATCTCTTAAAACATATTTTGAAGTAAGTATGAAATAGTATAGAATGGTACCTTTTCTACTCAGCCTCTATCTTTAAATAGTAACACAGAAACTCTGAATCATGTTGTAATGATAAATATGTAATTGTAAAAATAAAGCACATAGTCAAACCAATACCACTTAAAGAAGCACATAGTCAAACCAATAAAACTTGGTTTTGTTTCAAAACATGATTGAATTTTAAACATAGCGTTCTTTACACACATGATTTTGTTTGAGTAACATAATATCCATAGAAATTAGGGATGGCAACGAGTAACCGGTTAACCGAGTACTCGATCGAATGTCCGAATATCGGTTAACAAAATTGATATTCGATTACTCGGGAAAAAAAAATAATTTCTACTTTTTTGCCATTTAGTAAGATTAGTTCAGAAATTCGGAAATGTACAGGTATCTGTATAAATACTTGTTAAGTGCAATCAAAACATCCTTGCAGAGGTGTGAAAATGATATCGTAAGTTTAACGATGCGATCAGATCAGCAGTTTGACACGCGTATGAGATTGAACACAGTCATGTGTCGTTTACGTCATTCGGCCTCTTATGATATTTAATCACCTTTAAATATTAGACAGTTTGTAGCCGAAACTTGTTAATTATATAAACGTGGTGGAAAAAATGATATCTTACGAGACCGAAGGTCGAGCGAAATATCAATTTTCCAACATTGCGAGTAGAAAAATGCATAGGCTACAACATAATTTTCCTTTTATTATATACCTTTTCGTTTTAATTATAAATCGTTTTCATTATACCACACTTCTATAAGAAATTTCAGAAAATGAAATGTAGCTGTCAAGAAATAAATTTATGACCGACGGATGAATACGTAATTTTTGCAAAAACGTACACGCCTTACAATTCCTTATATAATTTTGGTTTCCCTTTTTTCCCAAATGCTAACGTTTAATACCAAGCTAAGAAAGGAAAACCAACGCAAAAAATAGTCCGGCAATTTCCATATATGGTACCGTATTTGTCCACTCTTTGTCAAATACGGAATTTTTCTATCCATTGGGAAGCCGTATTGCGCTTCAATTCAATGGGAGAAAATTTGTAAGTAAAAATATAATGCTGTCTTGACATTTCCTTATGTTTATAATTTATATATTTATTTTTGCAAGTCCCTAAAATTATAGTAACCTGTTATGAAATTCTATGAAATTAAAAGTAGAAAACGAAAGTGCAGAGACGGTGTTTGATATTTGTGGGATAAAAATTTAAAAATTCATTGGAAAATCAAATCCGATAACCGAGGTACTCGAAGCGGAAAATGACCGAGTACTCGAGTATTGATTTTAGTATTCGTTGCCATCCCTAATAGAAATACAAAATATAATAACAACAAATAATCTGTATAGCACATTTAACAAATTCACTCCTCTTCCTCAATCACTAATCACAGTCCCTCTGCCTTATTCATTTCAACACTTTTTCCATCGCATCTGTTTCAACTCTTCCTCAACCCCAATCCCTAACCTCTTTCCCTCTTCCTCAACTCCAATCCCTAACCTCTTTCCCTCTTCCTCAACTCCAATCCCTAACCTCTTTCCCTCTTCCTAAACCACTATCTCTTAACCTCCATCCTCTTGACTCTTCCATCCTCTACCTCAACCACCATCACTCTTTACCTTCCCTCAACCCCAGCCTTTTCAACTTCCAAACCCCAACTCCCCTGCACACACTTGATACACCTGATACACCAGAAAAAAACAATCCCTTCTTTAAAATACAATAACACAGTAGAAAAAAGTCAAACACTGTCACAGTAGAAAAAAGGCACACTTCTTCACATTTTTCACTGACAACAATGCAATGAATCCTTCATTTTTTCTCAAATTTCAATATCTAAATCATATGTTAACATGCAAGTGAGAGGACTAATATAAAACTTCACTAAACACAAACGTAGCACATTACAAAATTTTCATAGCACTTTTCAGACAATTATCACTTTCTCTTATCCACAAGATCACTTCTTATTAACATCTTCAGTTATTTTTTGAATTGCACAGTAGCAAAATCATGTTTTATAACATTGTTCTGATGTAATCAAATATTTTCATACACTGAATACATGTCTAATGACCTTGATATTTGACATTAAATAACTTTGATATTTGACATTTAAAAATAACATCATAAATTGAGATCCTTATATTTAACTTTTCATTGCACTTTCTAGACTTTCTGATACCAGTCCCAATATCTGATAACCTTTCAATGGTAACGACCTTGGTTATTGTAACCGGGACGACCTTGACCTCCTGGCTGTTGACCTGGATACATTACCTGCTGCAAAAGAGGAATACATTATTGTACAATAATCACTATAAAACCCGGAACAGTCCATTCTACTATCATAATTTTAGTGTACATTTTTTGTACTACTTCCATATTCAATATTACAAACCATTTTCTTCTAACACTGATATGATCGGTATTAATATGGCAGAAATTGACATCAAAATATCAGGGAACAAACCTAAAGTGATCATCTGGTTGCTTTTGGCAACAAGGTTATGGTCTGGTAGTAAATATGGAAGACAAAAGAAGACTTTTTAAGTGAAACCTGTATATGTCCCCCTTATTCCCAATTGATTTCCTAATCACCGGTGAGATGTCTAAGATCAATGTCACAGAGATATTTCGCCTGACTGGAGGATCAAACCAGGGACCCCTGGATTGCAAATTCCATGCTCTCCCTATTGATTTAAGCGGAAGGACAACTGTACCTGCAAGCTTCTCCATATTTTAACAAGAGCGATCAGTAATCACATGTGTCGCCTCATGATGGCCAATTTCATGTTGGGACAAATTTTGTGACAGACGGACTGACAGACAGACAGTGCACAACTAGACTTTGTACTGATCATTCCTGTAAAGTTTGGATAAAATTGCACCAGTAGTTTATGAGGAATAGTCCGGACAAGCTTTTGCGTATCTGGCAACACACAGAAAAAAACACCTTTTTATCAAAGGGCCATAACTCGGCCAAAAATCATTCAACCGAAAAACCCGTGCAATATGTGCAAGGACTTGAGCTACAGATCAATCCTGTAAAGTTTCATTGAAATTGCATTAGTGGTATAAGAGAAGTAGTCTGGACAAACTTTAAAAATAACAAGAGCTGTCCGTAAGACAGCGCGCTCGACTTTTTTATTGCTTGCCAATAAAAAAAGTTTTTGCAGTAAAAGGCAATACAAGAATCTCTGTATTTTTAAAGTGAACAATGGCCATGAGCATTTAAGATATTTAGTGAAGAATTAATTTTACTGAATTGTGTGATAATAATAATTTATGGTAAAGTGAACAAGTGGATAGGAATGAATTTTTTTTAGATTTTTTAAAGTTTTTTTTAGTGCTTGCCTATAATACAAAACATTGACAGTTAAGGGCCATAATTCAAATAAAATCTTTGACAGAATTACCTTCTCCTGGACATGTTTGGGAATCATGATTGTAAACAAGTATTCCAACTTTCAAATTAATATCTCAAACAGTTCAGTCAAAAAGTGGACTGGTAAAAACTTAAACCAAGATTCTAAGTCGATAAAAGGCCTTAATTTTTAAAACAAAATCCTTGACAGAGTTACCTTCTCTTGCGTACAGATGGGGGTAATGATGTGAAATAGCATTAAAGTTTTCAAAGCAATATCTCAAAATGGGTTAAGGCAATAAGTGGAATTTTACCCATATTCAATGTATTTTCTAAGTCAAAAGGGGCATAATTCTGTCAAAAACCTTGACAGAGTTATGTCCTCTTGTCTGTTGATGAAGGTCGTGATGGTAAACAGTATGGTCAGTTTCAAAGCAATACCTCCAATGGTTTTTGAAATAAAGTGAAGGTGGTACAAAAAACTTAACCAAGCTCAATACACTTTCTAAGTCAAAAAAGGGCCATAATTCTGTCAAAAACCTTGACAGAGTTATGTACTCTTGTCTGTAGATGGAGGTTATGATGGTGAACAAGTAATGGTAAGTTTCAAAGCCATACTTGTAATACTTCTGAAATAAAGTGGGGTGGTACGAAAAACTTAACCAAGGTGTGACGCCGACGCCGACGCCGGGGCGAGTAGGATAGCTCCCCTTTTCATAGAAAAGTCGAGCTAAAAATTATTAAAGGGCCATAACTCAAACAAAAATCATTGAACCGAAAAATGCTGACAATATGCACAACTAGACTTGGTACTGATCATTCCTGTAAAGTTTGGATGAAATTGCACCAGTAGTTTATGAGGAGTAGTCCGGACAAGCTTTTGTGTATCTGGCAACACACAGAAAAAGAAACCTTTTTTATCAAAGGGCCATAACTCGGCCAAAAAATCATTCAACCGGGAAAACCCGTGCAATATGCGCAAAGACTTGAGCTACAGAAATCAATCCTGTAAAGTTCATTTGAAATTGCATTAGTGGTATAAGAGAAGTAGTCCGGACAAACTTTAAAAATTAAAAATTATTAAAGGGCCATAACTCTGACAAAAATCATTGAACCGGAAAATCCTGACAATATGCACAACTAGACTTGGTACTGATCATTCCTGTAAAGTTTGGATGAAATTGCACCAGTAGTTTATGAGGAGTAGTCCGGACAAGTTTTGTGACGGACGGACGGACGGACAGACAGACGGACAGACAGACGACGGAGAAGTGATCCCTATATGTCGCCACTACTCCGTAGAGGCGACACAAAAATGTCTTGAATTTGCCATGATGGACATATAACACAAACATGATTTCTTCATACCATGCTCTTGACACCAAAACTTTTAATATTAACCTTATCTAGCCAGCATAAAAACCAGTACATGCCGAATTCATAAAGCCATACTTCACAGTTCTACACATTTTACCCAAAACCTGCTAAATTTCTTATATGAACATGTTCACCATCCATTATATGAACCTGCCCCTAATATATTTTGGGGATATCAGAAAAAAAAAATGTAGTTGGTCAGTCAACAGTATTAAGACTGTTCAGACAGCACTAATGTGCAGACCGGCCTGATTCTATACTGGTGGCACATGCAAGTTGCAAGTTATGGGTTAAGAAAAGCTAGTACCTGTGAGCTACTTGGCTGGTATGAACTTGTTGGTGGTGCCTGACTTCTCGCAAATCCAGTTACTATGCTTCCCTGTTGGATTTAATAAAATTATGTTAAACACCTTCACATTAAATACCAAAGTCAACACAGTTAAACATTTGTATTGAGAAAGTCTTTCAATAAAAAATATATACATGTATGCAACATCCAACATCTACCTGACTTGAAAAACCTTGCATGAAAAACATGGCATAGCTTATTTGACCTAAAAAACCTTGCATAACTTACTTTACTTGAAAAACCTTGCATAACTTATTTGACCAGAAAAGCCTTACATAACGTAATTGATTGGAAAAACCTTGCATAACTTATCTGACCTGAAAACCCTTGCATAACTTAATTGACCTGAAAAAAACTTTGCATAATTTACTTGACTTGAAAAACTTTGCATAATTTAATAGTAATTGATAGATCCCTATTCTTGCAATATTTAGCTCCGTTGACAAAAGTGGAAACTACATCTGGTTTCAATATTCAATATACAACATGTACTTAGTTGCCAAAATTTTAAAACAAGCAAAACAACAGGATATTTGGGTGGCTTGTCAATTTACTAAACTTGTTTGAAGGATTTAAATAAATACTGTTAACAAAGCTTTATATAAACGTCACTCACTCTTCCAGGCATTTCCTGCTGTAAAGATATTGGTAACATTCCTGGCTGCTGACCCTGTATGGGGGCCACACCCCTTATCTGTGCTGGCTAAAAGACAATAGATAAAATTAAATTACATCTTAACACACATGTGTTGTGTAGTGGCTGAATGTTTAACTCTTCAGACTAGTAATCTAAGGATTGCTGGTCATGTTGGGTTCAAATCCCATCAGGGGCAAGCCTTGTTTCTGTGCGCAAGAAACTTAACGCTCATTGCTTAGTACTGGCTAGTTCCAGGTACAGATTCGAGTACATTTCAATCTAACTAAAATAAATTTGTATAAACTAATACGCTATCATTTCAGCAACTTTATTGAATCTATACACGCAGATATGTTTGTATTCAGTAGTAATAGCATATGATAATAGCATATGAGATATGAAACTACTAGCAAAAGATTAACAAAGTGATAAAACTAGTACCAACAGCAGGGAGATTAGGATGATTTCAATTTTCTTTGAAAAGTCCAGCTAATAAATTTATGTTATATCAGCACATTCAGCCATATCAAAATTATTCAGTACATAAAAATGTCACACTTTACAAGATATTGAGCAATACATGTACTATAATTGTGTAAAAAAAATCAAATCCCCTCAAAGTGAATGTTTCTTTCAACCTGAAGACAATTACAAAGATTTACAGTGAAATTAATTGAATACATTTATCAAATCAAATTACCTGCTGCATTTTATATTTCTCGCCTTCATTAAATCCTGCTTTCTCATTAGCATGCTGCAGTTGCTGTTGTAACGGAATGTTAGCAGAGTGTGGTGATGCTAAATAACCTGAAATGTAAGTAAACAAATGAGCCGCGTCATGACAAAACCAACATAATGGGTATGCGACCAGCATGGATCCAGACCAGCCTGCGCATCTGCTGGTCGCAAACCCATTATGCTGGTTTTGTCATGGCATGGCTCAAATGTTTGTTTGTTTTTCTTTCTTTTTTTTTTCTTGCTGATTTTAGCATGTTTTGGGTCATATCTTGGCAGTCAATCCACCTAACTGGCTTTCCTGGATAACTTACCCAATAATTTCTAAAGAACCATAAATATTGATAGATCCCTAAGCTGACCTTTTATTTGAATAACAATATAGTTAACCACAAACATTGACAAGTGCTCTTTTGTTAACAAATATGTTGTGGTGAAATTTTTATTGTATCCACTAATCTGATAATTAGAATTAAACAGGTCATGAATCTATGCATTGAATATTGATATTTGACCAATCGATTTGCAGGTATAACAATGTAAAATATTACTAAAAGTTGCAGAAACTAACAAAATCCCTGTATTAAATTGAAGGAAAATTTAGCACGTCTATTTTTTTGTGTGATATTCATTTTTTTGCACAAGAATATAGTGAAAATAAGATACTCGCGAAAAAAACCTGATATACGGTATATAGAAAAAGTTAACTTGAAAGTATGATGATTGTGTGAGAAATAAGAAAATATCAGTAAAAAGGTTTATAAGCTATACCTGGCTGTTGAAGTCTTTGCATTTGATAAGCAGCCGGGTACTGTTGTTCAGGTATAGTTTTTTGATGTTGAGCATAATGACTTGGGTAGGTGGAGAAAGCCGACTGGCTAGCTGGTTGGTATTTTCCCGGGGTCGGCTTACAAGTGGAGTACGACACTGTAGATTGCTGAAACGAGTGTACCGGTTGGGAAACGAAGGTCACCTGACCTTGTTGAGCTGGTGCAGGGTATGTTCCTGATTCTGTTATGAAACAATAAGGTTATATATGTTACAGAAACTTTAGAAAATATATGTTTGGATTTTCACTTCTGAATGTGGAGAATTGTTTTTGCAAATACTAATAAAATCTGTCATATGTTGCGGTTCGGATGGGAATATCTGTCCTGAGGGGACCCTGCCCAGGGGCGGTAACTCGGCTTATTTGAACCACAAACATATGTCAGATATTTTGTCTTGCATTTTTTGCCATATTATTTCAAACGTTAACCTCAATAAGATATTTTTTTCATGGAAATTAATTTCATTTCATCTATAATTATTTTCTTACAATACCGTATGAATTTACAACTTTAATAACAACGGTGAAACGAAGTCATCCTAAGCTGATAATTCCCTTCTAAAATGACGTAATTTTAACGAGCTTCATTCACAAATTTCTCTAAAAATGATATTTGGTTTTGTGCAGATTGAAAGATAGGTATGTCTATTTAAGATCCTAAGCATTTTACGGATTGAGTTCAATATCACACATTTATTCCAGTCATATTGAAAACTTAACTTCATTATTGGAGGAAGGAGGCCCTAAGTCATTTGTGTGTTGTAGAATACTTACTAAAATCTTGTGCAGAATGACTATACATTGCAACAGCCTTTTTGCTCTCATATGGATGCTGGTAACCAGATGTTGGCGTAGGGGACGGACTTCTTGGTCTCTTCATTGGAACATTCGGAACAGACTAAAATAGCAAGGTCTCGTTTAAGCACTATCGCAGCATTATGATAAGCCTCTACATTTGTACACATTTTAGTGAAAATTTAAACAAATAGTAAAATTACCAGGTATTGTGAAGAGAACAAATATAAAGTAATTTAGAATCATAACAGAATGCACTAATAAACCACATAAATTACCTTAATTGTGTTAAAATATATAATAATAGCTCTTATAAAACATGGTGATAAAACTAGACAAGAGCCAAGCATGTAGTGTTAACACTTGTCTGTTATGGGCAACGATTATCAATAAACAATTTTTATCTATATTCAAGTTATAAAGGGACAGGACTAAAATTATTCTACTTAGTAGGCAATTTTGACAATAAGTCCAAGTTAAAAAGGGGCATAACTCCAAAATTTAAGCTTTCAGACTTATGCTTCTTGTGTTACAACTGTATCTAGCCATGATGAGCAAGTACTCCAAGTATCGTGTTGCTATCTTTTAAAATGTTTGAATAATTGACTTCATTAAAGGTTTTTCATGATGACTATGACAACAAAACATCAGAGATCATAATGCTCAACTTTTTCTTCAAAACAGACAAGCTAACAAGAGCACTGTATGTGGTGTATGATCATCTGTTGAAATAACCACTTTAACAAAATTTCTAAGTTAAAAAGGGGCATAACTCAAAAATATACAACTTTTAGAATTATGCCCCTTGTCTAGTAACTTTCCCTTGTCATGAGAAGCAAGCATTTCAAGTTTCATATTGTTACCAATACCTTTTAAATGTTTGAGTAATGGGCTACATTAAAGTTTTGCATCAAAAACAACAACAATGACCACAACAACAATGCAACAATCATAGCTACAAAATAGAGTCATACATGGATTGTGCCTATTTTAACATGTCTTCAGTTGTTACATATTTTTGTAACTTTTGATTTTAAGCAACTTTGTTCACTTGTTTGAACGAATGCAGCTTTTACCATGTCTTTAAATTAATATTTTCAGAAATAACAAAAAGCACAATATCAACATGACTGAATTATGTAAATCATATGTAAGTCAAATCTGTGATAATCTATATTCAGACTTACTGTAACTGTTATCATACTCTGTGTTGGTCTGTACATGGTAGGCCGTCCTAGATGCATCGAATGAGCTGACACTGGAGGCATTGCCGGGTGAGTGTATGGTGCCTGAACACTCATTAATTCACTGCAAAACACGTACAATACACTTGTTTAACAGTTTTTTCAAGTACCCTTTCACAGTCATTTTAGCAATATTTTATAAGGGAAGTGGTTGCCTAGTGCTTAACGTGCCTGTCTCTCAACCAGGGATCTTGGGTTTGAGCCCTACTTGGACCATAAACTTGGTTTTTCAAGTATCCACATACTGCCAGTTTTCAATCACAACCACTTTTCAATCATCCCTAGAATTTTTTTATTTTTGACCTTATTTGTCATGTAACCAAACTGTAAGCACATCTTGTATTCACCTTGACTAAATTTATCAGCAGCAATGTCATTATGGCGATAAAAAAGAAAAAATGCTAGCATTTTAGTTCAAAATATGTAAAATGTGTGTTTTCCACTAATCCTTTATTTACCCAGTTACAAATCACAATAATTTTCTAAAAATAATGATTTACAGACTCAGTTTTTGTCAGTCTGCAGAAATGGATATTAAGTTTGAAAACTGTTTCATATCATGAAGTCATAAATGTATACTCGCACTTCAAAAGCTGTAATTTTAATATGTACATATTCTACTATACAGTTCTTAATGGAAGGTAATACATCAGTAAAGTAACAGTCACTTAAACAAGAAAAAACATTCTCTGTGATAACTTTTCAGTAAGCAGTCACTAGAATGGGGTCATATAGACCCTAAGATCCTAAAAATTTCACAAGAACATGCTTTTTCTGTTATGCAAATTGAAATGTACATTCATACCACAATTGTGACAGCTATACCACAGCAAATAGATATCTAGATTGAAAAATGGCATTATAATTAGGTTAAAATTGTTTATTACCATTTATCTGAAGTTGAGTTAGTCAAAATTTCTCCAAAATACAGAACTAATTATATTTTAACATTGTATGACAATTTTTATGTGGTACAGTTTATATTTTGTTAACTGATTGAAAAGTGGTTGTGAAATTTTGAAGAACAGGAAAGTGGGTCAGTAATGATTTGTCCTCGATTTATAGTTATAATTCAAGTAAAATTTTAAAAAGTTGGTGCATTAATTAGCTGAAAAGATAATATTCTCAGAATTGAAAGAGAATTTTTTTATATATAATTTCACTGTCAGTTATTGTTGAAAAATGTGTTAGCTGATCGGAAAGAGGCAGTACGGGGATATGTCATCTACTGGCCAAGACCAATGTACCTGTAAAATTTCTTTCATTTTTTGTTGTGCAGTTATTGGTTGGAAACCCTTTAGACATACACAGTCAATTTGGCCTTGTCCCCTTGATCCAAAAATCAATATGAGTCATAAACTGGCCAAGACCAATGCATGTGTGAAGTTTGTGGGCCAAGAGCTCATGGGTTGTCAAGTTATTAGTCAACCCTTTAAACATAATAGGTCAATGTGAACTTGACCTTTGACCCCAAAATCAAAATCTACATCATATTTTCTTTTAGTTGATTTCTGAAACAGACATGTTTTTGTATCTCTGTCTCTGCTTCTTTTTCTTTTCATTTATTTACCTTTGCTCCTTTAGTTGAGTTCTTTTCCTCGTTTCATCCTCCTGATGAAGAACTTTCTTTAATTGTGAGAACAGTTCGTGTTTCTCTGATCCTAACTGTTCCAGCTTCTTTTCTAACTGTGATATCTGCAATATTTAGGTTAAGTATGATGTTAAATAACGGCATCACATGACAGCATTTTAGTCTGCATATACCACCTGGAAATTATCTGTCAACTGTTTCTGGAATATATACCCATTAATGATCCATTTTCCAGCACAGTGATTTCATCGTAAACTTTACATCATAACCTTTATGAGTAAAAAAAAACAATGTTTTATAACACACACATTACCTATACCACATGTCTTTGTGATAGGGCAGAAAACTAATACAACAGACAGTTGGGGGTTTACAATTTTCTGCCATAACTTTTCTAATATTTCATGGGATAAAGTAAAAAGTCCCACTCATTCTATTAAGAAACCCATACATAGAATGTTTCCTGGATTTTTATTTTTTCATAAGGTGAATCAACATGAATCTCTAATAGTTCGGGCACATGGTTTCACTTTCCATAAAAATACTGGTTTTTCCCCTAGATCATTCCATGTATGTGTTTCCAAATTTCTTACAATTTTTTCCTTACGTTCGGTAGTTTACAAGAGATTTGACAAAAGGGATTCTATTGCCACTTATACAAATGGTTTATATTTCAAATATCATCAGCTATTTTTTTGGAAACACATTTATAGTCACTTTAATATTTTAATGCAAAAGAAATGCACAATTCACAATGTACCCACTACTTTAATGCATGTATCTATAAATAAATTACTTGTTCTTTTGTCTGTTCTATAGTGAGATTGTTATCTTCTTCTTTCTTCTTCTTCATCTCTCTTTCCTTTCTCTGTTGCTCCAGCATAGCATCTTGTTCTTGCTCAGCTGTTAAAGGAACAAAACAGTTTGCTTAAAGGCCCATTATACCCCCTAAAAAATCTATTTTTGTTCCAGCATAGCATCTTGTTCTTGCTCAGCTGTTAAAGGAACAAAACATTTTGCTTAAAGGCCCATTATACCCCCTAAAAAATCTTTTTTTTTTTACTAAAAAACATTTTTTAGTTTAGATGTCCTGTTATTAATTCCACAGAAGTAATCATTGGCTTTATAGCTGAACCATCAATTGTCTTACTTTTCTGCATGTTTTTTCAGGATAACATAATTAAACATTCCCTTACCATTAGCATTTCGCTGATTAGCACAATCCATTTTTCAAAAACCAAAGAAACAAACTTAAAACTCAATCGAAACTTTAACAATTCAAAAGTATGCAGTAAAATGTCAAACATTATTCAAGAAAGAAATTACTAAAACTGACATTTACATGTTGCACTTTTTTCTTATAGTACCATATGAATTTACAACTTCATTCATAACGGCAAAATGATATCATCCTAAGAACCCAATTCATTCCTAAAAGGCGCACAGGAATGACATCTTACATGGGGGTGTAAGACAGATTTTTCTAGCACCGGTGTAAACAGTAGAGAATCCTGTCTGATATGCAAGAAACTACAAGACTATGCTTGTATAAAATTTTTATGCATATGGGCTATTGTGATAACATGCACATTTTACTTCTAACCACAGTATCATGTATTGCAAGATTACGCAACTTAACTTCTATCATTTTTTGCAATCACAGGAAGTTAATGTGTTTCTTCACAGTAAGCCTGTGTTGTAAAAGACTATAAAAATATTTGTAAATCTCGAACCTTGTTTTTTTCTCTCACGTTCACTAAGTATATGTCGTTTCAGTGTCTGATACATTAGCTTTGTCATCTTTGGCCGCTCCAATAACGCTGGCATTTTCAATTACACCACTGTAATAACAACAACAAAAATTGTGTAAAATATAGCCACGTCATTCTTACAAGATAATACTGATTTGATCTTTACTTAAATACTTGCAAAATGATATGAGCCGCGTCATGACAAAACCAACATAATGGGTTTGCGACCAGCATAGATCCAGATCAGCCTGTGCATCTGTGCAGTCTGATCAGGATCCATGCTGTTTGCTATCAGTTTCTCTACTTGTTAGAGGGTTTGTAAGCGCACAGCATGGATCGTGATCAGACTGCGCAGATGCGCAGGCTGATCTGGATACATGCTGGTCGCAAACGCACTGTGTATTTTGTCGTGGCGCGGCTCATATTTTGAATTTATCAAACACTCAAAACTGAAAGTAAAACAGGAGGAACACACGCCAAACTTTTTGCTTTTCTCAGAGTCATGGGTAGTTTAAAACTGTGAATGTCTGTATGTATGGTGAAAATATGCATCTAGTGTACCACTAATTCTGGCTTCCAAAACATTACAGGCCGCTTTATAACATTTTTTGTTTTCCATCTGAAAGTTAAAGTTTTGTGTCAGACCTGTTATGAAACCTTACCAGAATAACCTATGTTGATTTAACCTTATTTTTCAAATACCCTTGTCCAAAATAATTCTTGTGCATTTTGCGATTTATAATACAATTATTTTATGATCATTCTATATCATTTAAAGTATCAAAATATTAATACTGACATTAAAATTGCCTATTTACTGTGAATTTTCAATTACGCCGACAACAGTCGACTATGACATTGTGGAAGCTACACGAGACCTCGTATGATATAATTCGTGGGAACCAATTTACAGTAGTCATGTTCTATACTTTGAACATCTTTGTTGAAATGATTTCAATACTTATAATTCAAGATAATGTTTTAATTTATTTTTACTTAAATAAAATTATATTGAATACAAAAATTCAGTAAATCACCTTTTTCAATATCTTAAAAAAGTAATTTATAAAAAGGTTAGAAGCACATGGGTCCTGTTTTCTTAACAGTTAACTGACTGCTCAAATTAACCCATAAAGGTCAATCTCGTAATCCATGGTCAAACATTTTGGCAATATGGTGGCCAAGTGCTGAATTTTTTAACCTGTCGGAAACTAATAGGTAGTTTATGTTCGTTATCTACATCTACATAATACCGCTTCAAAATCGTTTTTACGATTACACTAAGCAGGTATACAGTGAATTGAGAGACAGCTATGAGATACAAGGGAATCCGGGAACCAGTCCCTAGCTCTTATTGAATAGATCCCTTGGTTCTTTACATGCCCAGTGTATAGCACTGATACATGCAAGGATTACCTGGATTTCTTTATAGTGCACCTTTAGGTAGGTGAGAAACACTGAGAAAGTCTCTGAAAAATCCCAAGGATGTTACCCAGGATCAAACCCCGGACCTCAGGGGTGACAGTCAGTGGTCTAAGTTCTAACCAACTGAGCTATCGCGCCATCCCATATGTAATAAGTTTTTTATAAGTCCATCCTTGGGTATGCTAGCTTCACTTTACTTCATGACATGCTCAATGAATAAAAACGAGTGTGTTAGGATCCTGACACGATTATTGGTGGACTTTCCCTATGGGTCTCTCTTCAGCATTCACATCATGTCATGGAATATAAACGAGTTCGCTGAAGACCTTAAGCTAGTGTACCACAAGGATATCCTTTCTACATTTGTACTGTTCTATGGCATCGTTCTATGCAGTTTGCCTGATTTGTCACGAGGAACACGTCATCAGCTATGCTTGCAAACATATTTTTTATTATTTTATTGTCGATGATAGCACAATAAGGACTTTCAAAATGTTATATATCTGGCTTACTTTTAATGTAATTTCAACTGAAAGGAGTGTCCGACAACTACTTCAGTTCATTTAGATAATTTCTGGCTAATTAAACAAGGCATGCAATGATTTCTTGATGTTTAACAAATCTAACTTATAAAGCATGAAAATACCATGTTTAAAACTACACCAAGTTACATTTACCTACGCAATCTGAGGAAAAAATTATCCGTAGTTCAACCAAACTTGAAAAAAATGTTGTTGTTGTTGTTGTTGTTGTAAGACAGACTGTGTAGTAAAAAGTAAATTAAAAAAAAACCCAAGTAAAAATAAAGAGTAAAAAGATCAAAGCAGTAGGGCAAATGTTACTAATCATTTACAATTGGGTACGTCGTTATTCACCAGATAGTAATGAGAAGAAAAACTTGTTTCGTATTTCAAAACGATACAAGCAAAGCTTAGATACCCCAACCCCACCCCCACCCTCAAAAAAAAAAAAAAATAATAAAATAAAATGTCATTTTTTCTACGACTTATTTCTACTATTTACTATGACGTGCAAAGATCTTATATCTTTATCATACGCAATACTTATAAAACTCTGGAAAAGGGTGGTACCTCGAAAGTATTTATTCAACTCAAAGTTCAACAGAATTGCTTTGACTAATTTCTGCAGATAGTTTAAATGAAACCATTAATACACGACATATAAGCAGAGGAAAATCAGTGGCGTTGCTACTATTAGGCCGGTCAAAAGCTATACATAGCTTATGTTTTGTAAAATGTTATATATTTACCGACAATAAATAAATTTTGATTTGATTTGATTTGATTTTGCCATGTAGGCACGGGCCTACAAGTTGGTCAAGAAATTAACATTTTCAAAAGTCCCAAAAATACAATAAAACAGGCGACAGTGGAGCTGGTAGTGGGTTCAAGCCGTATAGTCGAATCAAGTGTGTGCATGCGCATGGTTTACCATCCTCAATAAAGTATGCATCTAATCAAATTCATAGTTTAAAATTATTGTTTTGATAATTTTCCTTGAACATACTTTGGAACGCGCATTTTGCTCTTTTTAATCTTAACTTGTTTTTGGCTTCCGGGGACAATCCCCAGACCCCCTTTTATGTGCAAGCTGTCTACGCCCCTGAATATAATAAGAAATTTCTGAAATAGAGAAAAACGGACTCCTGCCCAAAATGGCAAAATTGAAAATGTTGCAGGCTCGGTTTGATTGTGTCTGCTCATGAACGATAACGTATGTTAACTTTATGCACGAAGAAAGTGATGTGAGAAAAATTACCGATTTTATTTCTATATCATAATTGTTTGACGTTATCAACCCTAACAAAGAAATCTGTAAGAATGTCGAAATATAAGCATACAATTTAAGAAGCTGGCGTAATGTTCATTGTTATGCTTGAGGGACGTCAATCAAAGTTAGTCATATGAATTTACGCCAAATTCCTTTATACAAATAATGAATAGTTAATATTGCTTGTTAAACACCCAATTCATTTATACATGAAAAATGTAATATTAATTATTATCATTTTGAATAACATCCTTGCTAAGATGGATTAGGGGTGTTGTATCTGACACAGGCAGTAATACTTAAAATATGAAAAACAAGATCAACAAGGAAGGGCGGTATCCAATGAATGCATCCCCCAACATATGACCACCCACAAAAAGCCGAGCAGGACACCAAACAGGACAGAAAGCACAGGCAAAAAATGCGGACAGGATGTCATATGTAGTTGCTACACGAGACAGATGTCATGTAATGTCGTTTATACCGTTTCCTTCTGTTACACAAAGCAAAGCAAACAAGTTTTTAATTTATTATCATGCCATGTCACAGTACTGGTGTATTCATTGGGCTTTTTAGTTACAGCAGGTTTACAAATCACGGGCAGCTATACTTATGTGAACCAAAATTTGATTATCTCTTTTCAGATCAATTGCATATTGAGAATAGTAGAAGAAATATATTAAGTTGTGTTCAACTTGATTAATCTTATATGATTAGATATTTAATTGAACAAAATGATAAATAAAATTTATTATAAATGATGAAATATTCTTTTTTGATTCTGAAATTTTAATTTGCTGTAAAATCATTCAAAGAATGCATAAATATATAACTAACATTATTATTTTAACAGATATATGCACTTTTTTCTTATTTTCGCAGCTTATTTTCGCGAAAATAGCTTATTTTCAGTATGCCTAAAATACGAAAGTGAGATTTTTGACGAAAGTGAGCGAAAGTGACTTTTAAAATTTGAATTAAGTACCTTTTTAATAGAATTTTACAGTGAATTTTCTGTTTATAGACGTATATTATTAGCAGCTGATAATATTCATAGATCTTCCTTTCGCTCACATTGAAAAATACGAAAGTGACTTGTAAATATGAAACGAGGCGTTATACTAACATTGCATTTTTCAGGCGTATATTATTAGAAATTAATATTATATCAATCTATAAATCATCATAATGATTAATTTAGAAAATAAATAATATTAATTTCTTATAACATACGTCTACAAACTGCAAATTTAGTACATTTTCAATTTTAACTCTATATTTAATACTTTACTTTCGTATTTTTCTATGCATCGCTGAATTTTAAAGTCACTTTCGCTCACTTTCGTCAAAAATCTCACTTTCGTATTTTAGGCAAACCCGTTTTCAGTACCCATCTATTCTATCCTTCGGGACATTTCGAGCCAAATATTTGGACATTTCGGACCATGTGATGGACATTTCGGATCATGCCGGAAAATAGGACAAATAGCACATTTAAACACTTTGTATCCATCATTGGTCAGATTTTCGGTATTTGACTGTACCTGACTGCTGTATATAATAATCTTTAGGTTAATTTCGTATAAACATTAAACCAGTCTAGCACCATAAGCTACAGAAAACTTCGGAAATTCCGAAATAAAGTGTTGTTACTTTAATAGCGAAACAAGCTATGACCATAATATAACGGAAGTCTAAGTGGTTTGTACATATTTTTAAAGATTTACATTTGTTACATAAATGTTTATGTAAATTAAATCTTGAAGGTTGTTTTCTCGCTGTAAATGTCATTAGAATTCGCGATACGCTTTGTGAAATTTTGTTTCCTGTATCAACTTGATAAAGTGGTTATCACGATAACACTACAGCCTCATGAATATAGATAATAGTCCAACAAAAATATTTGAATGATGTTAGATTTGAATAAATTGATGAATATAAGGAAGAGTGGTAGCAAATTATACTGAGAGAAAAAAGTTTAGCAAGTTCGGAAATATTTCACTGGTTTATTGAAACTATACCAAGTTGACTTAGACCAAGTACATAATTCAATAAAGCATTTAGTTTTCAATTAGTTTGTAACAATAAATTGTCAAAACCCTGTTGCCTTAGCTCACTTTACAGCCTGAAAGACGTTAGGGGTAAGGCGTCAAAATTCACAAGGAGTTCAGTATCTCATGTGACCCCCCGCGCGAAACCTATTTCTCACAGTTCTGAGGCACACCCTTGTTCCAGTAGTATTCATGAGATCTCGGGCTATCTTCCCACTGGACATAAACCGGTTACGTCGAGAAAGCGTGGTGATGTGACGGTCTTCGCGTGGCGTTGTTTTCCGTGGTCTGCCTGATCTGGGTCTGTCATTGACTTGTCCTGTTTGCCTCAGACGGTTTCTAAGGCGACTATTTGTAGACTCATGGCGTTTGAAATGCCGAGCGACAGCTCTTGCCGTCATACCAGCGTGGAGCATACCTACAGCTCTTTGACGTTCTTCTAACGTCATTCCTTGGCGACTCCCCATTGGAATTTCTTCGAGTTTTAAACTGGTTATTTTGTTTGTGGTAACAGCTCAAAACAATGAGGTACATAACTCGACTCTACACGCTACCGAAATTGCCGTGCTTACATTGCACGTGATTTTCGAGTTTCTTACGCTTCGCTGATAAAATACACGGTTTTCGAACAAACACAATAGATGTGTAAAGAGCATCGATAAGTACATCATTTACATATAAAAACGTCTACATATAAAAACGTCTTCATTCGAAAGCTCAAAAAGAAAAAATAATAGGTGTGAAAAACTTGCTAAACTTTTTTCTTTCAGTATATTTAGATAGAAGTTAGTTTTCATCTGTACTGTAACTGTAAACCTGATGAGTAAAATAATTATGATAAATCTAATTTGCTTACATAAATTTACATGTTTTTGGATCTTTGTTTTGAGTAAGACGCACTTTAAAGTGATATTTTTAGAAATAATGTATGATAAATAAACAAACAAACAGAACAGGACCATAAATACATTTGTGTCTTAGACATTTATAAACTGATAAAATGTATAATAAATAAATCATTTTGAGGTGACAAATAATTGAATTGAAATTACGAAAAAATCAATTTATACAATTTTTTACTTTGATTTTTATAAAAAGTAACTTCCACATTGGTTTTGCACTGTCTATTGCATTCACCCTGTGCGGTGCCCTTCCGATGATAAACTGTTTAAAATATCTTTATTAGAGTTGTCATCGATAGAGACAATATCGATGTATTGTTAATATTTTTCTGTTGATCAATAATCGATACACATTTGAAAAATTTGAAATTATTTTATTGTCAATAAATTATTAAAATTCACTAAAAACATATAAAAACAGGTGGCCATGTCTAACACTAATTTGTTGTTACATAATGGACACATTCCATAGCAGTGATGACAAAATATGGTCAGAAAAAAAAATCATGCAAAGGTCATTTAGAAACAGGACACAACATAATCTATTGCATGAACAGAATCTTTTAAATATTTTACTAAAATCATTCAAATGGGTATGAAAAAGTATTAAATACAAGAAATTTGGAGTATTTATTGATATATCAGTGTATCGATGTCATCCGATATTGGTATATTGTATATTGCACTGAATCAATGACAGCTCTAATCTTTATACTACTAATGAGAACTTATCACACTTCCAATGCATTTTTGCTCAATCTCAAACAAATTCATAACTCTACTTGCATTTTAGTCAGACAATATTTTTAGCTTTTAGTTTTACTGAAAATGTTTTTCTGCTATTTATAAACTGATTGTATATTATTTGTAGGTCAATGTTCAAATGCAAATATTAATATCTTCGTTGTTTTTTAGACTGAGAAATTGTAGGTCAATGTTCAAATGCAAACATTAATATCTTCGTTGTTTTTTCAGACTGAGAAAATAAAAGGAGAAAATGTCAGACTCAGATTTGCCCGATCTTGTTGAATCATCAGATGACAGCAGTGAGGATAATGAACAATCCCAGAAAGGTCAGTGATACAATTACTTGTAACCTGTTGAATTCTGAAACTGACTTGTCCAGCTTTCATGTTAACAACTGGCCATTACCAATTTTGGGGATATCAAGGTAAAAATTTGAAGTTTGTCAGCCAACAGTATTATTGAGCCCCCTCAGACTGCATGGTTGTGAACTGTTTCAGGTAATTTGTTTTTTTCCCCATAAAATTTAGATAAGGCAATCAATCAATAGTCTTCCTTTAGCATACTCTTAATTGGAAAAAGGAAGAAGTCTGATTTTGTCAATGTAGTTAATAGTATAAATTGTAAATTGTACTATGTCTTATGTTAAAACTTCCAGTTTCATCACTTAACATAAGTTTCATTCTACTTATACAGGTTTAACATATGCTGATACTTGGCTGAAAAAGGGAGATAAATATCTGGAAAAGCAGGAGTTGTGGATGAGAGTTTTCTCCCTTGCACCTTTCTTGTTTGGTGTTAACAACATCATATCATCAGCTTGGAATAAAGCATTGTTAAATGCTAAACTGCTGCTTAATGAGAGAAGGTATTTTTAATGAATTACTGAAATGTAAAAATTATTGTTTGTTTGTTTGTTTGTTTCATTTTACGCCTTTTTTTCAACAGTATTTCATGTAAAAATTAAATGGTAGACGTAAATTTTCAGTCTGTCTGTCTATGTGTCTGTTTTTTTACGCCAATTTCAACACATTTTTGGTCATATATTGGCATCACTCTGTCTAACCTTTTCTTCCTGGAGAACTTTTCAGTAATTACAAATTTCTCTACCCGGATAACTTTTCAGTTATTACCAATTTCTCTGCAAGTGTCTGTGACCCAACCACTAATATTACATAATTTCTGAATTAGCAGTAACAGACTAGTAATTGTTTTAGTTTTCATCTTTGATCTGACCAAGTGGGTAAATGGTAAATTAGCATTTGTAACTTGTTTGTTTCTTCTTTTTCAATATTTAGATAAATTTTTAGTTACAGGGATCATCGGTCAACTTATCTAGAATGGCAGGAATGGGATAACTTGGACCTTGTTGATCATGTAGTCTCAGAAGTACAGATACATCTTGTGAGTCTTCTTATCTTTGGAGTAAAAAGAGATGAGTTCATATTTCTTAAAAACCTTTTTCTGTACTAATCAAGGTATTTTATTAAGGTGCTATGCAATTTACTGCATATGAGTCTGCAGTGCGTAAGTGTTGGAAAAATAGGAACAAGTGTTTTCATTAATATCCATGAATGGTGTTGAACATTGATTAATAATTCTAGAATGTTATATGTAATTTACTTATATATTTAAGATTGCAATCTCATTAAAACCAGACCATGGACTCGTTTTCGCTCCGTTAATTTTTGCCACCTAGTGAAGAGTAGTGGAGCGCCAGTTAGGATACGAATATGATTTTAATGAGATTGCAAAGGTTGGTTTTATCACATTCATGTGATTTGCTGTTACAAAAACGTTCTTGTGATATGGTATGAATGTACTTGAACATATATATGTTGTATATCCTCATGTGCCATGTGACCTTATAGAATTTGAATAATAAACTTATCAAACTAATCATAACTTGAACATTTACAGAGAGACCGAAATCGTTTAGCAAAGAGTTTGGATTGTGCTGAAAAACTGGATGATTGCAAAGACGGTGTAGTAATAGATGTTGACCTGGCCATCACTGAAGCTGATAAAGTGACGGAGATTTCAGATTTATGGTAAGTTTTGTGCAGATTATAGCATTTATTTATCAGGACCTTAATTAGGAAGATGAAAATGCATTTCTCAGTTAGAAAGATGCATAAGCACAAGTAAAAGAGTGAAAGGGATTTCTTCATGAAAATACAAAAGATTGAGTTACCGACACTTATAGTATAGTGCTTGGATGTGCAGCGTTGCCTGACTCTACTGGTGGCAAAGGCTTATTACTTTGGGTTCCAGGAGGCAAAATGTTAATACCTCATTGGTAGTCATTCTGTGTCCTTTTGTCATTACATATTGTGACAAACTTGGTTTCAAAAAAAAAAAATCCCTACTCAATAAATTGGATTATAAATTTTGAAAATTTTTGATTGCTTTTGCTTCCAATTTTGGACATCATGTTTTTCATGAGAAATACAACTTAATGACCAATATATTTTCTAATGTTATTTTTTACTAGCCATATCATGCATCAGAAATTTATAATTAATTTTTCTTTAGAAAGCGTGTACATTTGTCTAATTATGTTTTATGGTTTTAAAGCATATAAGATGTCTATCACTAGAAGTAAATAGCAATGAATGTGAAATATTTTGTCATAAAAAATATCAAAACATTTACAAAGAAGTATTTTGACTTCCATTCAAAATATTCAATCACCATAAAACTACAAATTGCTAAAAAGCAAAAGACTCAAAAGTTGGTTCAGCTAGCCTATATAGCCAATGAGTGTTTGGTTATTGTAACAGGATACCCCCAAAAAGTTGTGTTTTTTTTATAAAATTAACAGCAATGTTGGATCTTGGTGGGCCTTCAGTCAAGTGTTACATACAATTCTTCCTCATTTTGTTTGTAGTTTTTAGCTCGACTTTTCTATGAAAAGGGGAGCTATCCTACTCGCCCCGGCGTCGGCGTTGGCGTCACACCTTGGTTAAGTTTTTCGTACCACCCCACTTTATTTCAGAAGTATTACAAGTATGGCTTTGAAACTTACCATACTTGTTCACCATCATAACCTCCATCTACAGACAAGAGTACATAACTCTGTCAAGGTTTTTGACAGAATTATGGCCCTTTTTTGACTTAGAAAGTGTATTGAGCTTGGTTAAGTTTTTTGTACCACCTCACTTTATTTCAAAACCATTGGAGGTATTGCTTTGAAACTGACCATACTTGTTTACCATCACGACCTTCATCAACAGACAAGAGGACATAACTCTGTCAAGGTTTTTGACAGAATTATGCCCCTTTTTGACTTAGAAAATACATTGAATATGGGTAAAAATCCACTTATTGCCTTAACCCTTTGAGATATTGCTTTGAAACTTTTAATGCTATTTCACATCATTACCCCCATCTGTACGCAAGAGAAGGTAACTCTGTCAAGGATTTGTTTTAAAAATTAAGGCCTTTTATCGACTTAGAATCTTGGTTAAGTTTTTAGTACCAGTCCACTTTTTGACTGAACTGTTTGAGATATTAATTTGAAAGTTGGAATACTTGTTTACAATCATGATTCCCAAACATGTCCAGGAGAAGGTAATTCTGTCAAAGATTTTATTTGAATTATGGCCCTTAACTGTCAATGTTTTGTATTATAGGCAAGCACTAAAAAAGTCGAGCGCGCTGTCTTACGGACAGCTCTTGTTATTATTCTAAGAAACTCAATTGTGGGACCTGACTTCATGTATTTTTATGTACTCATTAACCTACAAATCACTTCTTTGTTGATGGCAGTTTAAAATAACGAAGAAAGGCATTGTTAATAATTTTAAACTATGTTTTTTAAAAAACAAAAAAAAAACAACAACAAAAACAAGATAACAGAATGGTGCATACTAATTAAGAATTAATATTTTAAATACTTATACCCATTCACCCATCATTATCTTTTAAATTATAAGACAGCCTTTATAGTTGTCTCAGAATTAATTTGACAATATTTACAGAACAGCATTTGATACAGATAATGATATCAATTATGTGTCTCTGTAACAACAAAATCTGGTTTCCATAGCAACGAAGGCTATAAAGGTAGAATAATGACCTATAAGGCTATTCAATATACATGTTTCAATTTTCTATATGATTCCAAACAAACAAACAAGCCTAGAGATAATCACTACCAATCCTTATGGACTGATATCATGATTAATTCAAAATGCAGGAGGTATCAATCAGGTGTCTGTTTAGGCCCAGAATAACACACAGAGGGGCACCTTAGGTCTTCCTCCACAATATAGGTCACCATATGACCATAACAGAATTAGCCATAACAGCCTCTGTCATAACAGTATTAGTAGGGACGTCTGTGGCTGAGTGGTGAAGGTCTTGGCTTCAAACTACTTGCCCCTCACCACTGTCGGTTTGAATCCTGACAGGGACTTTGGATTCTTTCATGTGAGAAGGCTTTCCAGCCATCTTATTGAATGTTGGTGGTTCTACTCAGGTGCACATTTGTGCCTGAAATAATGCAGGGAGGGGCACCTGAGGTCTTCCTCCACCAATAAAGCTGGATTGTTGCCACATGACCTATACTGTACAGGGTGATTATCTTTGCATTTTAATCAATACTTTCAAATTCTTTAAAGCAGCATACTTCCAGATTCATGCAAATTTTTCATGAAAATTTTGAAAATGTATTTAAAAAGTAAAATATTGTGAAGTGAACAAAGATATTATTTAACAGATTGCAAACCATGCTGACCAAACATGTAAGTTACCAAAAAGAGGTCAAAATATGTAAAGATATTGGATTAGTAACACAGTAGAAATATGGTGATAAATACTGTAAAATCAGTCATTAATTGCACATAACATGTAAAATATTACTTGAAATCTTAAATCTTTTTACTTTTCTTAATATCTAAGTACATTTTTCTCAAGTTAGATTTTCTTAAAATATTTTAACTTATCTGGAGGCATGCAGCTTTAATAGCTTTACATTTTGGTATCAGAATCCCTAATGTTAACAATGGACCGTTCCAAATTCATAATCCGTACAAACCCATTGTGTAATTCTAGCAAAGTATGGGTTAATTACAGGATTAATTACAAAACTGTCTAACTCATTGATTAAACTATGTAAGCTCTTAAGCTCTTTCTTTAATCAGTTATATTCATCATGTTTATAATTAAGTAAAAATAGCAAGGCTCCTTTAGAGGGGGAATCAAGTTCGAAAGGTGAAACAGGGGACAACATTTTAAGATCAAGACTAATTGAAAAAGCCTCAATGTTTGAATTCATGTGAAAGGCAACAATTTCGATTTAAAGTTGCATGCCTCCAAATTAGCCAAAATATTTGCATAAATTTAAACTTGAGAAAATTGTTCTAAGATTTTAAGTAGAGGGAAAAATTCAAGATTTAAGTAATAATTTACACGTTATGTGTGATTAATGACTGATTTTGCTGTATTTAGGCTAATTTTGCATATTTTGACCTCGTTTTGGTAATTTTGTGGAATATAAGCACTGTTTACAATGTGTAAATTTATCTTTATTCACTTCTTTTAATACTTTCTCAAATTTTCACGAAAATTTAACTTGAATCTGGTGGCATGGTGCTTTTATACCAAATAAGTCAATGACTAAAATACAATGTTATAGGTAATTTATTGCTTTTTTTATAAGCAAAAAGTATTTTTCCAGAAAACCTGACAGATATAAACTTACAATTTACTTTATTTCCATGGTTATTTTGGAGTGATCTTAGGAATCCGATATTTTTCTACAAATCTAATAACGAGAATGTGTCCACATACGTTCTGTAAAATCTGAATTTATTGTTTGTTATTTATCTTTGATCTCAGACTTTTGATATATAAAAAAAAGCAAAGCAAAATATTCTATTATTTTGTTATGCGTGAACTAAAATGTAAAGGACCAACAAAAAAGAAAAAAATGCAATAACCTATGCTTTCAATGTTGGTCATTTGTGACAATGGTATAATCTTATAAAACATTGTTGATGAAAATTTATAAACTCATTTAATAGTATCCATGTATATATATTTTAATTATAGGTAGCAGTTATGCTTTACTTATTAGAATTAGTTTTTGCTTAACAAATAGTACCAATTATTACCTCCCTTGATTGAGCCATTATTACCTCCCCTTGCCATCATTTTCAGGATCTTTCCAATATATTGCTTTAGGTAAGGAAAAAAAACTCTCATACTTATATTATCTTCATGAAAGCTGATATAGATCTTATAAATATAGTAATGCTATAGTATAATGTTCCTTAATATGTATATATGTATAAAAGAATTTTGACAATTTACCTGGATCAGCTGTTTATATTGATTTTTTTCATACATTTGTCAATTATAATATAATTATATGATTATTTACCGCTAATTGATTATTTACTTGCCAAGCTCATTGGATTATTTAGCTTAATAACTTTAGCTCATAAATTAATGGCTCAAAAATCTGTATAAACTAATATACCCTGACCCTTTTGTAAAAGTTTTCTTTTCTGTGGTCTTTATTTTGAGGTGGTCTTTTACACCAGTCTGCCTGAAGTTTACAGTGAATAACAATGTGAAGGTAAAATTATGATGTATATTTTCAGGAGGAGTATATTAAAAAATGAGCTATCTAATGGGAAGGAAAAAGCAGCAAAATTTGCAGTTCTCTATGTGATACGAATATGTAAGTATTTTTCTCGTTAACATATAAGTTTTTCAAGATAATTAAGTTAACTTCACTCTATCCTTTTCATTAACTTTCCTGACTGTGTGTACAAGGCAAAAAGTTGTGCTAGTTTACCATATATTTTCTGTCTGTATTTTCGTACTTTAATTGGCAAATCTAATTTCAGCCACATTATTAGTTGACCTTACTTTATGATACAGGCATTGTAACCTGCATGGGCAGTAGGGAAAGTGGGGGATAGAAAGGAAAATAAGTTCTTACCCTGCTTTTGTCACTTCTCTGTTGGATCAATTAGTATAATTTTATTGGGTATATGTCCATTTTGTAGATCTTTGGTATTTAGCAAGGATTTTACATCTGGCTGCCTGTATCTGCACCCTAACTTTTGGGTTTTGGATTTTGTCAATGCCCTTGCTATAACACATAATAGAGTGGGGTGGGGGATTTGAGTTAAATTTGCCTGATGAATTTTGTTAAAATATTTTGTGTTGTTGTATGACACTTTACTCTTTTAAACTATTTATACACCCTTTGACATCTGCTTTGTAGAGATCATCTTTGGCTCACAAATTTAGATGTTGTTTTAATATGTCTTTTTAAAGCTCTTGAAAATTGCAAAAAAATCTTGTTAGTCTAGAACTTAGGTTTTCCTGGCTATAAAATGGATTTTTTTTATCTTACAGACATTACAAAGACAAAATAAATGTGGTAGATGTTTTGATAATCTTGTGAAATTGAACTCAAATTTAGCGGAAAAGGGGAAAACAATAATCAACAAATTTTTGTGAGCTATAAAAAAAATTGGAACAATTCAGCAATACAGGCTAATTTTGAAATGTTTTGTTATATTACAGATCGAGAACATGTCATATTTCAATGTGTGAGGTCCATTGATTTCATTGAAGATACAAAGAAGAAGTTCAGACCAACCAACCTGATGGTAAGTCAAAGATATCTTGGCTGATTTCATCATCTCAGATATTGTATACTATATCTTCTCTGTTCTGCTGCTAAGCTCAATATTGATTTGTACTATTCTTGAATAAAATCTTAATATGGAGTTACCAATTTGAACCAATCTATAGAGTACTTCATGAATAAACATTGAAAAATCAGTATATTGATTATTTTACGATGATTGTGAATATGAATGTATGAATATATTAACATAATTAATGAGATGATTTAAATATTTGTTTAAGCTAAAGAATACTGAAGACTATAAGAAGATAGGGAATGAGTATTTTAAGCGGGAGGAATTTAGTGAGGCAGTGATGTCCTATTCTTTGGCTATTGTAGAAGAGTAAGTAACCACAGCATCATTATATTTTTATCATTTTGACAAAGAGTTAAGGCCCTTTTTCGAGTTAGAAATACAAATTTCAGCTGTTATATTATTTCTTCTGCCCCTACACACCCCTTCCCCTGTCAGAAAAAAAGAGATGTAAATGAATAATAGTTTGAAGTGAATATAGTTTATATGTCATTGTTAAAGAGCTTCTTTTGGTAAAATACTTTTATTGAAGAAATTGGTTCATACAGAATTTATTTTAATCTGATTCAGACTGATTGTGTAGGAAGCTATTAGTCATAACAGTTTTGAAAGTGTATTTAAAAATAAAATTTAATGTCAAGTGAATAAAGAAAGTAAATGTAATTTAGACACTGCAAATGGCACTTAATCCAGCAAAAAGAGGTCAAAATATGCAAAAATAGCCCTTACTGAATTAGTAACGCAGTAGAAATACGGTGATAAATACTGCAAAATCGATCATTAATCGCACTTAACGTGTTATTTTTTGAATTTTTCAACTTTTCTTCAAATCTTAGTACATTTTCTTCAAGGTAGATTTTCTTCTAACATTTTGGCTCAACACTAGGCATGCGGCTTTAAGGGTAAACATATTTCACACTGAACTTGTTTACATGAAATAGTAATTGTTATTTTATGTAATATGGATTCTTTTTTACTTGCAGTCCTTTTAGTCATGTATATTATGGAAACAGAGCTCAAGCATTTATATCCCTGAAGCAATTCAAGTAAGTTCATGTTTGATATTAAATTTAATCGTAAAACGAAAAATGTGAGTTTTGAGTTATTGTTGTTACTTGCTGTTAGTCCATTGTTCTAGTTTATCACATACCTGTTGTGGATTTGTGACTCTGTAAACTGGTACTGTACTGCCCTGCATATATTTTGATGTGACATAATTTGAGTTATACAAACATAGTGTAAAAGCATGTTAAATGCTCTTGTGAAAACATTCCCGAAGTCGTTTTGAAGAAAAAAAAATTTGGCGTTACTGATTTAAAATTACTGGTGCTGTATCTGCTTAAGCACCAAAGATATTCTTTTGATTTTTCACACTTATCTGAAAAATCAAACTTCTGCACCATTGTCCTTGACCTTAAGCTATAGCATGGATTGCTAGTAAATTTAAGACCTTTGTGGTTTGCTTGTTATTTCTATTTCAAGAAGTACTACAAATATATATTTGAATTTTAACGCCTGTCTTCAGGGGTATATTTGTAGAACATTGTTCAAGAACCATAACTTATGCATGTTTTATGACTTGGTGAGTTATTCCCCTTTGTGAACTTAGAAAATATCTTGTTCAGCTCGTGTTTCACAGTTAAGCATAGACAGTACTCTGGCACAATGTTTGTCTAACAGCTGTTGTCATCATTGTACACCAGTCTACTGTATATTCCCTTATAAATGACCTTTGGGGTGTAACATTTTCCAAAAGGTGATTTGGGTGTTAATTACAGTACAAAAGTATGTTAAAGCTACATTAAATAAATATGTAAAGATATTTTGCCATCGGCCTAAAAAGCCAAGCATTCTACAGATTCATCAACCTTTTTAACAGTATCGTTGTAAATCTCATCAAATATTGTTCATAAATAAGGATTTTAAAGGGAAAACCCCACGGTAACACTAAAGTTCGTATACAAAATTTAACATGCAAATGAAGATTATAATGAGCTTGTGTATGCACTACGTCACAGTGTTATAGCACAACAAATATGAGATTTTCTTGTGCAAACACATTTTAACCGTTTAACTTAACTAGGCCTGAGGTTCAGTAAAAAGTAATCATCTCATAAAAAAAAAATTAAATTTGTATGAAAACATCCATTACAATGGGAAATATACCGTTAAATAAGGACTGCTACTTATAGTCATGTTTGTTGATTTAATATTGATGTACGGATGATCTGAAGGTGGAGTTTCTCAGGCAACTTCTGATTTCGCCACAATGAGGTTGTCCATTTTTTATGCTTATAAAACTCATTTTGGTTGTCTGGACACCAAAATAAGATCTGGAGTCGATATGAAACGCAATTCATTAATGAAATGTCGCTATTTCTGTTTTTATGAAATTTATTAAATGTAACTTTAAGTAACATCAAAACTAAAAATAATTTTAATTATTTTTGTGTAACTTACCACAGGGTTGCTTACACAGTGTATACTGAAAGCACCAGTCATGCTAAAATTGTGCTAATTTCCTCGGATTTACAATAAAATACTATTGTCATGGTAACCGTAACTTATTTTTCTTTTTCTTTGTCATAAAGGAAGGGTGGGGGGGGGATTTGTTAGGACATGTGCTTTTATGAGATTATATGTTATAATACAAAAAAATAAAAGAAGTGAGGGGGGAGGAAATTTGATACATAACGTTGAAAGGAATTGTAAATTGAGTTGAATACCCTGTAAAACAAAAAGAACTCTCGTACTTTCTTGTATCAGAGTGAGACTATTGTATCACAAGATATAGTTTGCCGCCAAGTTATCATTTTATAAGTGTTATACTTGTTTGCTTTTAATTGTGTGATTTTTCACACCATTTGGCATAATTTCATATCCTGATATACTAGTACTAAGCATCATATGTTGTGAATGGAATGAGCTACGAGGGTCTAATTTCAGCGTCTTACCTAAGATGTAACAGATCAATGTATTCAATAAGTCAATGAAGTACACATTAACATAACCAAAAGATATGACAATAACTCTTATGCTTCTGAATTTCTGTTATAGACTTGTCAAATATAAATTTTTGATCTACCAACAGAAAAGGGCCTGGTCAACTGCACAGAGTAAAGGGGCTGCCGGGCTCTATATTTTTGGCAAAGGAAATCATTTTTCCCCAGCGGGTCATCTTAAATTCTGATCTGAAAAATAAGATTTGCCCCCAGTATTGAGTTTGGCCCCCGGCCATCTGTTTAGTAGACCCGGCTCTCTATGCTGTTTGTAGCTTAATTTTGCACAAGAGGAATGATAATTCTGGACAAACAAAATGAGCGAATGATCTGAAATTGTGCACACATCATGCTGTTGGTTTAGTCTTATGTGGAATGGTTTAAAAATCTCTAAAAAATATTTTCAATCCCATCATGTTGAGTTCTGTAAACTGTATTGACACGGGCCAGACTGTCTGGATGAAACCAGTCTTACCTGCATTTAAAGACATGTTTCAACCAGTTTTTGCATTCAGTAAGTTAAATAATAAAATACTGTGTTTTTCAAGTTTCATCATTTACATTATTATTTTTGTATTGGAAAACTGGTGTTGATGTATATGTATTGCATTTTGTGGGGCACAGTATGTTTTTGTATATCAATGAAATATATTGATGTTGGGTAGTACTATAGATTAATCACATATATAGATATGTGTTACTTATTGTATTTATGTAATACAGAATCACACGTATATAATCAGTCTGTCAGTTAGATGAACTTCCATTTGAATGTGTGAAATGGTTCATTTTCTAGCTCAGTGTGTTGTCTCTTTTCTATGGTGTTGTAGTAAAATTATGTTCGGCAGTTATGACTCATTTTATTATAAAATGAATTGTGTAGTTCTAACTTTGTCTAATATTCTGTACGTGTTACTACTGATTTGAAGAAAGGCACTAAACAGTTAACTAAAGTGGCATCCATGGTCGAATGGTTAATGTTGTTGACTTCAAACCACTTTCTCCTCATTGCGGTGAGTTGGAATCCTGACAGGGACTTTGGATTCTTTCACATCAGTAAGCTATCTAGCTAGCTTACTGAATGTTGATGGTTCTATTCAGGTGCCGGTTCTTGCCTGAAATATTACATGGAAGGGCACCTGAGGTATTCCTCCACCAGTAAAGCTGAACAATTGCCCTATGACCTATACTGTGTTGCTGCAACATTCAACCCTATCAAAAAAATGGATAACTTAACTGTGGCTGATGAATGGTTAGGAGAATTAGTACTTTTCTTTAAAATAAATTGTCACATCAAATATGTATTAAAAGTTATAATGTCTGTATCCATGTAATTTACATAATTTTATATATGCAGGCAAATGAAATAAGTTTAAAAGCATGCATTCTGCTTCCATGATTAAACAGAACAATTTTTTTCTTATTTCACATAAAGACAACCTTATGAAAGAGAGAAAAATATTTGTTCTCGAAATGGCATATTTAGCCAGAAATAGCATATAATTGTATGGATATTTGATTTCAGTAAATTGCTCTTATTATCAGATTTATAAGGACACTAATTTGCAGGTATATGTACCAAAATACATCATAATTTGATGAAAATGAGTATGAAAACAGTAATTCATGGTAATTTCATAGTCCCCAATGGAAAATAGTTGCCAATGGAAAATAGTCGCCAATGGAAAATAATCGCCATTGGAAAATCAGATCTACATCTCAGTCCAGATGTGTTAGTAGGTTTAATATCTGGGAGATAGTACAATGCACTTACCCAGAAATTATCACATTATATTCCAGCACAAACAACTGGCTGTTTAAGCATACGATTTAAAGCATCAAAAACCAGATCCATCCCCAGTGTTTAAAAACTTATTCAAAACACTTGTGAGTAGTTTTAGTAAAATTTACAGAGGTCAAACTCTGGAGCCGTAAAAAATGTCAGTTATACCACTAAAGCTTTACCTGCCTCGTTTTTTTACAACACGCTATTTTTATGGCCCTAGATTGATGAATTGAGAGAACATTTTGTTTCTAGTATGTCTTATTTGTTTGTTGGTCTGTTTGTCAAAAAACTTTGACCATGACCATAACATGGAAGTCCTGCCACCAACACTGCACAGTTGCATGTGTTTTGTTGATCTCTACCCACTAGACCCACAAGAGCTCTCAATGTCAAAGGTCAAGGTCACCAGGGACAAGGGGCCTAGGTGCTTATCTGAAAGTACAACTTGTTCATTCAATGAATTGACAAAGAAAGAAAAAAGAAGAAGAAAATTAATTTTTGTATAAAAGCTGTGCATGCAGGGAAAAACACATACATCAGTGGGTAGATTCACGTGACCACACACACTTTGTTTCATCTTTTTTAATATGCGTAACTTAGGGCACCATGTAAAAACTTAAAGCAATGACATCACAGTTGTTTCATTATGGAAACTTAACTATCAAATGACAAGGAAAAAGCATGTGGAAAGCATGACAAAATGATTTCTCTATAATTATGAAAAACGAATGACTAAAAGCAGAATTCCAAAATTAGGTATATACTTTTATGCAAGAATAACACTTTTGGAATTTTTTTTGTGCATTAATACATGAAGAAGCTCTAGGATAAGTAAATCCCTTGCACTATGGGCTCAAGGCATTAAATGCATCCTTGTGCTTCTGAAGAATGTTTAACGCACGAAAAAGGTGTATTTAACCCTTTATTATGATTAGAACTTGTCCACATCTATAAAATGCGTACGATTATGCATTGCATGTGATATTTTTCAATACTCGTAATCACATATTTTTTTGTACATTTCTCGGATATTAATCATGTTTAACAAAGGGTAATTATCATAGAGAAGATAATGAGAATATAAATGTACAGGGATAATGAGCAAGTGTATAAGCAGCTTTAACAGTTCTGTGCAACGGTGACCAGTGTTGATTAAAAATTCACAGTTTTGTGATGAGATATTTTTGATATCTTCCAATATCGTTTCATTCAGTAACTGTTGGAGGATCAGGTATCAAGTTTTTGTCTTTTTGTGCTATATTTAAGTACTTTATATTTTTCTGGAAATAATTGGAAAGAAAATGGAAATCAGATGTGTAGTGTAAACAGATATACCTGTTTGGATTTGTCGTTTTTTTATTTGGTTAGTTCTTTTGATAATAAGGTATGGAAGAAAATAAATTTATATAGAAGGGGGATAATTGTAACTAGTGTTGTTTTTGTTCATGTTACGTTATTTATATTGATTTTGTTTTTCTTAAGTCATGTGGAGGATTTTTTGAAGTGATTTTTGTTTTGTGGGGGAGAAAAAAAATTTTTGCGTAAAAAAATTTAAGAAAGTTTATTTCAATGATTTTTACCCTAAAGGTGAAAAATTATCTGTAACTGTGCAAAGTTTAACTGTATTTTTTATTTATCAAAAAAAACTCACAAAAACTGCCCATTATATACAGTTACATTTTAGTATTCTGATGTTAATATTTAAGAAATGTCTGTTATTTTAGACACATGGATTACAAATGTCCCCCCTCATAGTGCAGCAATCAATTGCAGCCATGCAACCAGTGCTGACCAAGACCTATACTGTGTTGGTGAAACGTAAAACCCAACAATATAAAAAGAAATAAAAGTAATATTGGATACTTTTCGTATTACAAGTGAACATTTTTTCAAATTTTCTCTATAAAGCACTATGTTGTTTGAGTGAAATATCATAAATATTGTTCTATTGTAAGATATATTCCGACCATATGCACATAAGATGATTTTATTTTATATTTCATGCAGCTTTACTAAAAGTAATGTCAGATTTTTTTTTATTATGCGCCTAGATAACCACATAGAATTAATATTTGAATTTTGATTTTATACTTAAGGCAACATTATAGATTGTAAAATATATATATTCAGTAAAATTTTTCTATGATTGGTACAATCGCAGTAAGTGATATAGGTTATATTTCACTGACAAAGCCCAGCATTCTGTTGATAAGCATCATGTCTAATTGAACATAAGGCTAAGTAATGACTGTTCCGGAGTAAAGCAAAGCAGTAAAGCCTATATGACTGAAATACTTTTGGGAAAAGGCGTAAAATGAAACAAACAAAGCAGTATGAAGTCTAGCAGTAAAGCCTTGCAGTAAAACCTAGCAGTAAAATCTAGCAGTTAAGCCTAGCAGTTCAATTTATCTGCAGCAGTAAATTAAATCTAGCAGTAAAGCCTAGCTGCTAAGCTTAGCAGTTAAACCTATCTGTAGGAGTAAATTAAGTCTAGCAGTAAAGCCAAGAAATAAAGCTTAGCAGTAAAGCCTAGCAGTAAACAGCTTAACTTAGATATTCCAGATTTATACATGTCTGATAAATGTGGTTTTAATTATAAATAACAAGTTGCTAGCTGTAAGCTCATGGTCATTTTAATCATACTGTATTAAGGCCTACCCTAAAAAATTGTTTGTGTATAAGTCTTGCGACTCATTAACAACATATCTGGTACCGAAATATTTCTTTTTTGAAATTTAATCAAAAAATGGCAAAAAAGAACAAAATGCAAATGAAGAAAGACAAATAAAAACAACATTTTTTTTTCGTTTTATGAAATGAATACCTACCAACATTTATAAATACCTGGAATTGCATACCTGCAGACCTAGAGTTTTCATAGCCTTTGTATTTTTGATGCTTGCACATCAAATTAACAAGGGCAGCGTTAATGTGAAAATATATCATAATTATGATGTTTTGCTTCTTTTTAATGGAGAGAAAAAAGTCACAAATTTTGTTAGGACTAACACGTTTTGTTTGATGACACTAGATGGAAGAATTGATTTATATCAGCAAGATCTCTCACTAATTTCAGAAAGGTGATGAAACTGTGACTTATTGATTTATCTATTCCTGGTTTTCCTATTTCTGTTCCTTTTGTGGAATTAATCTAAAAATGGATGAACATTTTTGTTCTCACCTGTTGCCAATAATAAAGTAAATCAGTGATTTTGTGAAAAATTAAAATTTTCCTTTGACAAAATATCAGGCTTATTGTTTTTCTTCTCGCTGTTTTTTTGTCTCCCTTATTTCTGTTCCTTTTGTAGAATCAGATCTAAAAATTGGATGCACAGTGTTGTTTTCACCTGTTTTCAACTATAGATTAATGTACAATATTATTATTGTTGCCTGAAAAGGCTCATAATTGGAAATAGATTTATATTATTTCTATACTGTTCTATTCTATTCTCTTCCATTCTATTATATTCTATTCTATCCCTTGCATTACCATCTATGCAGAGGCCATTTCAGTCTTCTGTAGTTCGTCTGCTTCGCTCAATAGGAAGAGCATCGGCGATGTAATTTAGTGGTCACTGGTTAAATTCTCCATCGTGGCGAATTTTCTCCACAACAACTGATCATATACATGAAGTCTTAAGATCAACTTTTAATGCTACTGCTGATAAAGGAATCATGTGGCATAAGTAGTAGTATTGGCTACTTGCTGAGAAATTGGTATCCACTGATTAAGTTATCAATGAAAGCCATGGACCAACCGCAGATACATGAGCAAAAATATGTGTTGAAATTGGTGTAAAAACCAAACAAAATTCCAATATTCTTTTATTTACACAAAGGCATCCAAGTGATGAGTGCTGGTTGTTTCTGTATACAAAACTTTGATAATCTAACAAAGAACCAGCCGAAATGCAAAATAACTTTTTACCAGGGGTTACATTTTGGAATTAATCCCGGGGAAAGGGGCCACCGATCCCTTTTCCTCCCCCAGTCGCCATAAAACCCTATTACTGTGTGGGTTGCAAACGTAAAACCCCAAAAAAACCAAAAAAAAAAAGGGACAGGAAATTTTAGTTTTTTCCTTTTCTTTTATTTGCGGGGAAATGCTTTGGCTGAGGGTAAGGACCCTTTTTGGTTATAAAAAACCCAAGACTTTTCCAAATTTTGTATTGTTGATTAATTTTTACATAAATATAAAATTTATTTTTATCTAATTTTAAGGGGTTGGGTATCCCCAAAAATATTCCCCCTCTAAACCCTGTTTTTAATGAACTTCCCCCCTGTTTTCCCAATTTTGGGAAAAAGTTAAATTTAGTTGTTTAAAGGGATGTCAGTTTAAAAGAAAAAAACCAAAATGAGTATTGAAAAATGGGGGAATCTGGTCAGACTGCAAAAATGAAAACATGCTGCCCTTTGCCCCCTGTTATTTAGTGGTAAAAACTTTTACTTTAAAACACTATAAATTCTTTAAAAAAAAATTTGTATCATTGACCAAACAAAGGGGTTATTTTTTCCCCGTTATAAATGATTTGGGCCAAAAAAAATTTTTTTTTTAAAAAACTAAAAACATGGCTGCCAACAGAAAATAGAGTTTGGTCAGACTTCAAATTTCATAAAATGCGGGCCCTGCAGGGGTGAACCCCCCCCCCTTTACTTTGAGGGCCCCAAAGCCCTAAAAAACCCTTGGGGCAGGACAGTACTGGAGAGATAAAATTACATGTTTAAAGCAGTGGAAGATTTATTTAGCTGTTTTAATCATCCATTTTGAATCAAATTAATGACTAAGTGAACAAAAGTTAAGCATAATTATGATAGACTTGACTTCATTCATTAGGCTGTTTTAGATATGCTTAATTTGTTGACAGGGCCACTCTAGATACATGTACTATAAATTTTATATACAGGGCAATTTAAAACGTTTTTTAATTTGATTTGAAAGCCTATACTTTATGAATATGAATGTTTCTTACTCTTTTTGCTCATATGTTTGTTCTCACAACTTTTTAATATGTGTTTGATTTTGTTACCAGGGCCACTATAGATATGCATTAGCATTTAACGAACTTGGACAACTTGACGCTGCGATTAGAGTAAACAAGAGGGGCTTAGAGCTGTGTAGAAAATCCAGTAACCAGGACTATCAGAATGTGAAGGACCTTGAATCACAGGGGGAAAATTTTTGTCAAAGTTGGTTTGATTTTGAATTCATTTTATTTGAATGTATATAATTAGTCACCTTAGTGCAGTAACAAATGAGCCTTGTCATGACAAAACCAACATAATGGGTTTGCGACCAGCATGGATCCAGACCAGCCTGCGCATCTGCGCAGTCTGATCAGGATCCATGCTGTTAGCTTACCAACTCTATTACAAGTAGAGAAACTAACAGCGAACAGCATGGATCCTGATAAGACTGTGCGGATGCGCAGGCTGGTCTGGATCCATGCTGGGCGCAAACCCATTATGTTGGTTTTGTCATGACACGGCTCAAATTAACTTCTATTAAGTTATATAAGGAGTTGACCCATTACTGCTCTAAGGTGGCAACATAATTTAGAGCTGCATGCCTTCAGATAATATTATATAGTACTCATATAGTTTAGCACTGAGTAAGTCAATAATTTTGTTGTTTGTTGACATAAAATTGCACAGAATGATGAATATTTGGTGCAATTGAGTGATTTTTCCAAATGTTTAGTAGTTTGGTTAAATTAACTTAAACTTTTACTTTAAACGACATCTCCTCATAAACCGCTAAGCCAATTTCATTCAAACTTCACAGGAATGTTCCTTTGGTAGTCAACTTTAAAAATTGTTAGCAGAACACTGTTACAATGGCAACCGAAAGAAAAAAATTTAAATATCTTCTTTAAGAAAACCGAAAGAGCTAGAGCTAAAATATATGGCATGAAACATAATCTAGTCAGTGCCTACCAAGTTTGTTCAAATAAATGCCCTGGGGTCAAAATTGGCCCGCCCCGTGGGGTCATTGATTTTCCTTATTTGTGTATAGTAAAAACTTAAAAAATCTTCTTTTAAAAACCCCAAAGAGCTAGAGCTAAGATATTTGTTATGAAACATCTTCTAATGGGTGTCTACCAAGTTTGTTCAAATAAGGGCCCTTGGGTTAAAATTGGCCCCGTCCCAGGTGTCATTGATTTTCCTTGTATGTGTATAGTAAAAACTTAAAAAATCTTCTTATAAAAAACCCAAAGAGCTAGAGTTAAGATACTAAGCATGAAATATCTTATAATGAGTGTCTACCAAGTTTGTTCAAATAAAAGTCCTGGGTTCAAAATTTGGAAGGGAAGGGAGGTCATTGTTTTTCCCTATTTGTATCTAGTAAAAACTTTAAAATCTTATGAAAACCCCAAAGAGCTAGATCTTAGATATTTATCATGAATTATCTTCTAATGGGTGTCTACCAAGTTTGTTCAAATAAAAGCCCCTGGTTTAAAATTGGCCTTGCCCCAGGGGCCTTTATACAGGTGAGCGATTTCAGGGCCATCATGGCCCTCTTGTTGCATATTTTGACATGTTGTTAGTAATGTATGTGGATTGTAAGTGTCATTTGCAATGTGTTAATAGCTTTCTTTGCTCACTTTACAATATTTTAATTAAAAACATTTTCAAAATTTTCATGAAAATAAGCACGAATCTGGAGCCGTGCTACATTAAAATGTATGTCATGTAGATTTATGCATTAATAAGTCAATGTCTTCAAAGAATAATGTGGTAAAATGAAATATAGCTCTTGATTTTCTATGTACCAAAATTTAACGTTTTTAGTTCTCCGAACACCTTGTCATTGCCATCGATATATGGCTAAGGGACTTTGCACGTTTACAAAGCCTGACCAGATCCTTCTTTTGACAGGTGTTGACAGATATTTGCATTTTGGACTTTGAACCCATTGTAAATGGATAACTTTTTTCAGACATCTTTTTCATTATTTATTATATTTTCACCGTGCATATCCAGTAATGCAGGAATGTGCAAATAACGCTGCAATTGGCTAAAAACAAGCATTGCGATAAGTAAATGGACCAATATTTGTTATTGTACACCAAATTGGAAGAAATGACTAAGTGCATACAGTTGCTGATACATTATACTATTAACCTCATAAAAAATATTTCCATGAAAATGTTTCTTTTTCAAGATCATTAGTGAAAATGACGATCTGACTAGCGTATTAATGGCAATTTTTAGTTTCGTTGATATCTTCAAATACAATAACGTGCTTATTACTTTATGATTTTTTGTGTTGCCTCTACAGAGTAGTGGCGACATATAGGGATCACTTCTACGTCGTCTGTCTGTCCGTCTGTCTGTCCGTCCGTCTGTCACAAAACTTGTCCGTACTACTCCTCATAAACTACTGGTGCAATTTCATCAAAACTTTACAGGAATGATCAGTACCAAGTCTAGTTGTGCATATTGTCAGCATTTTCAGGTTCAATGATTTTTGTCAGAGTTATGGCCCTTTAATAATTTTTAATTTTAAAGTTTGTCCGGACTACTTCTCTTATACCACTAATGCAATTTCAATGAAACTTTACAGGATTGATCTGTAGCTCAAGTCCTTGCGCATATTGCACGGGTTTTCCGGTTGAATGATTTTTGGCCGAGTTATGGCCCTTTGATAAAAAGGTTTCTTTTTCTGTGTGTTGCCAGATACACAAAAGCTTGTCCGGACTACTCCTCATAAAACTACTGGTGCAATTTCATCCAAACTTTACAGGAATGATCAGTACCAAGTTTAGTTGTGCATATTGTCAGCATTTTCCGGTTCAATGATTTTTGTCAGAGTTATGGCCCTTTAATAATTTTTATTTTTAAAGTTTGTCCGGACTACTTCTCTTATACCACTCATGCAATTTCAATGAAACTTTACAGGATTGATCTGTAGCTCAAGTCCTTGCGCATATTGCACGGGTTTTCCGGTTGAATGATTTTTGGCCGAGTTATGGCCCTTTGATAAAAAGGTGTTTTTTTTCTGTGTGTTGCCAGATACGCAAAAGCTTGTCCGGACTACTCGTCATAAACTACTGGTGCAATTTTATCCAAACTTTTCAGGAATGATCAGTACCAAGTCTAGTTGTGCACTGTCCGTCTGTCTGTCCGTCTGTCACAAAATTTGTCCCAACATGAAATTGGCCATCATGAGGCAACACATGTGATTACTGATCGCTCTTGTTTTATTTAGTGTACATGAGATATTTTCCAATCTACTTGTGTCATATTACACTTAATTTAGCTGATAAAACATAATTGAGTCTATTTTTACGAGGTAACGCCAAATTCGTGAATGAAGCACATAAGCAATGGCAGTTATCTCATTAAAAGTAGCTAAATCTTATTTTACCAGCTTCCTTCTATTGTTATAATGACACTTGTTGTTTGACAAATGTCTTAGGTATACAAAACATGAAAAATTAAAGTTCTAGATGTGTTTAATGTACATAATGTATTTGATGAAACATAAAGGTCACATTCAAAACAATAATCAGGTTGTCTTTCTCACGAATGATCTAAAAAAGTAAACCTATTCCTGAAAAAAATTGTAATGCTAGTTAAAGTAGATCTATAATGTAGTAGCAGCCGTATGTACTAATTCATGTCATTAAATTTGATTAAGAATAAATATTTTGGTTCATTTACTTACTGTTTTATTCGTTTTGGCCATAGCGTTGCACAGATTTGGTGTTACTTTTACTTTAATTGCACATTCCTACGTAACTGGATATGCACGGTTAAGTTATTGAATGGATTTTAAATCTTTCCATTAACAGATAGAAAAAGTGGAAGTGTGTTGACCCCAATACCAAAAGACCTTGGTGATAAACTTAACTTGTATCCGAGTCCCCAAACTGATCTGGCAGAGAAACTTGGTTGCAATGTTCCGGGTAAAACAAGGTAGGTGCGCTCCGTCTGTGGTGTATTTGTATGCCCTCACAAAGTAGGGAGCATATAGCGTTGCACTTGTCCGTCCGTCCGTATGTTTGTCTGAGTTTAGGGGCTATATAACAGTAAAGAGAACAAAAGAGAACAATAGGTTCATTCTGTGATCAAAGGGTTAATGTGCTAGTAGCCCTTAAGAAAACAAAGAAAATAACTAAGAAAATAGCCCCTAAACCCAAAATGTTGGAACGTCTGTCCGTACATTCCGAAATCTTGTGAACACAACTCCTCTTAAACCGGATGGCAGATTTTGCTTAAACTTCCAGGGATGAACAACCTTAATGTGTAGATGGTAGTAAAGGAAGGAATTTTTGCTGCAACCAAATTTAACAGAATTATGGCCCTTTGTTGATTTTTTCACTATATACCATTTAGAAATTTTGTGAACGCAACTCCTCTTAAACCGGATTGCAGATTTTGCTTAAACCTCCAGGGATGAACAACCTTAATGTGTAGATGGTAGTAAAGGAAGGAATTTTTGCTGCGACCAAATAACAGAATTATGGCCCTTTGTTGATTTTTTCACTATATACCATATAAATGGTTGAACATATAAATTTTACATTTGTAATTTAATTTAACATGTACATTAGGTTACCTGTAGATCATTTTAGGTTTATGTACAGGAATGAAAAAGTGGAATGAAAAAGTTCCACATAAAAATCTTACATACTGATATGCATGCTCTTGTTTACGAGCACATCTGCACAGTGGGGGCATCCGTGTCCTTTGGACACAATTCTAGGGTAGTAGATATAGCTAGATCAAAATATTTCGTACAATATACATAACTAAAGTAAATACCCTTACCGGTTTACCCCTTCATACCTATTATCAGGTGAATTAAGGGGGTATCCAACAAGGGCCTCAAATGAATAAGTTTAGTTCAGTTATGGATATACTTTAGGTGTGTAGGGTGTATTGGGTTTAAAGTACCTGTACATAGGCTCTGTTGAAATATTTAGGTGAAATTTCAACTTTTATGGCTGAAGGAAGATTTCAAGGGCCTCTGATACAAAGGGGCACCTAAATAGAATCACCAACCATCTTAAATGTTTTCAAAAGCTTTTGTCCCTGGCAGGATTCAAACCCTCCATGGTTAGGGTCAAGAGTGATTCCATGTCTGTGAATTTTACCACTTTTCCAAGAAAGATAGTAAATGACATGTTTTCAACTTTTTTTCACAGAATCCTGATATATGTGCTTGATAGTTTAGTCTGACACTTTAGATCAATAGGTACTGTAAAATCATTATTATTCATGGAGCACGAATTTTCGTGGTTTTCGTGGATAGGTCAATCCACGAATTTAAGACCCGACGAAATTTTATCCCAACAATTACTTCTAACCATGTCTCTTTTCTATACATGCGTCGCCGCTTTTCCGGTCAATTAATGTGTTATGATGGTATACAGATAATCAGGTTAGTGACAGATTAAATCTGTAAATAGTTTAGGTTTGCAATATTTAAGAAACTTGAAAGCAAAGTCCATTATATGTCCTGAATTTCGGTCGTATATACACATCACTGAGACTGCTCTTTTGTTATAGGCTACTTAATTTTGTTATCCAGAATACTTGACATAATCGAGTAAAAATTGGAAACCAGTGCAATAATTAGCGCTAATATAAATTATAAATAATAAACAATTACTTAAAGTAAAAGGGATGAATTGTACATCCTTTTGTCGTCTTTTAATGAGCCAGTTTAAATGAATTTTAATCTGTATTTGTGCGACTGCTATTCTGTAAACATCAGAGATGCTGCCGACTTCTTAAGATATCCGCACAATCTCGTATTATTTACTCATATTAATTTATATGCATATAAATTTACACAGGCGATGTTATGTTGCGTGTAGTTACTGTCAAATATAGTAAGACCGATTCAGGGTGTAAACTTGTTAAACTTGCTGGTTAAAACGTGTCAGGGGTCGTATAAATTATGCAATGTTAACATCTGCGAATCACAGGGGCAGTGTGTACAATGGAGCTGCATATCATGTCATCTAAATGTGTTAATTGCAGTCAATTATCGGCAGTAACTGCTATCTTTATGTTATGCCTAGAGGCAAGGATTAGATTATTGACAAGCGCTGTGTGATGCGTAAAGATATGTTCATGCGGTAAGTAAAAATGCGCGGCAATTAATTGTTAGATGATTACTTTTCATTAGGTTATTTTTTTTTTTTACAAGAAAATGAAAATCCACGAAATTAAGAACCCACGAAAAGGCCTGTTTTAATAAAACCACGAAATTTCATGCCCATGAATGTAAGTGAATTCGCTGTATTTTAAAGCTGTATGTTCAAACTTCCAAGATTTTCAATACTTTGTTCCCTTTGACAGTAATTTGACACATTTGAGGTCATACCCTCAGGTGTCATCTTGTGATAATATGTATGGAGGACAGCCTCAAGTTTTCTATCCACCACTTGGTAATGCTTGCCCAGAATTATGTGAGTATGCTTAAAATTGCAGTGAATTGGTTGGATGTTTATATATTAATATATTTCTAATACTTATATTTGCAGGAAAATAATCGATGAGCGTAAAAGTAAAGGATCCAGCGACTCAGACTCTGATGTAAGTATTCACGTTTCATTTTTTTTGCAAAATGGATTTTATTCTCTCATGGATCAGGTAGATCCTATTTTGTCCATTCTTCAGTCCTTTACTCATAATGTCTTATGTAATGTTCATTTAATTCATGAAATAGTTAATATTTGTTGTTTTTGGACTTTGTATGGACGACCACCCTTGTTTTTGGGTTCAGTACATTCGGGTCATGGTCACTGTGGATAAAAGTATATTTTACCACCTTTCCGTAAAGCCATGATTTTAGCTGTGCCAAAGCCACATTGCAGTCCATCCATTGGTGATTGCTGATATTCTTGACTATCTCTAAAGATAATTAATTTAAAAAATGTTAATAACCATCCTCCCTTTCTTGTGAATCCTTACGCCTTTTCAAAGTTTTGCTTTTATAATATTAAATGCTTGCTTTGAAAATTAGATATTTCATGAATAAGAATTATTAACAGAGTGTGATTTTTAGCTCGACTTTTCTATGAAAAGGGGAGCTATCCTACTCGCCCCGGCGTCGGCGTCGGCGTTGGCGTCACACCTTGGTTAAGTTTTTCGTACCACCCCACTTTATTTCAGAAGTATTACAAGTATGGCTTTGAAACTTACCATACTTGTTCACCATCATAACCTCCATCTACAGACAAGAGTACATAACTCTGTCAAGGTTTTTGACAGAATTATGGCCCTTTTTTGACTTAGAAAGTGTATTGAGCTTGGTTAAGTTTTTTGTACCACCTCACTTTATTTCAAAACCATTGGAGGTATTGCTTTGAAACTGACCATACTTGTTTACCATCACGACCTTCATCAACAGACAAGAGGACATAACTCTGTCAAGGTTTTTGACAGAATTATGCCCCTTTTTGACTTAGAAAATACATTGAATATGGGTAAAATCCACTTATTGCCTTAACCCTTTGAGATATTGCTTTGAAACTTTTAATGCTATTTCACATCATTACCCCCATCTGTACGCAAGAGAAGGTAACTCTGTCAAGGATTTGTTTTAAAAATTAAGGCCTTTTATCGACTTAGAATCTTGGTTAAGTTTTTAGTACCAGTCCACTTTTTGACTGAACTGTTTGAGATATTAATTGAAAGTTGGAATACTTGTTTACAATCATGATTCCCAAACATGTCCAGGAGAAGGTAATTCTGTCAAAGATTTTATTTGAATTATGGCCCTTAACTGTCAATGTTTTGTATTATAGGCAAGCACTAAAAAACTTAAAAAATCTAAAAAAATTCATTCCTATCCACTTGTTCACTTTACCATAAATTATGTCATATAAACATTGCTGTAATATTCAAGGGTATCAAACAACTAGTTCACTTTAAAAATACAGAGATTCTTGTATTGCCTTTTACTGCAAAAACTTTTTTTATTGGCAAGCAATAAAAAAGTCGAGCGCGCTGTCTTACGGACAGCTCTTGTTTTTCATATTTTATAGATTTTGCATTCTTTTATTTGTATATTTTTATTACAGACATCTAGTTCACATGACCATAAGAAGGTAAAGCGAAAGGTAAGTCAAATTACTTATAGTATAAAATTTTATTTGTAAACATACGCTTTCAAAAATCAACATGAAGCAGATAAGAATGCAATTATTACTATATGTAGTCTATTATACAATATTAGGAAAACGTACCGCTGTGATAAAGTTTATTATTCTTGATGATAAAATCCACTAATGAGACCACTCTGCAATAAAGACCACTTTGGTTAAGACTTTGTTTTTTATTATATTATAAATACACTTAGCTAATTCATATTATTTGATTAATTATTCCTGGTTTTGCGGGAATTCAATACAAGATGCTGACCTTAAGAATTGACTGCATTTGGTCTATGTATTTGTTTAAAAAGTACACTACCCTCCATAATTAAGTATACACTTATGAATTATATGCTTTTTGTCAAATTTTGCGCTAATAGCTAACATTATTTCAATTGTTTTGTCTTCATTCTGTAATACAGGTAATCTTTATTAAAAGGGAGAGAATAAAAACGCACCGTTTCACCGTTTTCAGACAAATTATGCGTTGATTTAAATTTGAGGCAATTCTTTTCAATTCACTAAGTTTTTAGCTCGACTATTCGAAGAATATGAGAGCTATTGTAGTCGCCCCGGCGTCGGCGTCAGCTTCCGCGTCGGCGTCTGCGTTGGTTAAAGTTTTTTGTAAAGTCAAATATCTCAATTATTACTTGAGATATTCAATTGAAACTTACAATACTTATTTATAGTAACAAGGTACATCAGATTGACAAGTTGGATAACTCTGCCTACAATATTGACAGAATTATGCCCCTTTTTAACTTAGAAATTTTGGTTAAAGTTTTTTGTAAAGTCAAATATCTCAATTATTGCCTGAGATATTCAATTGAAACTTGAAATACTTATTTATAGTAACAAGATACATCAGATTGACAAGTTGGATAACTCTGCCTACAATATTGACAGAATTATGCCCCTTTTTAACTTAGAAATTTTGGTTAAAGTTTTTTGTAAAGTCAAATATCTCAATTATTGCTCGAGATATTCAATTGAAACTTGAAATACTTATTTATAGTAACAAGGTACATCAGATTGACAAGTTGGATAACTCTCCCTACAATATTGACAGAATTATGCCCCTTTTTAACTTAGAAATTTTGGTTAAAGTTTTTTGTAAAGTCAAATATCTCAATTATTGCTCGAGATATTCAATTGAAACTTGAAATACTTATTTATAGTAACAAGGTACATCAGATTGACAAGTTGGATAACTCTGCCTACAATATTGACAGAATTATGCCCCTTTTTAACTTAGAAATTTTGGTTAAAGTTTTTTGTAAAGTCAAATATCTCAATTATTGCTTGAGATATTCAATTGAAACTTGAAATACTTATTTATAGTAACAAGGTACATCAGATTGACAAGTTGGATAACTCTGCCTACAATATTGACAGAATTATGCCCCTTTTTAACTTAGAAATTTTGGTTAAAGTTTTTTGTAAAGTCAAATATCTCAATTATTGCTTGAGATATTCAATTGAAACTTATATTACTTATTTATAGTAACAAGGTACATCAGATTGACAAGTTGGATAACTCTGCCTACAATATTGACAGAATTATGCCCCTTTGGAACTTAGAAATTTTGGTTAAAGTTTTTTTGTTAAGTCAAATATCTCAATTATTATGTCTCCCCCACCTCGGGGGGAGACATATTGTTTTTGCCCTGTCCGTCAGTCCGTCCGTCCGTCCGTCCGTCCGTCAGTCCGTCAGTCCGTCCGTCCATTCTTCGTTTCCGGACGATAACTAGAGTTCCTTTAGACCTACAGCCCTCAAACTTCATAGGATGATTGGTCTTATAGAGCTGATGATCCCTATTGTTTTTGGGGTCAGTAGGTCAAAGGTCAAGGTCACAGTGACCGTTGGTCAATTTCTCGTTTCCGGATGATAACTAGAGTTCCTTTAGACCTACAGACCTCAAACTTCATAGGATGATTGGTCTTATTGAGCAGATGATCCCTATTGTTTTTGGGGTCAGTAGTTCAAAGGTCAAGGTCACAGTGACCGTTGGTCAATTTCTCGTTTCCGGATGATAACTAGAGTTCCTTTTGACCTACAGCCCTCAAACTTCATAGGATGATTGGTCTTATAGAGCAGATGATCCCTATTGTTTTTGGGTCAGTAGGTCAAAGGTCAAGGTCACAGTGACCGTTGGTCAATTTCTCGTTTCCGGATGATAACTAGAGTTCCTTTTGACCTACAGCCCTCAAACTTCATAGGATGATTGGTCTTATAGAGCTGATGATCCCTATTGTTTTTGGGGTCAGTAGGTCAAAGGTCAAGGTCACACTGACCGTTGGTCAATTTCTCGTTTCCGGATGATAACTAGAGTTCCTTTAGACCTACAGACCTCAAACTTCATAGGATGATTGGTCTTATTGAGCAGATGATCCCTATTGTTTTTGGGGTCAGTAGTTCAAAGGTCAAGGTCACAGTGACCGTTGGTCAATTTCTTGTTTCCGGATGATAACTAGAGTTCCTTTTGACCTACAGCCCTCAAACTTCATAGGATGATTGGTCTTATAGAGAAGATGATCCCTATTGTTTTTGGGGTCAGTAGGTCAAAGGTCAAGGTCACAGTGACCGTTGGTCAATTTCTTGTTTCCGGATGATAACTAGAGTTCCTTTTGACCTACAGCCCTCAAACTTCATAGGATGATTGGTCTTATAGAGCAGATGATCCCTATTGTTTTTGGGGTCAGTAGGTCAAAGGTCAAGGTCACAGTGCAGTGGGGGAGACATGCGCTTTTTTACAAAAGCATCCTCTAGTTGCTTGAGATATTCAATTGAAATTTAAAATACTTTTTTTATAGTAACAATGTACATTAGTTTGCAAAATTGCATAACTCTGCCTGCAATATTTGCAGAATTATTTGCCCCTTTGAAACTTAGAAATTTTGGTTAAAGGTGAAAGGTCTTTAAAGATATTTACTTGAAACTTTACACATGCACTTAGGGTCATAATTGGAGGGTCATAATTGTATGTCACTGACCAAGTTCCATAACTCTATCTTGCATTAAGGCTGATTCATATCCCCTTAGTCTCTTGGTTAATTTTTACATGCAAGTTTTACATATCTCAATAACTATTAAAGATATTTATTTAAAACTTCACATATGCATTTAGGGTCATAATTGTAGGTCACTGACAAAGATCCTTAATTTTATCTTGCATTTAGGCTGATTTTTCTCCCCTTTTTCAACTTAGAAATTCATGGTAAAGTTTTGCTTGTAAGCTGTTATCTCAATAACTACGGAAGGGTTTGTGCCTTTTTTGGGACAATTTTATGCATTCATAATAATAAAGCAGTGATTTACTTGATAAAACATCTTAATAACAAGCCTTTGTACCTTTTCTGTCAAATTTATGTATTCATAGGTAATTAGTACATGTATTATTATACTCAATTAAACACCCTTGTGACATTTCCTTCCGAATAGTCAAGCCAATACTGTATAATTAGACTCTCTCTAAGGCCTATAACATGAATTTATAAAAAAAATTAGCCCTTTTGTGAACTTAAAAAATTTAACATTATCAAGGCTCTTTTACTATCAAGCACTTAGAATAGTCGAGCGTGCTGTCCTACCGACAGCTCTTGTTTTAAAGTGAGATTTGTCAAAAACAAATTCAATCCAAATCATACAATCAACATGATCAATGTGTGAAATGACAATAGTATAACATTTTTGGACAAAAATCATCAATAAAACACAACAACAAAATGGTTCGTTTAACAGAAGGACAGCGGGTAGAATGTCTGGTCCGTCACCAACATGGAGAGAGCGTCACTGCCATTGCAAGAGTCCTTGGAGTCACCAGGTAAGAGTCTTTTCTTAAGTTTTAACTCTTTTTATGTCTTTACCGATTAAAATGTATGTCTTGACCAAGTTTTATAGAAATGGACCTGATATTTGTCTTAATATTTCTTGCAGGAAAACAGTTTACAAGACATTGGAGTGCAAGGAAGAGACAGGAGGACTGGCCGAAAGACCTCGTTCAGGGCACCCTAGACTTTCAAATGTTAGAGATGATAGAGCCATCATAAGACTCAGTCTAAGAGATCGTCGGGAGACTGTGCCTTTCCTCAGAGCTTTATGGGAGAGCTACGGAGTCTCAGCCAGCCTCACCACAGAAAGGCGTTACAGGATGCTGGTTTACATGGACGGAAGGCAGTCAGGAAGCCTCTGTTGACCCGGTTCACCGCCAGAAACGCATTGCCATTGCTCAGGAGCATGTTGATTGGACTTGGGTGGACTGGAGTGCTGTTCTTTGGACAGATGAGTCCAGATTCACTCTGTTCCAAAATGATGGAAATGTGTTTGTCCGGGGCGTCGTTTTGAAAGGCTTCACAATGACTGTGTTGTGCCACCAGTGAAGTTTGGTGGTGGTGGAGTGACTGTGTGGGGTGCAATGTCATACAGAGGTCCAGGTTTTCTCCATACTATTCACGGTAACTTGAATGCACATTGATACATTGACATTTTGAGCAATGTTGCACTCCCCTCTGCCCACTACCTTGGATATGGCGACTCCTACTTCTTCCAAGATGATGTGGCTCCATGTCACAGGGTCAGAATAGTTAATGTCTGGAAGCAGGAGCATGGCATTACTGACATTGGACAGTGGCCACCACAAAGCCCTGACTTTAATCCAATTGAAAATCTGTGGTATGATTTAAAATGCAGTGTTCGCGACTACAGGTCAAGAAATCTAACCGAGTTGGAAGCCAATTTAGGGATGCTTGGGACAGAATACATGTAGAGAGGTGTCAAAGACTTATAAGAAGCATGCGAGAGAGAATGGTAGCTGTTATTGCTCCCAAAGGAGGCTATACACGTTATTGAAAATGAATTATTGGTAATGCTGATTCATGTCGTGAATTGGTATTTTGTATACAGACTTTTAAAAAAGTTCTTAATGTTGTTTAATGACCAAGTTCTTGTTATGCAGACTTTTATTTGTCAATGAATAACAAACAAATTTGATATAAAATGAATTAAATGCCAAATAAAGTATTTGTTTAAGTTTAAGAGCTGTTTGTTTTTGCCTTTTTATGAAATATCACACTGTATACTTACTTATGGAGGGTAGTGTATTTCAAAACATCAAGGCTTGACGATATTTCTGTGTCATTGTTTGTCTCATAGCAAAGTTAAATTGATAAATAAAACTGCTGTTTATTTCCAGAAAAAAACAAAAGGGAAGTCAATTCCAAAAGATATATCATCCAACTCAGACAAAGGCAAAGAAAAGGTAAAATATATTTTTTGTTCCTTGAAGCATGTAATTAAAGGGACTGCTGAGGATTGGCAGGACTGGGAATAAGTTTACAAGATTTACATTTTATTTGATGTACATGTAGGTTAAGATCAATAACGTGTGCAAAATATCAGATTATTCGCTCACTCTGTTTTTTTCCATGATAATTACTCTAAATATGAAAAAAGTTGCAATGCTTTTCATTCAAATCGGGCCATGAATGGCATAAAAAATAGTATATTTTTAGCTCACCTGTCACAAAGTGACAGGGTGAGCTTTTGTGATCGCTTTTCGTCCGGCGTCCGTCCGGCGTCCGTCCGTCCGTAAACTTTTGCTTTAAATGACATCTCCTCATAAACCACTGAGCCAATTTCATCCAAACTTCACAGGAATATTCCTTTGGTGGTCACCTTTAAAAATTGTTCAAAGAATTTAATTCCATGCAGAACTCTGGTTGCCATGGCAACCAAAAGAAAAAACTTTAAATATCTTCTTTTAAAAAACCATAAGAGCTAGAGCTTAGATATTTGGCATGAAACATCTTCTAGTGAGTGTCTACCAAGTTTGTTCAAATAAAAGCCCTTGGGTCAAAATTGGCCCCGCCCCAGGGGGGCATTGATTTTCCCTATATGCATATAGTAAAAACTTAAAAAATCTTCTTTTGAAGAACCCAAAGAGCTAGAGCTTAGATATTGGGCATGAAACATCTTCTAGTGAGTGTTTACCAAGTTTGTTCAAATAAAAGCCCTGGGGTCAAAATTGGCCCCGCCCCAGGGGGTCATTGATTTTCCCATTATGCATATAGTAAAAACTTAAAAATCTTCTTTTAAAGAACCCAAAGAGCTAGAGCTAAGATATTTAGCATGAAACATCTTCTAATGAGTGTCTACCAAGTTTGTTCAAATAAAAGCCCCGGGGTCAAAATTGGCCCCGCCCCAGGGGGTCATTGATTTCCCTATATGCATATAGTAAAAACTTAAAAAATCTTGTTTAAAGAGCTAGAGCTAAGATATTTAGCATGAAACATGTTCTTATGGGTGCCTACCAAGTTTGTTCAAATAATAGCCCTGGGGTCAAAATTGGCCCCGCCCCGGGGGTCATTGATTTTCCTTATATGTCGTATAGCAAAAACTTAAAAAATCTTCTTTGGAAAAACCCAAATATCTAGAGTTTAGATATTAAGCATGAAACATCTTCTAGTGAGTGTCTACAAAGTTTGTTCAAATAAAAGCCCTGGGGTCAAAATTGGCCCTGCCCCGGGGGTCATTGATTTTCCTTATATGTGTATAGCAAAAACTTAAAACTCTTCTGTGAAAAAACACAAATAGCTAGAATTTGGATATTAAGCATGAAACATCTTCTAGAAAGTGTCTACAAAGTTTGTTCAAATAAAAGCCCTGGGGTCAAAACTGGCCCCGCCCCAGGGGTGTCATTGTTTTTAACTATATGTGTATAGTAAAAACTTAAAATAACTTCTTTGAAAAAACCCAATGAGCTAGAGCTTAGATGTTTAGCATGAAATATCTTCTTATGGGTGTCTACCAAGTTTGTTCAAATAAAAGCCCTTGGGTTAAAATTGGCCCTGCCAGGGGGTGGGGGGGAGGCCTATATACAGGTGAGCGACTTCAGGGCCATCATGGCCCTCTTGTTCAATTATCTTTCCAAATCTTTCTGTTTTAAATGCCCCAGCTGACCAATATGTATGTAAGTAATTAAAATTTTATGTTTTTATATCTCAGTGGAGTTTTTTTAAAGCTAAATTATGTTACAATTGTACCAAAATATATGTATTAAGTACCGAGGAAAAATTGGGAAAAGTGTTACAAATTGAAAGTGAATTGTGATTGAAAGGACCATATGTAAAGCAATATTAGTATGTTTTTAGACTATTAGACCTCCACAAGTTCCTTTATAGCTTAATTAGGCATTTATGTATGTGACAATAAGAGTTGTACCGAAATATATGTATTATGTACCAAGAATACATAAGGGGAAAAAAATGTTGCAACTGAAAAGTGATTTGTGAAAGAAAGCAACATAAGTAATATAGTCCACAAATCAGTCTCAAAATAGAAGTGGAATGTTATGTAAGGGAACAATTTATTCTGTTAAAATTACATTTGTAAAAATATGCATAAATGAACAGAGATGCTTGCTGTTAAATTTTTCTGAAGAGAGGACAATAAGGTTATGTAAAACAAGTTCATTTTACTCCTTGTTTAAAGTTGATACAATAATATATTTTGTCAGTTATAGCTGAAGACCATTTAACATGTTATTGCCAAACATTCCCCTAATACTTTATATGGAAAGTTAGTCATTTATGTGTGCAGAAACAATGGAGTACTTGAGTGGAATACAGAAACATGTATTTATTTTACCTTATGATACTGCCAAGGATTGAAAAGTTCTACTTGTCTGTTTGTATTTATAAGCAGAATGGAGGGCAAGTAAAAAATGTAGCCTGCTTAAACATGTAGTATTTGTGTCTGAAAATATTTTTTTTATTTCCTGAATGGCTCTCCTCAAAGTAGAGGGCTCTTCTCAAAGTAGATAGAACAGCTACATATATTTTAATATTTCCATTGAGTAATTTAAAACATCTTGAAATTACCATGGCTTTGTAGTCAACAAGTTACATCATAAATCAGGGCAACACCATAGAACATTAATCTACAGATTCCATTAAATTGTGCACTTCACTCTTCAACATTATATCAGATTTGTACAGAAATTGAACATGAGCAAAACTGTTTCATTCTTTATTATACAGACAGAAGAGATGGTAATCCCCCAGGAGAAACGTAATGGAAATGATTCACTAAAGAACGCCAAATTAGAACTACAACAACAAAAAGAGGAATTTAAGACGTACCTTAGTGACGCCTTGGACTCGTTAATGAAACAGGCATACAAGAAAGCTATGTCAAGCTATCAGAAGGCCTTAGATCTTGTTGTTTTAAATGGCAATCAGAAGGTAAGGGGAATTATAACAATTAAATGATAGATATATGCGTTTATTTTGATTTTAGATAGTAAGTTTTTAATGTTATAGGCACTAAATTTATTATGGATTGTTTCAAATTTTAAGTAGGGCAAATATTCCAATACTTTCAACCTATAAATGGACTCGTCCTGCTGCTTTGACAGTGGAACAGTCAATTAGCAGGTAAAAGATATCAGTACCTATCACAATAAAATCCAGTAGATCCTTGAATAAACCAGTTTACAAACCATCCTGATGTTTGACGTGTGTTCTCTACTTCTTTTGATTTACATGTACTTGTTTATACAATAAAATCTTGTCAGGCTGTACCAAAGTTAAGTATGGACCGGCTTCATATTTTCAAAAGAGGCAAGACATTAATCTCATTATCACCTTTAGTTTGAAGGAACTGTGAATTAAATTGTATAGATTATATCAATTTAGACATAAAAAAGAGTATCAGTCAGGTCAGGTTTATATCAACAATTATAATATTCGTCGTTTGTAACATTGATTCTCATTGGACAGCCATGATATTTATATTTCAAATATTCTTGACTACTGCAATTTCATAATTTGATTTTTATTGTTTTCAAAGAAAATGATTATGCAGTATTATAAATTCATAATAAACATTTCTGACATTGCCAAAGTAAAAACTGTTGTAAGCGTATGACCCTAGTTGATAATGCCAAAGTTTGAATTAAAGTGAAAACTACTGGTTTAAATAATTCCAATTGACTTATTAGGATATTGTAAATATATTATGATATGAGGTTTAGTGGGATAGGTTGAGCTTTAAAAGTTATCCACTTTAGTGGGTATACAGTGTAACAGCTTATGTCAAATTTAGAACTTTGACAGGTGAGTTGTGGCAGAATATTTAATAAAATTGCATATATTTGATGTTTCAATTACAGGAATTTAGTATGGATGATTCGGACATGCTGACATTGAAATATGCCTTCAGTATATCAGCTATTGGTACCTGCAACTACAAGGTATTCTAATTATATTTGCATTGTTAGTCCTTGAACCTTCACTTTTTGTGCCCCCATGTTAGTAGCGTGCATTTAGATTTACCCTTATCCGTCCGTCCGTCTGTCCGTCCGTCCGTTCACTTTTGTGTCGCACGTAACTTAAAAAGTATTTGACCTAGAGTCATGAAACTTTACAGGAATGTTGATCAGCATGTGTAGTTGTGCACCTGGGTATTTTCGTCTGGATATTTTTAGTATTTTCAGAAGTATTGCCCTTGACTTAGTAAAATTTTGCAATTTTCAACTTGTGTCGCATGTAACTCAAAAAGTATTTGACCTAGAGTCATGAAACTTTACAGGAATGTTGATCAGCATGTGTAGTTGTGCACCTGGGTATTTTTGTGTGGATATTTTTAGTATTTTCAGAGTTTTTGCCCTTCACTTAGTAAAAAATTGCAATTTTCAACTTGTGTCGCACAAAGCTCAAAAATTATTTGACCTAGGGTCATGAAAATTTATATGAATGTTGGTCAGCATGTGTAGTTGTGCACCTGGGTATTTTTGTGTGGATATTTTTAGTATTTTCAGAGTTATTGCCCTTGACTTAGTAAAATTTTGCAATTTTCAACTTGTGTCGCAGGTAACTCAAAAAGTATTTGACCTAGAGTCTTGAAACTTTACAGGAATGTTGATCAGCATGTGTAGTTGTGCACCTGGGTATTTTCGTCTGGATATTTTTAGTATTTTCAGAGTTATTGCCCTTGACTTAGTAAAATTTTGCAATTTTCAACTTGTGTCGCAGGTAACTCAAAAAGTATTTGACCTAGGGTCATGAAACTTTACAGGAATATTGATCAGCATGTGCAGTTGTGCACCAGGTATTTTTGTCTGGATTTATTTAGTATTTTTAGAGCTATTGCCCTTCACTTAGAAAATTTTTGCAATTTTCAACTTGTGTCGCCAGTTACTCAAAAAGGATTTGACATATTCATTAAACCTTACGGGCAGGTTGCACAGCATATTTAGATTTGCACCTGGGGTTTCGCTTGTGGATTTATCCAGTATTTGTAGAGTTATTTCCCTTGACTTAGTAAAAAGATTGACAGAACAGTGGCGCGGTGGGGGCACCCGTGTCTTATGGACACATTTCTAGTTTGGCTTTGTAGCTGCAAGGATTTCAATATCAAAATACATGTATTTCAATTGAGCTTTCTGGGTCTGGTCTCAGACAGATTCGCTGGCTGTTTTGGCCCTTACCTGTTGGTAAAGAAATGTTTGTATCACTTTTATCACTAAATAAGTTAAAGTTCCATAGAAAAGTTAAGCTTATTATAATCTTGTCATATTCTTATACAAATATATAGCCCTTGATGTACAAATGAAACAAGTATATATATAATCATTTTTGTGATAAAGAGTAAGAAACTTTAAGTTACCAGTTCAAAAGATTTCAACATCAACTGACTATAATTAATCAGCCAACATTTTACATTAAACAGACTCTACAGAGGTTTTTTGACATGATAGGACTGGAAATAATTTTTTAGAGATTTTCATACAATTAAATATAGGTCTGGATCAGTAACTTCCATTTTTCCTGAATAATTTTTGCAAAATGACCGAAAAATGAATAGCATAGTTTTCCATTTTAATTGCTCCACTTGATCTATGTAAGAATTTCAAATTTTATGTTTTAGGCTATTTGACCTGAGTGGATCCCCTTTAAGATTGTACAAATGTTTAGACTTGTTCTTTATAAGTAATAATCACCATTGGTGACCAGATAGTGAAGAAATATCTTTCGCAAGTTTGATTCGGGATGCTATGTTTAGTGGTTACAATATTTGGTTTTATATTTGACAGAATATACTAGATGGTATAGAAAAACTGGAGGAGATCAAGGATTATTGTGAGACACATGATGATGTGAAGTTTCCCGTGCTTTACTATGGTCTCGGCAAGGCTTATGTTAGCCTAAACAGGTATATCTAATATCTAACTTATCACGGTGGTTTAAAGTATTGTTGAATCGATTGACTCAGTTACGTACTGTTATGAAAGTTAGTTTAGTTTAAACATTAATATTTTAATTTGATTGCGAAACAAGTTTTTGCAACTTATTTAAATCACTATCGAGTCCGCTTCCTGGAGCTAATCAGAACTGGTATCAAATGAAGAAACATGATTATGACCCGAGTAGGGCTTGAAACCCATGATCTCTGGGTTGATAGGCAGACACCATAACCACTAGGCCACACTCCCCTCTCTGTAAAAGTTCTGCTATGACAAGAAAAAAAAATGTCAATATCTGGGAAAAAGAGAAAAGTTAAAGAAGTTTACAAGACGGCTGTAACTATGAATTAATTTTTGTCCCATTCCTGTAAAATCTAAATTTTAGCATAACTTAAATATCTAATTTTACAGTAATCACTTTCATAGTAGGAAATATACTTAGTTATATTTAAAAAAGGAAAATAATTTTGGAAAAAGGGGGAAAATATTAACAAGTGTGAAAATAAAACTTAAGACAAACAATAAACTGAAGATTATTTTATCATTTTATGGACATAGATTGTTGAAAGCATTCATATCGTTTGATCAATGTGAACTTACATCTTATTTGCATATACAATTTTCTGTTAAGACTAAAAATTTGTGTTATTACAAGAGGTTATCAAAAATCTTATCCTCTTTCAGTAAACAAAGGCATTGTTTGTGGTAAAATAGGCTAGATCTAGTGAAGCTACTAGTGTGAATTTAGGTCATTGATATTGTTACCATATTGTTTTTGTTTTTTCAGGTTCCCGGAAGCACTGGAGCCATTACAAGATGGGTACCAGGTAGCTAGTAGTGTTACCTACCCACTGGTAACCTGGCCAGGAACCAAACAACTCATTAAAGAGACAGATCCAAATATTCTACAGGTTTGTACAATACTGTAAATTTACTGCAATCTATCTGGTTTTATAGTTGATCTTTTTGTCATTGAAGTATATTTTTATACAATGAAAACAATAAGAATCCCAGGGAAAGTCAACTTTTATCAAACAGTATTTTCAAGGGTGTCCAAGGCTAAGTGGTTAAGGTTGTTGGCTTCAAATCACTTGCCTCTCACAGCTGTAGGTTTGAGCCACAGAAGCCCCTTTGGATTCTTTCATATGAGAAAGCTGTCCAGCTAGATTACGGAATGTTGGTGGTTCTACTCAAATGCCTGTTTGTGCCTGAAATAATGCACAATAGGGCACCTGAGGTCTTCCTCCACCAGAAAAAATGGAACGTTGCCATGTGACCTATACTATGTTGGTGTGATGTAAAACCCAACCAAAAAACAATATTTTCATTAAAAATGACGGATATACATGTTCATGTTTTCTTATTTTTTTATACAGGATAGTTTAAAAAATCTGCTACAGTTATGTAAATTTCCACCAACACCGGATGCTGTGTGCAGGAATCATATGGACACTTCTGATAAACGTACAGTAATCTATCTCACAGACCCAGATTTCAAGGTAAAGATCATCTTTCAATCCATCAGTTACAGGGAAAAATTTCCTGATTGAATAGTGACCAGTGCAGACCATTATCAGATGTCACAGGGCTGCCGGCAGAGGTCTTGAGTGGATTGCACTGGTCACATGGGTATTACTAGTCCTCAAGTGCAGTTTTAAAGTTAGGAAAAGTAAAAAGATTCATAATCCACATAAAACTAACTGCATTTTAAGACACAATTAGTAATTTCTAGATTTCTGATTTTTTATTCAGGAAAATATGCAAACTCTGAATCAGGTGAACTGTGTAATTATCTTTATAATACACATATTGATTATTTTCAGGGCTAGATACAGATTATATGTCAGATGAACTGTGTAATTAACTTTACAATACACATATTGATTATTTTCAGGGCTACATACAGATTATATGTCAGATGCATTGTGTGGTCACATTCCATCAAGTTTGTTTCAGGTCGTACAAAAATAGCTTGAATAAACAAAGTGATAAGGTAGGAAGTTATCATATTCTTATCTGTATAATGAATTTAAGGCACACAACTTTCTGTCATATTACAATCACATTGACTTCTAGAAAGTTTGTGTGAAGTTTCAAGGGAAACTTTATTTTAAGGTTTTGGCCAATTCAGAAAAAAAGTTCAATTACTTGTATTTGCTGTTTGGATTTTTTTTTTTTAATTTCATTTGCTAATGTATTTTATTTTCTATATAGATTTCAGTCATGAAAATTAGTTAAAGTATTATAAACTATACATGGCTATTTTAATGTAATGGACTTGTGCAGTTTGGTCAGATGAAATTTAGTGACAAGCTTACAGCAAGATGTACTTATAGAACATTATACAGTGAGCTTGCCTAATGTGACATAGGCTTGTTTTATTAAATGCTTCTTCTTAAACATTGGATGGATCTTTATAGCTCTTACACAGCTTTTTGTGGTAATCCTGTTGGAATTTGAAGTAGTCTTTTTCAAAATAAGATATTTTTGCATAAGTAACATTTTGCTATATTTAGGAGGTTAAATATTATGTCACCTTAGTGCAATAACATGTTAACTTCTATTAAATTATATTAGAAGTTAACCTTTTATTGCACCAAGGTGACGAAAGTGAAGTTCTATTTTCAGTTCTTTTTGATTTATATGATTCTAGATTTTAATGAACATTTCTTTACAAAATTTAATATGTTGTGAAAATTTCTTCTATAAAGTATGAAAAGTTAAAATGATTTTCAGTGTAAAAAAAACATATAAATGTAAGAAGTCAGCCGTACAGAGTCTAAGACACGCAGGTTAGCCTGGCTGTGCACTGGTATCAGAGGTCTTTTATTATTGCCACTAGGGCACATCAATCTGTGAAAGATGTATATTCATATATATCAGTCACTATTTGAAAGTGTTTATGGTTATTTTCAGGATGTTTTAGACACCATATGTCCGACACCAGATTGTGCGTGTTTCATCATTAAAGTACACGTTGTCAGATCTGACAGTCTCTCTAAAGAGGTATGCCTAATTAAAACAGATTATACTTATATTGTTTTTTTCTAACTGGAGTGTGAAAGATGATATTAATATTTATAAATAGACCATATGGAGGCCGATTCTATTCAGAACTATGGTTGCTATGGCAACCAAATGGGAAAATCTGCTTTATGGAAAATCTTTTTGTCAGATTTTGACAATATTTTACTGAAATGATTAATGGGTGAGCATCTGCCAATATTGTTTCAAATTATTTTGATTTAATAAAAAGCATGGGTGGCAAGGTGTGAGGTCTTTTTGTGTCGCCTTGAAAAGGTGACATATAGGGGTTACTCTCGTCGGCGGTGTCGGCGGCGGTGTCGGCGTCGTTGTCGGCGTCCCCTAAAGCTTGTCCGGAGCATAACTCAGTCACTATAAGTCTGATTGACTTCAAACTTGGTATGCATGCTTCTTACAATAACCCGAAGTGCAGTGCACAAGAACCGGTACTCTGCAGTTCTTATTTTTTGAGTTATTGCCCTTTGTTAATTTTCATACATTAATTTTGTCCGGGCCATTTCTCTTCAACTAAAAAAGCTATGGACTTGAAACTTCATAGGATGATAGATCTCATTAAGAAGAAATGCAGTGCACAAGAACCAGTACTCTGCACTTCCTAATTTTTGAGTTATTGCCCTTTGTTAATTTTCATACTTTATTTTTGTCCGGGCCATTTCTCCTAATGTATAAAAGCCATGGACTTGAAACTTCATAGGATGATAGGTCTCATTAAGAAGAAGTGCAGTGCACAAGAACTGGTACTCTGCATTTCTTATTTTTTGAGTTATTGCCCTTTGTTTATTTTCATACTTAAATTTTGTCCGGGCCATTTCTCCTTAAGTATAAAAGCTATGGACTTGAACTTTCATAGGATGATACATCTCATTATTAAGAAGTGCAGTGCACAAGAATCGGTACTCTGCATTTCTTAATTTTTGAGTTATGGCCCTTGTTAAATTTCATACTTTATTTTTGTCCTGGTCATTTCTCCTCAAGTATGAAAGCTATTGACTTGAAACATCATAGAATGATATATGTTATTGATAAGAACTGCAGTGTACAGAAACTGCTGCTCTGCACTTATTTTTTTAGTTATTGCCCTTTGTTATTTTTCATATTTCATTTTTGTCCTGGCCATTTCCCCTAAACTACATTGTTCACAAGGCGACACATCCGACTCGCGGAGTTCTAGTTTTCCCATAGATGTATATGATTATAGGGAAAACTTTGAATATGATTGAATAAAAAGCATGGATGCTAGGGTGTGTCTCTGTGGTCTGTTTTTGTCAGATAGGGAAATCATGGAAAATTTCTTCTGAAAAAACTTGTTTGTATGAAACGATATTAACTGAAACGATACTTGAGTAACCATCTACTTAGATTGTTAAAATAATTTCAGTTAGTTATATAGCATGACAGTTACGGGGTGCCCGGTCCACTTTTCTGTATTGTCTAAAGTATTAAAGAAATTGATAAAGATCATCTTATTTAAATCTGTGTTAAAATGTTTAGAATATTGACCCACAATATGGCTACTACTATAGCAAGGGAAGCAAGTATTGTAAAAATTGGGAACTATCTTTACAGAGTCATCATGGCCCTTGTTGTTTAGAATTTTGTGTACGCTTTATAGAAAATTCATAAAGAAGATTGGGAAATTTAATTTACATACATGTCTGATAATAAACAACATATATTTTTCCAGTATCTCTCTGAGAAGTATTCTGATATGAAAGATGGCAAAAGCAAGAAACCTGTGGAAAAGCAGAAGACAACAAAGTAAGAATCTCATACTCTGCCCCATTATTTCTATTAGGGGTGCTGTTAATTTGCTCATAGTCGCAGCTGAGAAGTTTGTTAGCAAATTCTATAAAGAAAACAAAAATATCCCTGAAGTCTGTTTTATCACTCTCTTTTTTCGAAAAAAAAATGCATTGTGGATTACCACCTATAACCATGTGAAAGGTGAAATGAGCCGCGTCACGACAAAACCAACATAGTGTGTTTGCGACCAGCCTGAGCATCCGATAAGTCTTATCAGGATCCATGCTGTTCAATATCAGTTTCTCTGCTTGTAATAGAGTTGGTAAACGAACAGCATGGATCCTGATCAGACTGCACGAATGCGCAGGCTGGTCTGGATCCATGCTGGTTGTAAACGCACTATGTTGGTTTTCTCATGACGTGGCTCAATTAGTTTTGTGGTATAAAATGTATTGTATAAAACACACAAGTCAAGTACAAACTATTAATAGAAGTAAAAAGAACTCCTTGCTTCAAAATAAAGGGGGGAAAAGTAAGTTAAAAGTGTTAATATGGTGAAGTTACAATACTGCATTATTGATTCGTAGAAAACCGGAAAATTACTTTGTTTACTGGAAGTCTCATTATCACATTGAATTGTTACTTTGTTTTATAGTCACTTGAAAACAAGTCACGTTTTGTGGTTATGTGAGTTTCTTGACTTTTTTTGTGACAAACAATGTTGATAATAAAAAAAAGACACACACAGAAAAAAATGATTGTGTCTTTCCCTTTTTCTTCTTGCCTTTGAAAAGCAAAGAATCTGTTATTTTAAGTGTCTTGGAGATCTTTTTGTTGTGCTCTTTTGTTGAGATTTTTTTCAAATATGAAGGAATTAAATGCAGTTGAGATGGAAGATTTGTAAGTTTACATTGATCATAACTTTCCTTAAATTTTATATCAGACTAGTTCTGCTTTGAGTATGGAATTGTCCATTGTTAATGTGAGGAATTTTTATATAAAATTGTTGAAATTAAACAACAGTAATCAGAATGGATTTTGGTCAGACTTGACAGTTGAAGGGACTCTATTGAGGTTTTTTTGGACCGAAAATATTGTGCAGAGATTTGTGTACAAATTGATAACTTGTATGCAAATTTTCAGGTCATTCCATCACCTCATTTTCCCATAATAATCATTTTTAGCTAGACTTTTTCTCGAAAAGAAAAATAGAGGTATTCTTACAGTCATGTTCGTGTCCAGTCAGTAACTTTGTCATGCATTGAAAGATTTTAAGATAATTTGACACAAATGTCTACCACATCAAGACGACATGTCACGTCCAAAACACATGGTCCTAACTCCAATTGTGATGGGCAAGGGTCAGAAAATAACCAGTATATAATGTAATTTTATTCCTGGCAATATGTGTATGATTTTTAAAGTCATGTGTAAAAGTAAAGACATCAACCCGTCTTCTGCGAGAAGAACACTGTCCAAAAAATGAGGTATATAAATGTAGAGTATGTATAAATTTCAATGTCAATATTGTTTCAGTGAAACTAAGATTGCTAAAAAACAGGATAAGAAAGATAAAAGGAAGCAGAAGAGAAAAGAGTATATAGATCAAGAATATCTTACAAATAAACAGAAAAATGAAGGTAAGACAAGCTTGGACGAGTTTTTGTAGCATTCACAGTCTTAAAAATAACTTGATTGTAATTTATATTTTCTTTTGTTTTGTGTAGTTAAAAGAAAAGTTTACATGTATTAGAGTATCTGGGAATGTCAGCCTAAAATATTAACCAAAAAACTACTTTATGAATTAGATAAGATACCTTTGTATGACAGTATTAGAACACTGTTTAAAGTCAGTAAATTGTCACCTTGGTGCAATAACTACTTAACTCCTATTAAATTTATTAGGACTTAACCAGTAACTGCACTATAGTTACAATATAGACTGACCTGTTTTTACACGCAGGCAAAAGAATAGAGCTTTTTCTTATGTTAATACCATGTTACATAGGTTTGTCAAAACAATATCTAGGAGCATGCACTGTTGTTACCGACATAGATTTGTGTTAAAATGAGTGTCAGTGTGGATGAGGTTTACCTGTATATTTACAGAATCAGATGAAGTAATTACAGATGGAGCTAGTGCTATGGCATTTATAGCTGACATAGAAAATGAGGTACAGGCACTCCCTGATGTTAAAGACACCACTGTGCTTAAAAAAGATTCTTTAGATGTGCAGAAAGTAAGTATTTGTCTGTCTTATCTATGTAATGTTAAGTGACATTCAGTTTTTCTAAAGGTTCAATATGTTATTTTTTGATAAATGGTTTCATATAATTGTAAAATCAAAAGAATTAAGGTGGAAAATGAAAAGAGCTGTCTATGAAATACATAAAGAATAAGAAAGCCCAACGATAACTCTTAATCTACCATTCTGCTCTCTCTCATGTTTTCATTCTTGATAAGTATTTTTTTACTGTATCTGGAGAATGTAGAATTTATTATTTTTTCCAGCCTGGAAAAAGCCGGAAAAATAAGAAGAAAAGTAAGGACAAGACTAAACAGATTCTAAATGTGGAGGTGAACTTCTCTGATAGAAGGGAGGAAACTCTTCTAAATGAAAATTCCGTTCTCAGTGACGAGGAAAAGGAGAATAAAAACAAGTAAGAATTTAGTGGACCTTCTGTCAGGCATAAGAATGGAGAATTACTCATTATAAAAATCTCTCATGTAAAAATTTAAGGCACTTATTAGCTCATAAAGGCATATAGTGTTCACTCTCAGTTGGAAGTCTGTCATTAATACTTCCGCATTTTACACTGAGCAACATCTGCTGAATGGGGTTAATATCATTCAATTTGCAGGTGAAGGTTCATTTAGTGATTTGCTGTCATTTAAACTTAAGAGGAAAGTCTGTTTAGTGATCTAAAATTTGAGTCTTAAATGTATGTTTGATCTAGGACTGTGGTTGCTTTGACAAAAAAAGCAAGCGAAAGAAGAAACTTTAAAAGTAACATTTTACTAAATACTATCATTGTCAGATTTTGAAAGTATTTCAAAAAAGTTGTAATAAGGTGTCCATCTACCAGGCTCGTTTAGAGTCTTTTAAAACATGGCCACAAGGGAGAAATGGTCTTTGTACCTTCTTTGAAAGTCTTCTTGTAATAAAAAACAACTTTCCTTTGAAATTTAATTTTATTTCTCAGAAATGATCATCCTTGGGGAACTATCTACCAATATTTTTTAAATGATTTTGATAAGCTAAAAACACAGCTGCTAGAGGGTATTGTCTATGTTTTCTTTTGAAACCTGATTAAATGAAATATCACATGTCAATATTCCTGTTGTAAACTGAAATTTTATTATCAAATTAAGTTGAAGAAAAAGGTTTTGTATATCTTAGTCTTTGTTTAATAAAGAGAGAATACAGGTCACAGGAGAAAATTTCTTTACTTTCAGACCTGAGGCAGCCCTGAACCCATTTTCTGTTCCCACTGAGCTGAAAACACAAATAAAGGACTTTGAGAAGACATACACCGGACCACCGAAAACAGCATTGTTGTCTAAACCAGATGAAGTTACAGAAAATCTATTTTTGTGAGTATTCTGATCAACTTTATGGTCGGAAAAAGGAAAATTATTGTTAATGGCAACCATGCAATCTAACAACTTTCTGGGCTGTTAGATGCTTGGTATTAGCATTTTTAGCTCGACTATTCGAAGAATATGAGAGCTATTGTAGTCGCGTCGGCGTCAGCGTCCTCGTCGGCGTCTGCGTTGGTTAAAGTTTTTTGTAAAGTCAAATATCTCAATTATTGCTTGAGATATTCAATTGAAACTTACAATACTTTTTAGCTCAACTATTCGAAGAATATGAGAGCTATTGTAGTCGCCCCGGCGTCGGCGTCTGCGTTGGTTAAAGTTTTTTGTAAAGTCAAATATCTCAATTATTACTTGAGATATTCAATTGAAACTTACAATACTTATTTATAGTAACAAGGTACATCAGATTGACAAGTTGGATAACTCTGCCTACAATATTGACAGAATTATGCCCCTTTTTAACTTAGAAATTTTGGTTAAAGTTTTTTGTAAAGTCAAATATCTCAATTATTGCTTGAGATATTCAATTGAAACTTACAATACTTATTTATAGTAACAAGGTACATCAGATTGACAAGTTGGATAACTCTGTCTACAATATTGACAGAATTATGCCCCTTTTTAACTTAGAAATTTTGGTTAAAGTTTTTTGTAAAGTCAAATATCTCAATTATTGCTTGAGATATTCAATTGAAACTTACAATACTTATTTATAGTAACAAGGTACATCAGATTGACAAGTTGGATAACTCTGTCTACAATATTGACAGAATTATGCCCCTTTTTAACTTAGAAATTTTGGTTAAAGTTTTTTGTAAAGTCAAATATCTCAATTATTGCTTGAGATATTCAATTGAAACTTACAATACTTATTTATAGTAACAAGGTGCATCAGATTGCAAAATTGCATAACTCTGCCTGCAATATTTGCAGAATTATTTGCCCCTTTGAAACTTAGAAATTTTGGTTAAAGGTCTTCAAAGATATTTACTTGAACCTTTAAACATGCACTTAGGGTCATAATCGGAGGGTCATAATTGTATGTCACTGACCAAGTTCCATAACTCTATCTTGCATTAAGGCTGATTCATATCCCCTTTCTACTTAGTCTCTTGGTTAATGTTTACATGCAAGTTTTACATATCTCAATAACTATTAAAGATATTTATTCAAAACTTCACATATGCATTTAGGGTCATAATTGTAGGTCACTGACAAAGATCCATAATTCTATCTTGCATTTAGGCTGATTTTTCTCCCCTTTTTCAACTTAGAAATTCATGGTAAAGTTTTGCTTGTAAGCTGTTATCTCAATAACTACTGAAGGGTTTGTGCCTTTTTTGGGACAATTTTATGCATTCATAATAATAAAGCAGTGATTTACTTGATAAAACATCTTAAAAACAAGCGTTTGTACCTTTTCTGTCAAATTTATGTATTCATAGGTAATTAGTATTATTATACTCAATAAAACACTCTTGTGACATTACCTAAATAGTCAAGCAAATACTGTATAATTAGACTCTCTCTAAGGCCTATAACATGAATTTATAAAAAAAAAATTAGCCCTTTTGTGAACTTAAAAAATTTAACATTATCAAGGCTCTTTTACTATCAAGCACTTAGAATAGTCGAGCGTGCTGTCCTACTGACAGCTCTTGTTTATAGTAGCAATGTACATCAGATTGACAAGTTGGATAACCCTGCCTACAATATTTGCAGAATAATGCCCCTTTTTAACTTAGAAATTTTGGTTGAAGTTTTTTGTAAATTGAAATATCTAAATTATTGCTTGAGATATTCAATTGAAACTTACAATACTTATTTATAGTAACAATGTACATCAGATTGACAAGTTGGATAAGTCTGCCTATAATATTTACAAAATTATGCCCCTTTATAACTTAGAAATTTTGGTAAAAGTTTTTTTGTAAAGTCAAATATCTCAATTTTGCTTGAGATATTCAATTGAAATTTACAATACTTTTTTAAAGTAACAATGTACATCAGTTTGCAAAATTGCATAACTCTGCCTGCAATATTTGCAAAATTATTTGCCCCTTCTTAACTTAGAAATTTTGGTTAAAGGTTAAAGGTCTTCAAAGATATATACTTGAAACTTTACACATGTACTTAGGGTCATAATTGGAGAGTCATAATTGTATGTCACTGACCAAGTTCCATAACTTTACTCGCATTTAGGCTGATTCATCTCCCCTTTTCTACTTAGTCTTTAGGTTAATGTTTACATGCAAGTTTTACATACCTCAATAAGTATTTAAGATATTTATTTAAAACTTCACATATGCATTTAGAATTTAATTGTAGGTCACTGACCAAGATCCATAATTCTATCTTGCATTTAGGCTGATTTTCTCCCCTTTTTCAACTTAGAAATTCATGGTAAAGTTTTGCTTGTAAGCTGTTATCTCCATAACTACTGAAGAGTTCGTGTCTTTTTGGGACATTTTTATGCATTCATAATAATAAAGCAGTGATTTACTTGATAAAACATCTTAATAACAAGCCTATGTACCTTTTCGGTCAATTTTATGTATTCATAGGTAACTAGCATTATTTTACTCAATAAAACATCCTTGTGACAAATTTTTGAATAGTCGAGCCAATACTGTCCTCCGACAGTTCTTGTTATGATGAAATATTTCAAACTTCTATACAGTGTGACAGTGACAACCATTTTAAATTTTAAGCACGACGGGGTCCATTTTACTCTTAATAATATAATTTTGAATGAGTGTAGGTTTAATACTGGTAAGCATAATGGTTTTGTTGAACAAGTTCAATAAATAATGTAATGAACCTTCATAAATATAACATTTCTATTCATCATGTATCAAATTTAAGAAAGTTTGTCCATTTGCTATTTAAATATATTTTGCCATTCACTGAGAGATTGTTCTTTTGATCTCTGAACTTGCAGAAGATTACTAATTTATTTTAGTTTACTTTAGTTTTACGCTATAAGCATATTGAAACACTCTTGAATCCGCTCCTGGAACCAACCAGTACTAAGCAATGAGTGTAAAGTTTCTTGCTCACAGAAACAACTGCTTGCTGCTGAAGGGGTTTGAACTCACAGGGCCAGCATTACTGTTGTTGGACATGTTAACCATTCGGCCACAGTACCTCTCGATTTGGCATGATATTTGAAGATTGCACAAAGTTGTTGATAAATAATATCATGCTACTGATGGTGGCAAGTAGAATGTGTTAAATACATTGCATACATTTAAATATGCTTCATCAGCAGTTTATTGTCTAACTAATCTAATTATTTCTATGTATTTTATCCATTTGTCTGAAGAAAGAGTGATGTAGGGTTAGATTCAGACTCCAATTTTGGAGGTTGTAGGTACAAATCAGGCTAATGGTGAGATTTTCTTTCCATTTCCACTAGTATGATTACTGGTGAGGAGTGACAAGAAGCTGTCAAATGGTGTGACTTAAAGAGCATGTGTCAGTTTTGAATAGGGGGTTTTAGCTTGAAATTAACGGGAAAACAAAAAGTTGTGTGTAAAAAGACATGACTGTTTGCCTGTGACACATTTAATCTATTAAATGCTAGCTGCAGATACAAAAAATATCATGTTTCATTAGTAAAAGGTCAGCTGAGATATTTGCAGTATAACCAATCCCAGAGGTGTTCAGTCTGTCCAAATCCAGAGAGGAGAAGTCTAACAAACCTTTACACAATTGGCTGCTCAGAGTTTTAACATTTTGATAATGAAATCCGTTAAACTGTAAATGGACATATCCATATTCAAGAGAGGACATGTTCAATATACTGCAGGATTAGCTTTTTACAGCTTTCCAGATGTAAGAAATATTGATTAATATTAATTAGTGGAAATAATTTTTTTGTATTTTATACTTTTTATTTGTTTTCAGGTATTTTGTTGAAATTCTGAAAGCTAACGGACCTCTAGCTATAGACGATACTAGAATTCAGCAGGAATTAGAGGTGTTTCCTCCAGAAGCTTTAGAAAAGATTAAAGCAGTGGGCGGAGTTGCAGACTTTTTAAGGCAGTCACTCAAATTTGCTGTCATTGACGATGTTATTTCACTAATGTCTGACGCTGTACGCGCACGTGAAATAGCTTTAATTCGCAGACAAGAGCGTCAAAGCACGAATACTGAGCCAGCTGTGCCTAATGCCTGGAAAACAGTCGGAAAAAGTGTAAATAATGTTGATGCATTGAGTGAAAGTGTAAAAACTAACGCTAACTTACCAGGATCTATTTCTACTTCTTCAAGTTTAAATTTTTCTGGAGTTAATTCAAGTGTTAGTTTAACAACATTATCTAGTTACCCAAATGCAAACAATTCAAATAGTGCTGTTCCATTTATGGATTTACCAACTACGACATCTTCTCAAAGTGACCGTCCAATGCACTGGTCAGAAGGCGTCAGCAGTTTCGATATTAAAACGGTTATTAAACCTCCGGTGCCTGTATCAGTACCGGCTCCCAAACCAGTTCCTGTTCCTGTTATTGACACTTTAGACTCAATTGATGATTTACCTATTGTAGATAATAGTTCACATAAGTTGACAAAAGATCTAGACGATATTGATGATTTAGACAAAATTTCCGAAAGTGGAAGTGAACTCCGCGATAGCCAGGAAAGTGGTGGCTATAAGAACGGTTTAAAACTTGACCCTAGACTTGCTTCTTTAGAAATCAGTAAAGTTGATTCAAACAGTAGGTGTAGTTCTAAGTCGGATATCAGTGATCCGAGTTACGGAAGTGCATTTGGAAGTATCGGTCAACATCAGAAAGTGTCAAATTTGTGGGACAAGATGGACAGTGATTTTGATTCATCTTGGGGTAAAACTAGTAAGGAAGATTATCAGATTGGTGAGAAGAACAATGTAGAAAGTGTTGCTAATGAAGCAAAGAGACTTGGAGAAGAGTTTGTCCGGAAATCTGACGAGACTTTTGTGGTGGAATTAGCTGAATCAGTTGTTAATAAATTGTATGAAGGAAAAACAGTCACTGAAAGTGAACGCGCTTCAACCCTCCGCAAAGTGTCTGCTGACATATGGAAAGATTTTGAAAGAAGTGCAAATGCAGCAAAGAAAGGAGGGTCAAGTTTGTGGGCAAATACACCAGCCGGAGTGGATTATAGTAAGAACATGGGAAAGTTTACAACAGATTTTATGAAGAGACATTATAATTCTGAAAGGAATATTGTTTCCCCAACCTCAGATTTGAGTGCTTTGCAAACTCAAAAACCTCTAATGACTACAGATAGTTTTAGTTCTTTTACAAATAATTCTGGTTTTAATTCCACATATCCTTGGCCAGATGGGAAATCCACTGTGGACCCTCAGGGGCCGTCATCAATTTCATCAAATTCAGGATATACTCTTTTTTCTGGCCCCACTTGGGGCTTTGATTCTTTTAATAGCAATTCAAATACTAGTGTTTCACCAGTGATAGCCCCTCCTCCAAAATCTGTATTGCCCCCTCCCCATCAAGGACATTTTGTTCGACCTCCATTAGCTGTTTCAAGTTATTATCAAAATCCAAATATTCAGGTGCCTTTTCGACCACCGCCTCGTTTACCAATGCCTCCACCGATGGGAATGCCATTCCCACCTCAAATCAGATTTGAAAAGAAAGACAAAGACATTCAAGCCACTGTACAAGTTAGTTCAGTAGAAACAATGACAGAAGAGTATGAACCTTATAAAATGGAATATTTTCAAATGAAGGAAAGCCGTGATGATGCTATAAGGGTAATGGCAGAGAGTAAAGCCCTTTATGAGAAACTTATTCATGAGCATAAAGCAAAAGAGCAACAAATTATGGTAAGTTTTTTGCTTTATCTTTAAAGGAAATTATAATAATTATGGCAAATATGGAAATATAGACTTCCATAGATAATCTTTAAGAATAAATCATAAAAAATTTGCAATTTTGTGACCTGTGTACCATTTGTAAAAAATGAAACTATAGAATTCAACTATAGATTGCTTTCCAATTGCTTTTGCAATTTATTTGCACCAGCATTTAACCATAGATTGTGGAGATTTGTGTTCTGAAATTGTGTCCTTCGACCATTTATAATTTCCTCCAAAACAATCTGGTTGTTTAGGGCTTTATACTTAAAGATCAATTAAGCTGATTCTAACATGTGAAAGCCTATCAGTTAAAGTTGTATCTAAATAAGAGGGAACTTGGAAATTAAAAATAATGATAAGTAAATGAATAAAATATGCAGGATAAATGGAATTGCATTTTGTACAAAAATTGATTTTCTTAAAAAAAATTTAAAATAATGATTTAATGTTATTGGGTAATACAAGTCTATTATGCCAACTTACAAGCTTTAAGGAAGTTTTAGCATATACCAAAGTGTCCTTTTTGTTCCAACCAACTCCTGGAGTTTTACTTGCTACATATAATGTCAGGTCAACACTGTTTTCCAGTTTTACTGGTACCTAGGGCTGCCCCTTCATGCATGATTTCATAAACAAGTGAATACCTGAAAAGAACCTCCATTCTTACAAAAGCTTGTCCATCTCCATTTACTTCCTCACATGAAAGAATTCGAAGTTCCTATCGAAGTTCAATCCCTTTCTTATGATGGACAATTCAAAAGTTTCTGTTGAAATTCTTTTGGGCCATAAAGAAACTTATCTCACCAGTAAGAGCTATATCCTTACAAAGATTATGTTAACCATATTTGGTTTATACAGAAATTAATTTAGTTTTGATTGTGTAGGAAGCTATAAGCTTATAGGTTTGTTCCTAGACCAATCAGTACTTAGTAATGAGTGTAAATTTTCTTGCTCAAGGAATCAAGGACTTGCTCCTGACACGGTTTGAACCCATGCGGCTTGCGATCTTTAGATTACAAGGCCGTTGGGTTAACCACTCAGCCATGCTGCCACTTGATTAACCATATTTATGTTCTCTATAACCAGGTTTTAGAAGCTGATATTAACAACAAAGTGGGAATGTTTGAACTAGAGAAAAAATCGTGGAAAAATGAACGAGAAGCTTTTAAAGATGAAATAAAACGGCTCCAGGACCAAGTATTTGCCAAAGAGAGTCAAGATAAAGAGTAAGTTATTATCAGTATTGATACAAGAAAGTTAGGAATCTTTGCCATCTGAAAAGGGTTGGGTGGTTCCTGACATAGAAGCTGGTTAAGTCAATTAAAGCAGGGTATAGAGAATGGTCCCACTGAATTCCACATGGAATAAAGGATTTGATTCTTACTTTATTAAAACATTTTGGCAAAATTTATAATCCAAAACTATTGTTCAAAATATTATTAGTATCTCTAGAATTTGAAGATTTCTTTAATTAAAAAGCTACAACAAAACAACTTTGCAAACAAATCATAATATTGCATGGATAAACATTGTGTCAGAGTTGTCATCACACTTAGGTTAAGTTTTTGTGTGCAAGTTGGTACATGTATCTCCAAAATTATTGAAGGGAATGGGTTGAAACTTCACACATCTGTTCTATGTGATTATCTTACATGTGGAACTCGGGTACCAATACTCTTGTACGAGAGTTATGCCCCTTTTCCTACTTCAGGCACTTAGAATTGTCACGTGAGCTGTCTTACCGACAGCTCTTGTCTATTAAATAATACATGTGTACATTAAAAAAAAAAAAAAAAAAAATTACACATTTAGTTGAAAATACTCTTAAACTTGGAATTGGTAAAGAATGAGTGCATATTTTGAATATATATTTTCCATTAGTTTGAACACATTTAAGTTTATATAAGGTTTTTTTGTATCAAAGATTGTGATAAATTTGGTATATACATGTTTGTATTAAAATTTGGAAGAAGGGTGATATAAACCCTTGTTATGAAGGACAATTTAAAGTTCAAGTTGAAATTCACTTGGGCCTCAAAGAAATCAAAGCTGTGTATTTATGTATTGTGTATGTTACAGACTGAAGGAGAAAATGATAGGGCAAGAAAGAAGAGTTAATGAATTGGCAATTTTAGCTAAAGATCAAAGGTAAGGCATTCTTAGAAGAAAAAAAAAATGTTGCTGACCTCTTAAAGGAACTCCACTGAGGTAAAAAATTCTGAAAAACATAAATAATTGAAATTTCAAATTAGCACTTGAAATGGAAAAAAATTGCTAAGGATATTAAAATTTGCTAAGGATGATAAATGAATTTTTTCGGAATAAAATTGTATATAAATTTTGTGTTATTCATAGCCCCTTTAAGGGAAAAGCGTTCATTTTTGGTCATTTTGTACAATAGAACACTCTGGAAGAACAGGAGTGAGGGAATAAACTGAAAATTTGCACACAAGTTATTGGTCAAGACCTCCATCAAATGATACACTAATATCTGGAAAAATATTTCCAGTCCCGTCATGTCAAAAAACCTAAGTGGAGTCCCTTTAACTTACTGAATTTATGTAATGGATTTGCCTTGCTTTGAATATGGAGCAGTCTATTCAAAATTAAAGGAATTTCAATATCAAAATTTGAGCTACTAACAGTCAAAAGCTGGTCTGACTGAACAGATTGACCTGGTTCTATACTTTATCGCAATGACAATTTACAATTTCGTTTGTAGCTATTTAATTTGATTCTTGTTTTCAGACTGCTTCTCTGTGTTGTTGAAAATATTGGTATACTACTTGATCTTTGTATGCTGTTTCTAAATATAAGTCTACTATTTGAGTTTAAGTTAATAATTCACATTTAACAGTTTTGCATGGCATGAATAGCGTATGGAGATCAGTCAATATAACTTAAATCTCATTTCAACTTCTCCTCATCCTCCTAAATATATAAATAAAATAAAATCTCTAGTCACAGTAGTACTTGGGAAGGACCTTCAGTTTTATACGATTTTAGTGTTGTTTGGCCATAATTTATGTTTTAATGTTTATGATTGTTCATGTATAATTATTTACACTGATGGAGGAACAGTAGAACTGGATCTGTAATAAAATAAGTTAAACTGACCCGGTGTTTGACGTGTAGTTCCTCCTTACACGAAATAAATATTCAGTGAAAAAATGTTTTAATGCAGAGATAAAGATTTGACTGAGATCAAGAAGTGTATGGACAACGCTGAAAAGTTACGACATATGCACGAATCACAACTCCAACGTGCCATATCTGCCGAGACGGAAATACTGAAAGTGAAGTTACAAGCTGCTAAAAGTGTCCTTGAGCGAGCTCAAAAAGAGGCGACATTCCATCAACAGAGATTGTCTAGTTTTGTACAAAAGTAAGAAAACATTTGCATATAAGATTTCATGGTTTGGGCTGAAATTGTCTTAACCTTAATGGTAAAAGGATATTACACTGTTTTATATCAAGTTGTGAATACATTTCATTTCTATGAGCAGAAATTTGATTATTTGCAATTGTTTAAAAATAAAATCTGATGTGTTTCACATTTCATTGTAGATATGTGTAATTGCTTTATTATTAGTTGCTAAGATATTTGACAAGTTTTATTATTAGTTATTAAGATTTTTGACAGGTTATTTGGTCCTATATAAATAGTTCTTTGCAAATATAACCTGAGCCAAAGGGCAAGCCTTATATTGTAAAAAGCGTTTATATATGGCCATAATTACCTGTCAGGAATATTTATAACAAATTTATAATAATGCAAACTTCCCTTTTTTTACAGAATATCTTCATAAATTGACAGAAGCCCTGTTTATAAAACTATATATAGAAACGTCACAATTATCCAATGAAAAGCTACGTTACAAACATGCAGTATTATAAAACCCATGAATGTAAACTTAAATAACCTAAGTAAATAGGTCAAAAAATAATTTTTTGTACAAATTTTTTACTTGTTCTTTTGTTGTAAAAAAGAGCCTAGGGATTAGTTTAAGGAAATTTATACTTAACAAGCTGTGTGGTTTTGAATCATCGTATAATTTTTACAAATCTTCTTTATTTTACGAGGTTATTTCTATTTGTGGCACACCAGTAACCAGAAGGTTAATATCGAAATCAAGATGTTTAATAATTAGTAAACCAATATAGCATTAAAACATTTAAATAAATATGTCTTTTATTGCAGACACGAGGAAGAAAATAAACCTATCCCACAAGCCCTTCAACAGGCTCTAGACTTTATGACGTCAGCAGTGAAGAAATCCGAGGAAAATCTTAAAAACATTGTGGTAAGTGGTCGTTATTTGTTTGCCCTGGAAATTAAAACAAACAAGGTTGCTTCCAGCAGAGTAAATGTAGCAAAATACATGGCTGTTTTATAATAACGAAAAATGTTCTTTTATTAAATAAGGAGCTTGTATTTACTATATTTCTTACTGAAAGAATTTTTAACTCCTATGCACTGTAATCCCTTAGGCTAGCTGCATGGCTTCCACACACAGTGTTGGGTAGGGGAGGGGAAGGGTAGCGGGCATCTAGATTTTGCCTTGTCTGTTCTGTTGTCCAGCCGTCACACTGTCCATCTGTAACATAAGAAAACAGTGGAATTATGGGGGCACCTGTGTACTAGTTATGGTCACTTTTCTAGTTCTGACCATAACTGCTCTTCCAAGATGGTCCCAAAAGTCACTCTTATATAGAATCTATAGAATAAGGTATGAGATGGAATATTTTACCTGACAACAGTTTTGTCAGCAGTATTATTGAAATTTTTATCGAACATGTTTTCAGGCTGTATATGAGGAACAGATTATGAAAGTAAAATCAGGAACTCTTCTATCTGAGCTTGAACAAGTCAACATTCCTAGTCCTACCTCAGTTCCAGAATCAGTAAGTATTCCCTGTAACTTATTTTCACATTTTGTTTACATTTATAAAGATTTGAATCAGTAACCTTTGACAACATCATTTTAGTGATTTTGAAGAATTTTTTTTTTCAAAGTATGTATTGAAATTTATTTTTTTTTTTTTTTTTTTTTTTGTCAAAGTAGAGATGGAACATCAAAAACTTAAAATAATTTTCAAAATACTAAAACTGTTGAAAAAAAATTCATGTACATGTAGAATTTGAAAATACATATGCATGAAGTATGTAAATATTCGCACAATAAGTTCGTATGACTGTAGCATAACTTTAACTTCAATACTAACAGGCATATTTTTACATGATTTCAGAATGGATAAGTTTAATTCCATCATTACTCCGACACTTTCTTGAATTAATGTTATATTCTATTATAATTACCAGATTCGGGGTTTACCATTTATGCAGATGGGTATGCCAGGTTTTATGATGCCAAGGATGCAGTTTCCAAATAGGCCTCCTTTCAATAATCAAGGTATTTATTGGCAATATATAAACTTACATTTCAGTATATTTATTAATCATGACACCCTTTAAACATAATTTATTTTGGTTTGATTGTGTAGGAAGGTACCGGTAGCTTATAGACACACTTCCGAATCCATTCCTGGACAGAGCCAGTACTAATCTGTCAGTATAAAGTTTCTTGCTTAAGGAAACAACAGCTTGCCCTAGATAGGATTTTAACTCCCTTAGTTGATTGATATGACATGTTAACAACTAGGCCAGGTTTCCACTTTATCTGGATTAAATCCAATTTTAATACTTTAAATGCTAGTGACAATAAGAACAAACTTATGCCATTGGTTAGTTACAGTATAAAACCAGGTATCTGTTATGTTTGACAAGAGTCTCAATACTGATCACTATTATATTTTCATATTTTGATAATGCCATTCCTTATAACAAAGTACAGATTGATTCATAACAAGATAAATAGTGTATACAAGCACTTAATGTTAAGGGAAATTTGATGCTTACAATGTTCTACATCAAATTCTTGATTATCTTTCTTGTTAGAAGATATTTTTTTTAAATTTGACTTATACAGTGATTATCATGTTATATATGATTTAAGAATTACTCGCACATTGCCTGATTTATTATTTGTGCAATTAAAGTTCTTTAAGTATAAAACACAAGACCTTAAAATGATCACATCCTCATGTCAGCTAAGTACACTGAATCAACAAAACTTTCAATTAGCCGATAGAAAAATATGTTTTGAAATGAAATGATATATTTGAATATTGTAGGTTCTCCGGTAGGTTCACCACAATTAGCCATTGGTCCTCCTGTATCCAAGGTACCACCAAAACTCACAGAAACAGCTTCTAAGGCTGCGATGCAGCATATGGCGCAATCCTCGATCAGTAAAGCTGGACCTCCTAACAGCACTTCTCAGAGCCTTTATAACACATCTGGTCAGCCACCTGTGCAGACCATGCCTCGACCATTGGTACCACCAAGTTTGAGTTTGGGAATCTCCAAATCAGAACCACCAAGAGCTCCCCTGGCGGTACCGAACAGACCTCCGTTACGGCCCATTGGTGGAGTTGCTGCACAGATGTCTAGCTTTGATAAACTTGTTCTGAAATTAAAGATGACATTCCCAGATAAATCCAGGTAATATAGTGAACCTTTTAACTTAAGAAATCAATTTGTTAAAGTTTTAGGAATATGCTTGATAGATGCAATTTTCTCATGGGTTTATGGTCATGGTTTGATCCAGCTAAGTTTCCTTTTAGAAATTTCACTGAATTTGACATGTGTGTTTTGTTACATATACATGTATATCACTCTTGATTTCTTATTGTTGAAGAAAAGATTATTCTTTGGTATTACAGGACTGGCATGAACAACGAATTGGGTCACCTTTGAACAAATTGAATAAAGTCTATTATTGCTAGGAATTCAACGGAAATGACACCATGGCACAATTGCTATGACAATATAATGACATTACCCATAAAATGTTAACATTTTGTTCCTCCCATACAAACTTTGCAACATATTTCTTTTGTTATACATCGTAATATAGTAGGGGTCAATGGTTCAATCCTTGACCAAGGCAACATTTCTCTCCAGCATTGAATCTAATGGTCATTTGCCTCTTACAGGTGATTTAGATATCATTGCAGATTAGTAGTTGGTCACTTGGGGAGATATTTTAATTACTGGTTAGTTATCCAGGAAAGACTTTAAGATGAACCAACCATGGTAATATGACCACTTGTTCTGAAATTAAGTGGGATTAGTAGTTAGTCACTTGCGGAGAAATTGGTAATCACTGGTTACTGGTTAGTTATCCAGGAAAGTCATAATCTTTAACCAACCATGGAAACATGATCAATAATGTGTTGACATTGGCGATAAAACCAGACAAACAAACAAAATAATGATGATTAATTGTATATTTGTTTAGAGGGGAGATAAGCCAGTTAATTCATACATTACGTCAGAAGCGAGGCGGCTCTTTGTCCGGTATGACAATGGAGGATATTATACAGAAGTTCGCCGAGTTAATTGTCTCACAAGATCATCCGCAGCCGGGGAATACAGATATACAGGAACAACCGACTGTTCAACAGGTAAAATATTTTATCACTTGTTTCAAACTATATTCTAACAAGATTTTTTTTACACCTTGAACTTTGTCTTGGACATATCTCTGAAACTACCTGAGATATCAACAAGAACCTACTTTTCTGTGTCCAAAACCTATTCGGGGAGCATCACCTGGTTCAACCAGCTCTTGTATCACTTGTTTTAAACAATATGTTAACGAGGCTTCATGTCATTTCTTTATTAAACCTATGGGCAGTCTAATGCATTATTACACAGTAATGTATTACAGAATAAGAAAAGGATTACTTTAATTTACATTCCACATTGTATGACATCAGATTTGCCAACATTGATAAGAACAATGTCATGAAAATTTCTTTTATGCTGAACATAGCTTATAAAGTTTCTGCATGGGTTTTCTTTCACTAATAGGCATTGATAATAGTCAAGCAACTGCTGTCCATCTGGCAGCTCTTGTTTTATGTTGTTGTTGTAGACTGATAATACATGTACATTGTATATATACAAATTAATAGAGTTGGTCATGGATAAGTCCCGTCTTACACTGAATATTGGTATGTATATGTGGGCTTTACGATGTCATCGGACATTTTGTTGCATGCAAACACTGGGAAGATAGCTGAGCCGATTGTAATTGATATATCACTGTAACTCTCACTCAAATTTGTATAATGGACTTGTCCTGCACTGAATTTGGAACAGTCCATTCAACATTTAAGGGAAATCAATATAGGAATACATGTGCATGCATATATGGACCATTAGGAGTTTAACGGATTTCCATGTAGGAATGCATGTCCATGTATTAAATTCGGTCAACAATTAGGTAATATCAGCTCTGTCTTTAGGAATGTCACCAAGGTTTGATATTTGTGTTGAAAGAAAGAGTAACTATTACGAAAAAAAAATATCATCACTATCACTGTAGATATTAAATGTGTTATCAATTACACTGTGGTGCTCAGCTGGAATTTTTTTTATTCAGTATGTTATGCTTAATTTCGGAAAAAAAAACTTACAGTTCAGTCAAACCTGTAGCCAAAACACCAGTCTGTTGTGATTGAGAAAGAGTTCACTCTACTGCCTTAAAAAAAAAATAAAAACACTGTATTATATACAGTTCATGTATAATAAAGGACTTAAGTCTGAAATTTTAGTTTTTAAATGATGTTAGTGTGCATTCATTATCAAAAAGAGTCTTGTAAGGGCTTGTCTGGTGTTTTTGTAAGGTTTGACTGTACTATATGTTACTTTAAAGTGGGAATAAAGAAGGGTCTTTTTTTCCAACAGATGATTGGTGGTAAACCTTTGGGACCTCCACCTGGCCTCAATAGTTCTTGGGCTTTCATGGCAGCAGGTGGGTCAAAGGAGGGACCGGGTAAGGGCTCTGGCGCAGAACTGTACAATGATGACGAGGACCCTTGTGTCATATGTCATGAGGAAATGAACCCGAGCTCCATTGTGACTCTAGAATGCGGTCATCTCTTTCACGATGAGGTAGGTGATGGAAAAACATATAGAGTACCAGTCACACAATGCTGCCGACTGATTGGTCAATTCACAAACAACCAATCATAATATTCAGTTGCAGACTGGAACTTGATCTTCAGCTAAACATTTCTTTAAATCAAAATGAATGTTTCATTTGAAGAGAATCATAGTGAATTTTTTCCTAGAACTTTTTATTCAGTGCTTATTTTATTTGAATTATCTCAGAGGTACTCCACTTGGGTTCAAAAACATAATAAAAGCATTATTCTGGAAATTCAGAGAGCGATTGACTTGAAGTTTTGCACACAAGTTATTTGTCTATATCTACATCATATAGAACATTAATCTCAAAAAAATTATTTCCAGTCATGTTATGTAAAAAAATCTCAGTGGAGTCCCTTTAAGATTTTTTCTTTTTATTTCAAATACTAAAGAGGGTATGCTCTCAGTGACTGTTAGTTTATATGCTTGGGAGCAAATTACAGCTTGGATACTGATTTTTTAAAGTAAAATTCATTTATAAAAAATAAAATTTTGAATTTCATTTTTTATCTTGGTTTAAACTGGGTGTTAAAAAATGAAATTTTGAAAAAATGATTGATCTTGGTTTGTACTGGGCATTTGCTTTTAGTTTTCAATATTTTGTTGTTCTGTTAAAAACAACAACAACAACAAATTAAAGTAAAATCACCCTGGTTTATGCAGCTTCTATGTTTCTATGAAATTTTGCTTATAAAAAAAATATTTTTTCTTAAAAATATAAAATGTTATAGAGTTCTATAAGTTCATTCTGTTCTTGTATTGAAGTTTTATGAAACTGTCTTCTTTCATAAAATTAGAACTTAAAATAACAGAGTAACAAAGTTTTATTTTGTATTTTCAGTGTATCAGGAAATGGTTCCAGGAACAAAGTACATGTCCAAACTGTCGTGTACATACTCTCCTTTCAGATGAGTTCCCATCACTAGGCTAATTGGAGGAATTTATACTATAATATTGAGCCTTTATAATCTTTATGAACTTTATAAAGTTAATATGTTTCCGTTCTTATTGAACATTCATGTGTTGATTCAAAATTCAAATTCATGATTTTCTTTGATTTTCTTTTTATTATGCCATTTTTGTTTATTATTATTTTATTTATTGTTTTTTTTTTCTTTCTTTTTTTGCTTTCCTGTATATTATGTTAATATTTTAGCTAGACTTATGTGAACATTTTGCATTCTCTTGCTGTTAGTGATTTTGTTGTTCAGTATCATTTGCAATTAATTATGTGTTATGAAAAACAGACAAACAATAAAAGAAAAATATTATGTGGACAAATAACAGGATAGTTTAGATGTCTTGAAAAAAATTTGTTTAATGATATTCAGTGAAATACTGGATTTTATCAGTGAGATATTTTCTATATCATCGATTGTGTGTCACTTACATGTATTGAGAAAAAAAAGTTATTTGGTGTGTAGTATTTCTGTTGTTGTTGTTGTTGTTTTTTTATTATTATTAATATTCTTTTTCTCTTCTTTTCCTTTTTTGTTGTCTTTTTTAAATGAAAATGAAATGAAATAATAAAAAAAATTGTGTTTTGTTTATAATGAATATGTAAATTACTACAATAAAAGAAATAGTTTATCACACTTGTGACAATCAAGTGGAAATACAATTTAATAAGTATATTTTCAGTCGGGTATCAATATTCTCTCTTTGTAAATGACATATGTAACATAGTAGTAGATTATTGTCACTATGATGTAGATAAGTAACAGATTAGCAGATTAGGAAATAAGGAATATGAAATATTGCATTAAAATGACTACACCTGTATGTAACAGGAGAACATCTACACCTGTATTTTGTTAAATACATGTGTAGATGTACAGGTGTAGATTTTATCCTGTTGCCTACAGGTGTAGATGTTATCATATTGCATTATGCAGTGTAGATGTTATCGTGTTACATACAGATGTAGTCATTTTATTGCAATCCTTATCCTGTTGAATAAAATCTACACCTGTATGCAACAGGAAAGTTGTAAAAAAAAAAACAGGTAGAAAAAGATAACTTGTGCATTTGTGGTTTATTAAATGTTATTACATGTAGGAAGGTTACTTGTACATTTAACAGGATAGTGAAGATGTATGCAACATGACATGATTCTAGATAATGCTATTGATGTAATAGGATAATTGCAACAGAATTGTTATAATATCATGTAACAGGATAAAGTGATTTAACAGGATGGTAACTTATGGATGTGTGTGAAAGAATAAGATTATGCTACAGGATTGGGGACTTGTTGCATGGAAGACATTTCAGTTTCTTTATGTAAAGTAATTTATAAGAAAGAGTTGCAGTTTTCATCATCATTATTATGAAATACAATATTATGGCAGAAGCAGGGTGTATGAATCATTCTGTAATTTTTCAGGTTTTTGTAACAAGGTATTTGTGATATGTGTGCAAAATAAATCTGGATTACCATCTTCACCTCAACCATCCTTTGAATAAATTTTCCTGTCTCAAAATATGAAAAAGGCATTGCTCATGCATTTCATAACTCAATCACCTACATCAGTAGATATATAGAGACTTCATTCATTTGATATATTACAATGTATGTATATACATGCGTTCTTTTGTTTACATGTTTACATTTTTGCTATTTTAAAAAGGAATTCTGAAAAAAAAAACCAAAAAAACATTTCTCATGATTTTTTTGTAATGTTTTGTGAATTAAAATATTGTGTGTAATTATTGAACAAAAAATGCTGAAATTTGCGTTTTTATTTATTTGCCAAAAAAAACAAAAATACCTCCATGCAAGTAAAACGAAAATACACAGATTTAGAATTGATTTTATTTGTTTGTTGTTGTTGATTTATTTAGTGAGGGGATGGGGAGGATTATAATGACATCATGTACTTATATTTTGTATATATAGTAATGTTTCTTATTTAAGCTAACTTGTAACATGCCAGTAACCTTTTTTTCTTGTTTATCAAAATGTTTAAGTACCTTTATTAACTTTCTGTTTATTGACCATTCCATCAGTATTTTACTCTCTTTTTTTTCCAGCAACATGACTTCTTGGCTCCTTGTTTTCTTATAGATGCAGTATATAACCCCTATTGCAAATTTTTTATTATTTTATTTTTTTGTAATAATTCTTAAAATCACATCTGAAAAATATCATTGAAAATTTAACATTAATTTCATAATTACATTGCAATACTATTTTTTTCTTCAAGTAAAAGAAATTATGTAATTCAGTTGCTCTTTTCTTTTGTATTCTTTGTATTAATTCAAATTTAATTAACTTCAAATTATTAACTTCAGATGACATACACTCATTATATAACCTGGAAAGATATTTGTAATGAAATTAATCAGTAAGGGATCATAATACCATTGTTTTATTTTGTAACGAAGAAATTAATTTAACAGTATTTTCAATTATTGTGAAGCGATTGAATAAATTGTATTATAATGTTTGTTTTAAAGAAACCCAGAGTTATGTTTTATTTACCCCCACTACAAAGTACTCCAGAACACAGCATATATGGGTTTTTCCCCATTACGGTATGTACCCGACAAGGCGCTTAAACAATTAAAAACTTATATATCGACTTCTCAACGCCAAAATCCACTTTATCACATCTACTTCATCTCTTCGCTCCAATTACTAGTATATATACGATCATGAATGAAAAAAGTAAGAATTGGGGAAAAAAAGTGATAACTTTCTAATTTGTGATTCTGAGGTACTGCTACAACACTGCATGTAGTCAGTTTAATCTCATTTGTCGTAGTCTGGATAACATCTGTTGTCTAAAATTTCATAAATTACCAATATTCCCTTCTAGTCTTCCTCAACTAGCAAGAGATAGTTATTAAATTATCCTTCCTTACACAAATGAGCCGCACCATGACAAAACCAGCATAATGCGTTTACGACCAGCATGGATCCAGACCAGCCTGCGCGGATGCACAGGCTGATCAGGATCCATGCTTTTTGCTTATAAACCCTATAACAAGTAGAGTAACTGATAGCGAACAGCATGGATCCTGATCAGACTGCTCGGATGCGAAGGCTGGTCTGGATCCATGCTGGTCACAAATGCATTATGTTGGTTTTGTCATAGCGCGGCTCAAATGTTGGATAATCTTTATGATTTTGACAATAATTGTCTTAGAGAGGTCTGAAGGCTCTGTTAAGTTTATCGCAGGAACCTCCATGGCCAAATGGTTAAGCTCGATGACTGAATCACCCCCATACACCCCTTATCTCTGTTGGTTTGATTTCCATAATGGATTCCTTCAAGTGTGCAAGCTAATAACTACAGTATCAAGATTGTTCTACTCTAAAGCCGGCTTACAGTCTCTTTGAGTCTTCGTCCACCAATAAAGCTGTGATTAGTTTCCAGAAATATTATTTGAATATGAAAATAGCTAGATTAAAAAAACTACAGGCTTGATGTTAAACAATGCCCAGACTTAAACATAGCACAAGGAAAATTATTCATCCCTGCTTAAATATGGCCTGTTGTATCATGGGTTATGTACTCCAGTTATCAAGAGGTTCAAAGTTAGAATCCATAGATCATGAATACCACGGAAGAAAGCTTGAAATTTTTAAACTTCTTTTACTTGTGGCAGAAGACCAAGATATTCACTAGAAATCTTAACCCTGAAAGATCATGCTGCTCAGTAACATAGAACTTGTTTCTTACAATTTATTCAATAAAAGATCAATACAATAATGCAATAAATTAACTACATATACATGTAACTTATATACATATTTCATAACTTAACAGATTGATATAAACAATACTTTGTTTTCAGTAAGACTAAAGATTTTACAAGCTTCAACAAAATTTTAGCCAAGTCCTGTCTACAGAATCCAAAAAACTAATACATGTAAATATCTTAAGTTTCTTACTAAATTTCACACAGGATTAACACTATGAACATGGATATAACACTATATCAGAATTATAGACCTAACAATATACATCATGTATAGCAACTAAGGGTGTTACATTTAATATTCTGTAATGAATTCCAACAACTACACAAGAACAATTTATATTCATTTAACTACGTCATAGGTCCATTTCTTGTTCCATGGAACATTAACCTTTCAGTGTTTTAAGTGGTAAGAAATAAATATATGCTGAAACTTTTCAAAATGAAGAAAATAATGTTACAAGCAGCTGGTTACAAGCACTGCAGATAGAACGACAAATTAACCTAGAATTTGTAACAAAAAATATTTAATAAAATACAGTGAGTTGCATTGCAAACATTATACATAGATGAGTAAATGGCGGAATGATGATTCATTTTCAACATATTTCTTACAGTTTTGTCAACAGTCCAAGAAAGTTTGATAATTCTTAAAATTCCTAAAAAATTGAATAGTGATAATGATTAAAAGTGAATTTTGGATTTTTTTTACAGTATTTTGTTTGTTACATTGGTTGTTATTCTATTCTTTATTGCTTGTGTGAAAATTCTGTTTGAAAACCAGATTCTGTTTGAATTATTTTTCAGTATGAATTAAGTTGGACAAGAGGATGAATTGTAAAATATCAATGTTATTAACCATGATTAAATATACTATGGCATAATATAAATCACATTTTAGTTGGAATTTTTCTTTTAGTTTTTTTTAACAGATGTAATGAATTAAAACAATGCACACTTATATCCCTGGCTTTAATCTTATTCACATATTGTTTATGAATATTAAATTTAATTTCAAAAATCCTAAGTTAAACAGTTACATTTTCTTTCAAACAATTTCATCTTCGCTTGTCAGATCTACTGAACCCTTGACACCAGACATTTCTGGTGGTTCAAGCCCACAGTTGCATTCCTTACTTTTCAAAGGCGCAATTCTATCATAATGGTTCCCGTGCGTGTGGCAAATTGTTATGTAGCACTTGCAACCAGTGACACTTGAATTGTACTTAAACTGTGGCTTAAAAAGTAACCATCTGTATGTTTCCCCAGTTTGATCAGGTGATAAAATGTAAACGTCCCGATTAAGTAACGTAGCTGCCGCATATATCTCTGTCTGTGTTGCCCAAGTTTTATCTTCCCTCATACTTCTAATATGCTGAGACATAGGACCATCGGCAAAAGCTTCAAATTTTTTAGGATATTCTTCTAACACATCTACAACACCTTGACGAATTTCATTATAGAATGACTGATTTCCATAAATCACCTTGCTTAATGCCCTAAAGAAGCAATTTCCGTCACCTTTTATTGCATCAATCTGTCTTCCGGTTGAGTTCAAGAAAGCTTTCAAATACTCATAAACAGAATAATCGCACGTAGCATTGATATCATTTTCAGTGTCACTATCACAAATAACATAGTCGGGTTTGTCAAGTTTGTTTTCTGATAATCTTGTTCGATATCTTGAAGTTGGTGACAAGTTTTCGGAATCTGAGTACTTAATCCGACACTCGCGAAGCGGCGTCTTTCTTTTTGAATCAACCTTTTTACCATCATCTAAGTCTATACATATGGGTACAGTAGATTCACGAGGTAGTCTTGATGATCTTGTAATGGTTTCATCATAACGACGTTTACGCTGTTGTCGGCTATTGGTATTCATATCAAAGTCATCTGAATCAGACCATTCGTCCCAAGAATCTGTTTCCTGATAATGGTTCCCATGTAATATTTGAATTGGAATTTCTGCAAAAAAGAAACAAGATATTATGAAGATGAATAGAACCACCAGACCTGAACCACCAGAAATGTTTGGTATCAAGGGTTCAGTAGATCTGACAAATGCTTTCTTTGTATATATGTAAAGATGGCGCGATAGCTCAGTTGGTTAGACCAATGGCTGTCTCTCCTGAGGTCCCGGGTTCGATCCTGGGTTACACCCTTGGGATTTTTGGAGACACTTTCAGTGTTTCCCACCTCACTAGAGGTGTACTGGTAAGAAATTCAGGTAATCCTGGCATCTATCAGTGCTATACACTGGGCATGTAAAAGAACCAAGGGGTCTATTCAATAAGAGCTAAGGACTGCTTCCCGGATTCCCTTGTATCTCATAGCTTTCTCTGAAGTGATTAGTCTATAGTCATGTCTACGTCCCCACGAGGGGTTTGACATTAATGGAAGATACATTGTAGATATACTAACTTGTCATATGTATGATTATCAATAAAACTTAATTTAAGCTGTCTTGACATAAAATTATATTTCAATGTCTATAATATAAGATTGAAGAATTATAAGCAAGTATGCACAGAAGCATCATTAATTCTTCTAAATCATTGGTAAAGATAAAATATCAAGTTAATTGACTTACCTCTACTAAATCTCGAAGAATGCTGCGGTTCACGCCAGTCATCAAACCAGGGTCCTGTTGCACCATGAACGTCATGCACATGCCAATCTCGACCCCAGTCTCCAAATAAACCCCATGGTGATTGTTCTGGCAAGAAGTATCTGACTATTGTCATTGCCCTTCGTTTTAATCTTTTAACAAATCGTGTAAAGTTTGTCTCGTTAACTGCTTCACTACTGTCGGATCTTTTTCTTTTCGTTCCTCGTCTTTCAAGTTCTACTTCGCTCGTCCGAGTCAAAAATCTAAATGCCGTTTTGAAGTTGATTACAGCTTTTTCAGCCAGATTATGACCAATAAAGGTCTGATCTGGCCGATAAGCTGTCACGTGATTACTTTATTTAATCTATTTACATACAGTTTACTCACGATGAATCATGAATGTGAGAGAAATTTCACGAAATGTCAAATTAGTAAACAATCAATCACGTGACCGGAAACCGGAAGTGAAAGAATTCTTCTAAAGGGAAGTAACTCTTAACGAATTTCAACATAAACCGGGCTGTTGTTGAAATTTATAATTTTGTGGTATTTTCAATAAAAGAAACGACATTTTATCGAAGATGTTTTACCACGTGTCATTAGAACACGAGATTCTTCTGCATCCGAGATATTTTGGACCAAATCTATTGAACATTGTCAGACAAAAACTGTTTTCTGAAGTTGAAGGCACCTGCACTGGAAAATATGGCTTTGTTATTGCAGTAACCACTATAGACAATATTGGTGCAGGAATGATTCAGCCAAGTCGCGGTTTTGTTGTTTATCCAGTGAAATATAAAGCAATCGTGTTCCGTCCATTTAAAGGAGAAGTGCTTGATGCAGTTGTTACTCAAGTAAACAAAGTTGGACTGTTCACAGAGATTGGACCATTGTCATGTTTTATTTCGCGACACTCCATCCCAGCAGACATGGAGTTTGACCCAAATTCTAACCCGCCATGCTACAAAACAAAGGATGAAGATGTTGTCATTCAACAAGACGATGAAATCCGAATCAAAATAGTCGGTACCAGAGTTGACGCCAAAGATATATTTGCAATCGGCACTTTGATGGATGATTACCTTGGACTTGTAAGCTGAACAATGCATGCAGGACTGATTATAGACATTTTCAATGATTTAAACTTACTTTATTGTTTGTAAGAAAAGTGCTTCTTCACAGATGAGTGAGCAGTTTTGGAAGTCAATGATTTGATATATTTCAAGACACACTGGTGTTGAGAATTGACCAACATGTTAAAAAACATTTGTGTTCTTTATGTCTATTATATATGACATTTCATGTGAACAATAATCTTTCATTTTCACAATGTGACACGTTACTCAGGCATCCCAAATTCAGATAGATAAAACAACAAAAAAATACATAGAGAATTATCAATATGTGTAAGGTGACAATGACTTGCGTAGACATATTTTGCATCTGTTATTTGAAAATGAATGCTGTCTTTTTTGTCAGAAATATTATAATAATTTACCAGGTTCCTTTGGACCACTTTTCGAAAATTAAAGAAGAGCTAGTTTGTAGTTTGACGTGATTATTGTTAGAGTTTAAAACTGTTCAAGTGATAGCAAAAATATAGATGTTGTAAATATAAAACCTTTTAGCATATAAAAATTGACTGTGTATGAGTTGTTATACGCTAACTAAAACTGTGTTCATGAGCTTAAGTATTATATATAATATAATATATTGTTTTAGATTTTATAGTGTTGGAAAAATAACAGTGATTTTCCTGCTTATATAACAGACTTCGATAAAAGGCCTCTTCCCAATTGAATTTTTTTTTTAAATTATGCAGTTTTCCCAAAAATCTTAACTTAAACCTGCTTTTTTACTTCCCTATTAAGCAATTTTTGGGGATATTTTTTCCCAAAATCAAGTGGCTAAGGCCTCTTCCCAATTAAGTGAGGAAAATCTGCCACTGAATAACTACCTGCTTCTCAATGCAATTTGTTAATTACTAGTATCTGCCAGTTAAGCTGGTCTATTTAAAGTAAAGTGGGGTTACTTACCTCTTTGCAGTGATTAAAGTATTGCATGCAACTTGTACTGTAACTCCAACATAGATTTCTCCATTCCCCTTCGCAAACTATCATTGATACCTCCTATATGACCCTTGTTCTATTCAAGTACTGACAGTGAACAACCTTGCAGTATGTCTTGTTCTTTTAATGGCACCAATACTGGTTACATGTTAGCTTATAAATTATTAATTTTATGTAAATAACCTTTGCCAAATTAATGAAATTTGCTTACCACTAGATTCCTTTATCAATTTGTTTGCTATTGTAATTTATATGGGATGGTTGTGGTGGCGGTGGTATTGGTAGTATTCACCACAGATCACAGCAGTAAGCCACATTGAATTAACAAGAGCACAGTACAGCCACAGCATTGTTCTTAGGCAGGCTATCAAGCAATTTACAAGTGCAAATTGCCTTCACTTTTGAATGGAACTGATACTTCTGTACATACGAGAGTAGTGGTACAGTGCAATTGACGTAGAAAGATTTCATGATCAATCACCACAAAAGTGACCTTCACCGTCTGGGAATCAAACCGGGGTCGCCAGATTCTTAGTCCAACATTGAGTTATTGTGTAAACCAGGCTGCTATCTACATGGAATAAACTCAACAATTAGATTTATAAATTTTGATGTGGAATAATGAGAGCCATGTCTATCATAGATTATACTGTATTCATCTTTGGTTTTTTAAGTTTTGCTCTCTTCCTAACCACTGAATGTATCTACTTCATACTTCACATAGGACTTCCGGGTCATAATTGTAGCTCACTGGTAGAGGCCCATGCCACTTACACTGCATCCACTTTTACAAAGTTATATCACTTTGTGATCTTAAAACTGTTTTGTGTTGTTCTTGTTTAAGTTATCAAGCACTGAGAACTCCTAATGCATCCTGCATAGTTCTTGATTTACCACCTAGTACTGAAAATGACAAAACTTTGGCAGCTGTTACTTATTTTATTTCATGTCATCAATGACATGGTTTTAACCTTTTGACCTTCTAATTCCTAGGATTACCATTGTCTTGAAAAGCAGATACAATGTAGCTGTGTGCAAGTAGAAAGTATAAGTTAAAATCTTGAAATTATACACATATTCAGGGTTGTCATTATTAACCGATTGACGATCCAAACCATTGGTTAAAATGCTGTTCAAATCGGTTGAATGTTCATCCTATGAAATAAAGTATCACCCTTGACCCTTGGCAAAATCGGTTGTTTTCTTCAGAGCATCTGTTGCCTCAGATAAAAATGAAAACCCTGCATATTGCTTTCCATAGGACGAAGAAAAAACACTACATAAGACTAGTCTATATTTGCTTTATTTCACTAAATTGTCTTGTCTATAAAATTCAAATAAAATGATTACACACAGTGTTTGACATAACACAAAAAAGTGAGTTACAACTAAATTCTTGCCTAAAAATAACTAAATCATTTGACATTCAAAAGACTAAATCATTTGACATTCAAGTGAAAAAGTCATTTGACATTCAAGTGATCACAAAGGAAAAAAATGTTAAACAACAATATAATGTTACAACATTTAAATAACACATCATTCATACAGATCTGGCAATAATATAAATCTATCCATTCATTTTGCAGTACACACATTGCCTGTACTATGTTGTTTTAAAATAATGGAATTTTTCATATCATGGAAATACAATGAAGTAGCTGTAAAAGTTATGTCCCTTTGATATTTAGTTTAAATTAAGTCAGACTCAGTAATTAAGGCTCTGATAATTAATGCAATTTAATTCAGGCTTTGTAAATAAGTTCAGGCTATGTATATTAATTAGCTCAGCCTCGGTTAATTATTTCAGACCCTGTTAATTATTTCAGCATATGTTAATTATTTTAGGCTCTGTAATTTCTTTCAGCTGGCTCAATCCATAAAATTTATTTATATTCATAAGAAGAATCATCAACTTCCCAATATTTGGATTTATTCTTGAAAATAACATGACAAATTTTAAAGGTACGACTAGAACCTATAGAGGTATCAGGCAACAGTATTGGTCTTTACCCTGTGGGCCAAAGAGGCCAAACATAACACATACACGACAAATTTTCATCTTTGCTGTATGACCTATAACTTTGAAGAGTAACATTTTTGTAAAATCATTTATGTCTTTGAAAACAAAACTTGCACTCAATATATTTACATATAACATACATTCCATCTGATAAACTCGCACTAAATTTGCCTTCAGTTTTATTTATAACAAACATTTTCTCATTCAAATTTATACCATTCTACAACAGAAAAGATTGGTGATTAAATAAGAGGTTTTTTTCTGTGTATTATCAATGGAATGTAGGCACCAACAGATAAAGGATATGAATATTAATAATATATACAGAAATTTTATGAGTTATGCTTTAACCTTATCAACGTCCTTGTTTATATCCAAATAACAGAGTAATTATCCAGGATCTACTGTATATATGTGTGATTCCAACAAAATATTAGGTACACAATTAATGTATGGAAAAATGACCAAAATTTCAATATTAATATTTAATTTGTGCACAAAAATTATTTACTCCAGTTGTATATAAAAGCTGATTCTCTATAAATATAAACAATGCACAATGAAATTCTAACCCCTTAGCCAGCTATTAGCAAGTAATGTGACAAGTGCTGGCTAAAATCAGCCAGCATATCCATGCCATCTGGACATGGTCTGCATTGTGTGCTTTCATTCAGTACATCATAAGTTTGAAATTTTTCCTAAAAATGATCAATGGTTCTATGACAGGTGAATGGATATAGCAGCTAGTTAAGTTATGTAAGTAAAGCAATACTTATGTAGGGAAAACTGGCGAGCTTATTAACACTGATGCCTGACCTAGGACTAAATCAATATAAGAGCAAACAGTCCGAAAATAGCAAAATCAGGTGAGCCGTGTCAGGACAAAACCAACATAATGGGTTTGCGACCAGCATGGATCCAGACAAGCCTGCGCATCCGCGCAGTCTGATCAGGATCCATGCTGTTCGCTAACCAACTCCATTACAAGAAGAGAAACTGATAGCAAACAGTATGAATCCTGATCAGACTGCGCAGATGGGCAGGCTGGTCTAGATCCATGCTGGTCGCAATCGCATTTTGTTGGTTTTGTCATGACGGGGCCCAGGTGTAGAGAAAAGCGTGCCATAGCAATGGTTACTACATGAACATCTCTATAGCAACAAAAGAAATCTATCATGATATAATATAATACATTCTGCAGTAAATATTAATATAAACATCTCTAGCATTGAACAATTTACAGAAGAAACAAAAAGGCAGTAACAAAACTGTGCCTTTTAAAACTAGATAAAGGAAAGTTCATCTTGTGAATCTGACAAAAAAATAAAAATTGCACCAAAATATAGTTTAACAAAACTGTTCCGAACAAGAAGTATATCAGATTTTATATCAGAAAGAAAAGGTTAACTGGTGAATTGCTGTTTAACTCGAGGAGTATGTACATTGTATTTGCAGATTTTATCTGCTTACTCTTCAAAAATTTGATAATTTTTTGAGAAATAGTAAGAAAAAATTATCGTTTCAGTATGTCATTTATGAAAAGAATGCAAGATATATTTACTTAAAATATTTTAATTACAATTTTTAGAAGAAAAATAGAATATCTTTTGGTTGGATGTTTGTTTTTTTATGTAAGTATAAAAGTACAGTGCAGTGACAATATATTTGTTTCAAGATGCACAAATGTTTTTTTTAAAAAAATAGTTTCAAACAGTGAAAATGAGATTTTATTTTTGAAGAGATTCTATTGTTGAAAGTTAACAGTACAAACTTGACGGCTGTGAAGTATTGGTAAAAAGTGAGGTAATATAATTTTAGTAAAAAATATATTAATAATATAATTTCTTTAACAATGGTTCATTTTCTGAGGTAATATATGAAAAGTGATTAGGTTTTTTTTTACTTTTTGAATATGTTCTTTATGAAAAAGAGTTTGATTTAGGCACCTATTTATTAAAGAGAATAGAAAAATAGTACAAACTTACGAAAAAATGAAGCTTTCTAGTTATAATAAGAATAAGCATGTATATAAAATCTATAAAAAAACAAAGAAACTATTGGCAGAATAAGCATATATAATAGGCCCTAATACAGTAAGCTTGTATACAAAAAATCTACACATCCTACATATAAACTATATACAAATGTATATTCAATTTGCACTAAATCATTATTTAGTATGCAGTCATAACCTCTAAATAGCAAAATCACAAGTTTTAAGTTTTCTGTAGAGCCAGTATCTCTTGATCTCTTTGATCTCTTTCACAAAAAAATTAAGATTTCTGAAATTTGGTGTTTTTTGTTTGTTTGTTGTTTTTTGGGGGGTTGGGGGAATGTTCTGGCCAGAACTAAATTTTCATGTCTATGCACAGGCAGCTGTCTCAGATGTTGTTCCCATGGATATACAGTTTATATAAGTGTTGCTTTAAATGCAAAATGTATAAAACTGTTTTTATTAATTTTGCACTTATGAAACTGTACATTTAAATCAAGAAAGTAACACAATCCCAAGCATCTTTGCATATGCTAGATAATAAAGTAAATGCAATTTGTCACTTGGCACATGTTATAAATTGTGTACAACAATTCTCATTTTTTACATGCATTATGATATAATATTCTCATTAAGCAGTATACAAAATACACAAGTCCTGCCTAAAGACAAACTATATGTATTTTTTTCTCCCATACACTGTTATTTACTACATCTTTTTTGACATAATATATTGGATTGCAGACTGCAGAGTATTTCCATATATTCATAATAAACCAGCAAAAAAATACAAAATTTCACGAAATATTAATTGTTGCAACTTGATGTTATTTATCTTATGTATGGTTAAAGGGAGTTAATCTAATTAAAGCTTATAATAGATGTATGGTTAAAGGGAGATAATCTAAGCTGACACTTTTAGCTTCACCCCCAGCTTTATTGGTGAAGGGATGTAGATCCAATATTGCCATGTGTGTCCTTTATATCTAGCATCGGTCACACCTTGATATGGCAACAATGGGATTTTCAAATGTTAAAATAATAGAATATAGTATATATATCATGAGCTCCCTTGCAAATACTTTTAAGTTCTCTATAAAAAAAGGTACTACATGAGAATTCAAATCACATGCACGTAATTCATGTCTAATAAAATACATGAAAATTCATCTAACCCCAAATCCTCTTTAACACTGCATCCATCCAAATAAGGAAAAATACTGATAAATTATTCACATTTTCTAACAATTTACCAGACAAACATTAATTTTATTTGTTTAAACTTAATGTAAGTTTATATACATTAATCTGTCTTAAAGGCACATTATGCCTCAAAAACGAATACAATTTTACTTCTTCAGAAAGGGCAAACCTGAATTTTATAACGTTTAAATAATGGTTTAAGAGCATGTAAGATGCTTATTTTCTGAAGAAAGTTGCGCTAATTGCGAAATAATTTGTCAAAAAAGTACCAAAAAGTAAACAAAGTAGTTTTTGACTTCCATACAAAATATTGCTTTAACTGTATTAATTAAATGCCAAAAAGAACAGAGGAAGAAGATGGTTCAGGTAATTGGCCAATGAGTAACTTTTGGGGAAAATGTAAAAGTACATCAAAAATAATAAGTTTTTTGAGAAATTAAAATAGTCCTTTCTGCATGAGGCATGATGGGCCTTTAACTATTGCATAAGTTTGTAAATAATATCCCTGCTACTTTCTACCAACCAGTCATTTATTTTATTTATATACCAACTTCATCTGATACCAGTGTTTGTCTCTAGTTTAAATTGTTTCTGCAGTTTATTTTGCATGACACATTGATAATAAATGACTTAATACAAAGAGATGCTTCATGATCTTTAAACAAAGAAAAAAACCTTTATGCATGTCAAAAATATCTTTTCAAAAAATTGTAGAATTAATTGTAATCATATAAACCTGTTTGGTGTTTTTTAACTTTATTTTACCATACACCACATAAAAGGAACATTATGTCAATTTATGCAATTTTCATTTAAATATGACTGAAAATTCAATCTCAATTTAATTTGACCTTAAGTTAACCCAGGACATTAGCCTTGCTTATCAGGATGACCCATTTGCATTTTATCTTTTCAATTTCACCTGGTTACAGGCTTTACTGTCAACACACTGGGTCCTCATTTTGATATTCTTTATCAAAATTTTTTTTTTATTTTAGAAAAAAAAAATCATTCAGTAAATTGGGACCTTGTTCTAAGCTATGTGATTATTATTTAATTTCTGATAAAAATAGATCAAATTTTGAACTTTTTCTAAAATCCCTTCATAAAGGTAGAGGAGTTGTTTTAATTTATAAATGGTCAATATCCGCCTCTGTTAAAGAGAAATTCAGGTCAACAACATTAACTTGAGTCTCATAAGCTGTTTATGAATCGAATTATTTTTGACTAATAAATTGCACTTTTTTGTAAGTCCCAGCACTTACAAACAAAAAAATACCAACCAAGTGTAATGTTACGATTAAATTTTTCAAAATGCTATTGCTTTTTTCATTTTCCAATTATTTCGTGACCTATGATTTTCCAAAATGTGATGAAAAGATAACTGATCTTCAGAACAAATGACAAAGTGCTGCTAAAACGGTTGATATGATTAGTCCAGCGAATGCAACCAACGGTTGTCTCCCGTTGCAAGGTTTCCCGCCATCAAGGTCCTTGTTACAGTAGCACGCTTTTCCGATACTGGCCATCTTTCTACAGTCCAAGAACTCCTCATCGAGGTCTTCCACACTGCTCACGTTCCAACACGACCTCAGAACTACCGTCATTCCTATAAAAATATAACGGTAAAATATAGCACGGATGCTATAAACATGGCTTTAATACTCTCACGTGAACAAACATGTAAAAGACGCTCATGAATGCTCTTTTCAGTGCTAAGTATGCACATAAGATTATCAGGCAAAACTAGGATCAATCTACACGGTCTGTATTTTTGGTCAATTATTGGCCTAAATTGATTCAGAAAACATTAGTCATTTTACAGGGGCGGCAAAATCTGATTCCATTTTTATCTCCCGACAATAGTAAATTGTCCGTATGATATTGATACAGTAAATGCTGAAATTTTCCACAAGACCTAACAGGCTGTGGGACAACCTAGGTAATACGGACAATTGATTTTGTCGTGCCTGTTTTATGTCAATTTCTAGCAGCCCGTATTTTAGTTCAAAAGTTGAATATAGCAAAGCATAGAAATGCAATAAATATTTAATACTTGTGTAACTTCATAACATTTCAATAAGCTCCTATAGATCGACATGTAATTTTGCAATTTGTTCTCTTCAATCAAATAAAATCCAATTTGACCCAAAAACTTATTTTGCTATCGGCTGTCTTGATGAACAGCGATGAAAATGTAAACAAAATATGCATATGTTGCATGTTTAACAAGAAAGGGGGTAAAATGAACCTCATTACAAATGACTGAATTGAAAGATATGCAAATTACATATCATTCAAATCATGTTTATAAAAGCGTTGCAGTTCAAGTTTTGTAATATAATAACATTCCTAGTTATAACTTATTTGCTAAAGTCGTATACAAACTTCCACTGTACAACTGATCATCATGCTAAATATAATTGTTAACAATATTCAGTCAGTTTTTTTTTGTAAATCTAACCCTATCATTAGGGATTCATTTTTCCTATGGTTTGACCTTGTTGCCGATAGTTTATGATTATTTTCAATTAAGACCGTATTTTCCCAGGGTTAAACATTAGAAAAAGTTATTAAAAGTAACCCAAAACATATGACCTTTTTCCCAATGTAAAGTTTTCAAAAAAAGTTGCCTAGAACCTATTTCTAGGCTTACGCATCTAAAACCCATTTTTGGTTTTGGTTTTATTTATTTCTTTTCCCCTTAAAACTGCCCCTTTTCCCAAAAGTTGGGGGAAAACTTTGACCAAAGTTTTTTGAAGTTTAGATGAATAATTTTATACTTACAGGAATAACGATTTACACGTGCAAAGCTGACAATAGACATTTTATGAGTTTATGAATACAAAGGATTTCAGTGGACCATTAATGATCTCGTGCCCATAAGTTATAAATTTGAGAATGTGACTTATCACTAGATCATCGTTGGCATGACAACGAGTTTTGAAACTTGAACTTTTGAAAAGTTTGCGGATTTTTAGAATTGAATTATTTATTAAATCTTTAAATTATATGAGACAACAGAATATTGATGAAATCCACTTTAGCATTCTTAATTATTAATGTAGTAACTTAGTCAAAGTACCTTTATATGTGTCAGTAGTTTCAAGTTTTCTACATGCTACGGTGTTTCCTACACATTTCACCAAGTACTTATCCCCTTCCGTGCCGGAGTATTCCCAAGTTTTCCCGCACTTTGAGTCAAGCACGCTTGAGCAATTGAAGCAACTCAGTGCATTACCTAGAACAGAAAATAAAATACAAAACAAAATGAACAAGTCGGAGAAAATAAGCCAAAATAAAGTCCTCTGTCTTTTTCCCGCACTGTTAGGTCAATGTTGGGTCTGTTTAGGCGCCAAAATAGCCGAAGATATTTCAAACTTGGAACATCTGGATTGGACCTTGACTGTATTTTATTAATCTATAAGTAAACGTCCCAACTAATTAAAGCCATGGAAAGTAATAAGATAACGCAATTCTACGCTCGTGACCTTCTTAGTAATATACATGCGTCTTTGCCGCGGTTAAATTTATTTTGCAATATTCTACAAATGTAAATTAATGGTGATTGTGAAATAAACTCAAGTTACAACACTTCTACAATGTTTAACTTAACTAAAACCGTTGACAATCGGTGCAATACAAAGGTACGATACTGCATCGATGAATTTCTTCTGCCTCCTTCGGTTACAGTAAGGATGAGATACTACCCGGAATAAATGAATATCCGTTTTCACCTCCTAAATATTACTGAATTGAAGTAAATCATTGCGATTATCACAAGAGATGAGACCTTTTTCCGTCCACGGATATTTAGTTATTTACTCTAAGGCAACAAGGTACGAATGTACCGACGTACATCGATTCAAAAAGTAACATGTTACTGAAAACGGTTAATGGCCATATTTGAATGCATTTGAAATAAAACATAACACCTAAATACGGAAGATTAATGTTGTCAACGTAAAGAATTTGCCATTTGTTAAAATGCCTTTACCGCCACGTTTTCACCGAGCCTTGCCAAGGTATTTACGCGTGGTAATCTATTATCGGCACAGTTTTTACTCATTTAAAGACCCACCAAGAGCGTATGTTAAACCAGCAATATTTAAGCTCGTCATTTAAAGCGTATTTTATGTATAGGTTACTGTTTAATGTTGACCTAACAAATTAAATGTAAAAATGATCGATTTCATAGGACAAAAATATGATTTCAACAAGGGTCTTTCAAAATTCTACTTAAAAGACCCTGTTTCAACTAAATTGAAATAAAAAGGGTCCTTATAAGGCAAATCGGTCAATTATATTCATAACTTCTTCTTTATCTGTATAAAAACAGTAAAACGCGGTAACACCCCACCCTGTACGTAAAACGTAAATAAATAAGGCTCTGTTTTGTCTTTAGTATAATTAAATTAAGCCTGCAGGTTTTATAGTGTCATGATATACATGATATATGTCTTCATTTTAAGACGCCCTTTCTCGGCAAAATTAAAACATATGAAAGTAGCTATTTAGTTAAACACTTTAGTGCGCCAAGACCTTGAACAATTTTTTGTATCATCTTTTCAAAATGTGCAATAATGTGTTAAAGTAAACAAACAAACGTTATTATGTAAATTTTCAACAAAATTGAATGCAACTTTTTCGTTCAAATTTTTAAGAAAATGGGTTTACAACTTTTAAAGCCTCTCCTTTCTTTCATATATAGCTATTTATTCAACGCAAAACTCTCTAATACATCCATTAAAGTGAATTTAAAACTATAAAATCAACAACAACAAGTAATGTTAAGATTTATTTTAGATTCAGTCGGCTTGCATGCAGACAAACTCGTCTGAGTGTAAATGGTGATAAAAGTAATCTTTAAACTTTCATCATGATCATGCTAAAATAAATGTTTAAACTAAACAAACCTCTAGTTCCTCAATGAATAACCATGCAATTCGTAATGAATCCCAGGTGTGACAGTGTCCTTGAGTCGGGGGGGGGGCTATTTCCTAGAGTTGTCGCATTATACATGTATTCGTAGACTTTAGACCCTAATACTTGAGTAATGACTTTATTTCTGGAGAAGTTACTTTATTCACGGACTAGTAACCATTGTTATGGAGTAATTACCTTATTCCACGGGCAATGCCATTATTCCTGGTAAAATGACCTTATTCATGCAGTAGTGACCTAAAATCTGGAATAGTGACCTAATTCATGAAGTAGTAGCCCTTATTCTGGAGTAGTGACCTTATCCTTGAAATAAAAGCCTTATTAATGGAGTAGCGACCTTATTCTTAGAGTAATACCCTTATTCCTGGAGTAGTGACCTTAATCATGGGGGTAGTGGCCTTATTCACGGACAAGTAACCGTAATCAGGGAGTAATGACCATATTCCACAGGTAATGACATTATTCCTGGTGAAATGACCTTATTCTTGGAAGTAGTGATCTTAAATATGGAGTAGTGACCTTATTCTAAGAGTTATAGCCTTATTCAAGTAGTGATCTTAATCATGGGGTAGTACCCTTATTCCTGAAGTAGTGAGCTTATTCACGGGGTTGTGACATTATCACATTATTCCTGGAGTAGTCGCATTATTCCTAGAGTTGTGCGTCTAGCGACCATATTTATGCATTTCCTTTGTTTGAACTCTTGCTAGATTACAAAACGTCACAATGTAAGAACGACAGGTGGCTTGTTTTATTCGGAAAGTTTATCAGCAAATCGCCTTAAGTGACCCGGTGTGAATTAAGATGTTATCTTATGAAAATAATGGCTTTTATATTATTTCTCATATTATACTACAAAGTCCAATTGCTCCATTTTTGTTGTTGTTGGTTTTTGTTGTTGTTTTGCACACATGTTGAATTTTCACTGTCAAGTAATAAGTCAATATATTGACTCATGGTGACTGGACGCTTATTGAATGACTTATGTCTGAACTATACATAGCATAGTAAATTAATGTGCAAAATCGTGTAAACACAAATCGCACGGGTTACCAAATTTCCGGGCAAAATCGCATTTCGCGTGTAATCAAAATAAAACGGTAACTAATCCAAATCCAGGTCATGCATGTATCGATTATCGGAAGGAAACATTCGGTCGTGGTCTGTTGAACTCCATTGTTGCATCAATATGAGCGTAATGATTTATCGATTAAAGTAATTCAAGAAAATATATATATATAAAATACGTTTCTAAACTATGTATTGGTTAAGTTCACTTACCTTCCTTTATGAACCCACAGATCACCGCAATAATCGCTATAATGGTGCTTGTTGAAGCCATTTTATCCACAACAACTCACTGGAGAAAATTAGAAAATCTGACTATAACACAGAAAAAACTCTCAAGGTCGATTTATAAATAGCTGTTCCTGAGGCCGTTCATTGATAATGCAATTGAATAGAAGATGGCGCTTCCGCTCGCGCGCGTTATCAGGCCCTGACTTAATAATTGTGGGGTTTCTGTATTTACTAATTATAAATCGAGAGAATGTAAACCGGATGTTTAATGTTTTTAATTGGCGTTGCTATGTAGGAAGTAATAAGATCTTTCTTTATTGTTACGCAATTCTGAAATACGAGTCACTTAATAAGTGTTTTTAGGGTGTATAAATTTAAATGGGATTATTTCTTAGCATTACTTGTTTACAAATAATGTTTAATACCGGCTTACTTGTTCATGAATTTCCACAATGAATTTCGTATCTATAGTTGTATTTCAATTATAAATAAGCACGCATTGATTTTCTGTGCACTTTCATTTATGAAGAAAGACATTTTCTCTTTTTTCTCCCGGCACCCGTTTAATAGATGATTTCGGGATATTTTTCAAGTTAGATATTTCATTCATTGAACGTGAAAATAGATGGCATTGTGCTATGTACAATTGTACATACTCACGCAAAGATATCATCGGAAGATATGCCCTTTTTCTTAAAAGATCGGGAAAACGCTACCTTTTTAAAAAGTAAACGGGTGCTAATTATAATAATGTCCTGATGATCAACGGGCGATTGTTTTACGATAATTTTACTATATTTGAAAACATCATTCAAAAGATGGAACACTTATTTAAATAATCAAAATCAATTCTTATTTACATTCTGTAAAAACAAAGTATAAGCGAAAAAAGGCTCTTCAAAACAGTGCACCCGACTTACATCTGACACTGCTGAACATTTATTTACTAACTTACTTTCATCTTATCTCAATCAACCAGGCACTTTTGTATGTGTAATGGAAACAAGGAAACGGAAGGTATATGTTATTATGATATTGTCGAACGAAAAATAAAGAAAAGAAAAAATAGTTTAAAACGTTTTAAACTGTGAAGATCGTAATATAATTATTTTCTTTGATGTATATCCAACAAAGGTGTAATGACAAACACTAGCTAGAACATAACGATAATAGAGGAAGGGATGTAACTGTCGTTACACTTTTGTCGAATTACCAATGCGTTTACCTCCCTTAGTCTTGCATCTGAAGAAAGATAAGAAAGTAACACAAAGTAGCTGTGCACATTTATATAATTCTAACAAATTATTTGTAATTGTGACATATTAATCATAAATGGTGATTGAGCAATATTTCTCAAACTTATGTTCAAAATAATTTTCACAACACTCGCGTCTTTTTGCTTTCAACGTCCATGAAATGTTTAAAATGAATCGCATAAACAAAATATTGAAAGGTGATTAGTTGAATACATAGATAAAACATGGATATGTAAAAGAAGCAAATGCTGCGCATTTTTGATTGATTTTGATACAAAGGTTGTGAATATCATCAGTCCAATAAAAACACATATGCAACACTTTTATGATTCCGCATCCGTGAAAAAGAATACTGTACAAGCATAAACAAAATAAATACTTTTAAATTTTCTCACAAGGGTGGGCTGATTGATCCTGTATATCGTACACACTATTAATATCTAAACATTTATATCAATCTTCCCATTTTATTTCACTTTTTTTAAATTTTCACTGTTTGGATTTCCTCCAACAAACAGTTATTAGCCTCACTTAGTTATTTATAAACAATAATTCCATTTACATGTACATGTATGCAAGCTACAATTTATGGAAATAGCGGTGATTTTTGCATTCCACCATTATTTTAGAGACTATACATGTTTCTTTGTCATAAACGATCTTCAGATTCTCGTGCGCAAGCAGCAGACGACACTTCCAAAATCAAGAATCAGCGTTTTTACCAGGAAAAGAATCACCTCACCGATGTATGCTACGCATTAAAAAAAAAAAACCCGCAAACATGTAGCTTTAACACTTCCTGTGAGCACAGAACACACAATTAAACCATCCAGCCTTTGTATAAAACGTCATAAAATTTATCCTTTTTCTCTAAATAAGATCTCTTTATATGTGATGAAAATTTTCCTCCTGATCATAGTCAAATAAATCAATTTCTTGGTGCTGGGTATGTAAAATAATTTTGAATAATTTACTTTTCACACGCAAAATTATTGTACAAGTATCCATATAGACTAATGCTTCAAATCAGAATCGAGTAATAATATTGCCTTATAAGCGCAGCAGACGAAAGAAGTGCGAAGTAGATATAATCAGAAGGTAGCAAGCGTTGCTGTCCGTTGCAGATATCGGCCGTACAGCGGCAGACGACACCACCTCGAACGTCATCCTCCTCACATCCGGTTGGTATGTAATTTTCTGTACCAGTATGGTTCCAGCATTGTCTGTACACGTGCTGTACGCCCGTACCTGCAAAATTTGATAACATGCATGTATATATATAAATAAGGAACAAAAACACAATAGAATAATTCATTAAAATATATAACTACTGATGGGGGTTGGGGTCAAATCCCAGTAAAAATGACAGTCTGAGGTGACAGTATTATAAAACAAACCCCGTTAAAATGTTAAAAAGAGGTAGAGGACGGTGCTACAACTGAATTGTGTAAAGAAAGAAACAACAACCATATTTTCTCTCCTAAAGGGCATTGCTTTGCAGAGGTAATACTGTAATAGACAAAGTCTCTTAATCTTTGGTGTACAGTTCCGACTAATCTTTCATTGGATAATTAGAAATATTTTGTTTCTAGATCCTAGATCGATAAACCCTTCCTTTTTTGTACATTGTCATAATAATCATATACGGGTGATATGTTAAACTTTAATCAATTTTCATTATTAACTTTGTTACTTGCACGCGCGCGTCTGTTTTCGTCGAAAGAAATGTATCTCGTATATCAAAAGGAATTCGTTAACTTGTCCATAATCAATATTTAACGTTCTTTTATTCTGACAAACGCCATCTGTCTATGTAATGAAAATATATGAGCTTGTTAGTTGAGCATATTATCAATTATGTACTTGAATTGAGAATTACAAGCTAGGTACAAGAGAGCTGATGACGTCAGCAACATTTATGCAATAGCCAGTATAAATAGAATTAAAGACACATCATGCCTCAAACGCAGAAACGTTTTTCCCCTAGAGAAGAAACACTTCCATCAAAATGGTTTGAGAGCATGTATAATGCTTATTACCCAAACAAAGTAGCGCTGAATTTGAAATTATTTGTCATAAAAGTAGCGAAAATGTAAACAAAGTAGTATTTTGACGTCCATACAAATACTTATTAAATCAATACAAATTCACTAATTGCCAAACGGCAACAGAAGCAAAAGACGGTTCAGGTAATTGGCCAATAAGTTAACATTTAGAAATTTTAAAGAAACACCAGAAATAAAAATCTTTTGAAAAACAGAATTAAAAGTTTCTCTTGAGGCAGAATGAGCCTTTAAAGTTTATCCATAAATCATAGTGCCGTGATCCGGACGGTTAACTACAAAAACCACCAACACCATATTAATATTTGATTAAGGAAGCTGGATTACAAAGAAATCATTTACATAGGCCGAAATAAGATTATTATTTATTTATTGTTAATTTCCTCCCCTGGGTATAACCAAGGTAGTTTATGCAATGAAATTCGACCAATAAATGCTCTCGGTGTTTGATAGAACCCATGCTTAGTTGAATGTTTGGATGTATAATGTTATTACTTATTACTCAAGCACTACTTAAATAACTAATTTAACTTTTGACATGCTTTGCCGAAAACGGTCCAGTTATGTTATACAAAGGTCTCCGATATCTGACCCTACCCATTCTCCAGCTTCCCCGTACTTCATCAATAGACAATTGCTTGAATGCTGAAAAATCGTCGTCAGATATTATTGCAAAATTGTTTTGTCGCAACTATGTTGAATTTAAAAGAAGTAATTTGTAATTGTAATGAAAGTGACGGGATTAATGTATTATTCTGAGATAGGCTCCGACTTAAATCAATGTCGGATTCTTGACATTTCATATTGTTTTCTTAATTTAAAATCCGAGAAAAAATCCAAACAGTTAGTATAGAAATATAGAAGCTCTTCTCATAAATAATGATGCATTTCTTCTTTCATTTATCATTTTTATGGCGGTGCCACCTCGCTTTATTCCAAGTCTTATTAGTCCTGCAGGACTAGAACTTTTCCAACGGCTAATGGATGGAACAAAGTGTTGTAACACACGTGATCGATATAAGACAATACGTGTACTAGTTATTATTCTCAGATGAACCATTTATTGTTTGTATTATTATTTAAACTCTCTCATTGAGACTGTACTATTGTGACTGATATAGTCTTGTAGATCAATATCCATGTTTTACTGCGTAACTTTTTATCTTATCTTTTTCAGTGATATACTTAAAATATATAAGTGAAGTATAAGTCATATCACAAAGTTATACAAACTGGGTGAGATTTTGTCTCTGGGACATACAGATTACTACTTAAAGCCCATTTTGCCCTAGAAATGCTTTTGTCTATATTTCTCAAAGGTTTGTTTTTGTTTTTTGTTTTGGTCTCCTCTTGAAGTTTTCAAAACGTTATTCATTGACCAATTACCCGAACCATCTTAAGCTTCTGCTGCCTCTTTTGCCAATTTCTACAGTATAGTGATTCAGTATTTTGTCTGGAAGTCAAAATTCTACTTTGTTAACATTTTGTTACTTTTATGACAAATAAATTCATATTTAGCGCTATTTTTTTAATGTGTTAAGCATCTAACTATAATTTCAATGTTATTAAACTAATGTTTGCCCTTTCTAACGTAGGAAAACAATATCAATTCTCAGGTTAAGATAAAAAGGATGTAGTGAATATTGAATAAACCTCACACCGAAGTGAGAATATTTTATATATTTTCACTCGCTGTTGCGCTCATGAATATATTTCTTACTGGGGTTATATTCCACATTCAGTGGAAACAAACAAATATCCTCTTTTTTATATACATTGCAGAGTACAATTCTGAATTCTATATAACTCAACAAGGCTTGATGAACTCTTTATTTTACATCATTAATGTTAAGGAGGGAAGTATTCAGATAAAAATCAACAGCTTTATTAAATTAAATATACTCTTATTTTGTGTATAATATGGATTTCATTTGAAACCTTTGGACTCACAAGCTAAAAACGTGGCTAGATAGAGTACAATTAAGATTTGATATTGCATTTTTGGACCTAGAAGTGGGAAACGAGGATATATGGAGTACGATATGCGTTTGATACGGAATATTTGGACTCTGGAAATGAAACTGAGGCTTTATTGATAAGATTGTATCCAATAATGATTTATATTGGAACATCACATAGCACAAATACTGGAAGTCCATTGCTTACATTTTATTAGATGAGAAATGAATACATGTATGCAAGTATTTATTGTCCTTTGTAAATTCATCTGAAAAAAATAGTACTCTGCTCCTTAAAAGTTTTATTTGATATATCATCCATTTATGATAAAGAAATTTGGCGGCCATTTTAGTGGTCATTTTAAATGGCCATTTAAGTAGATCTAGTACATGTTTGTCTTTCGTCTTATTTTTTTTTTTTTTTTATTTATTTTTTTGTTAGTTAAATATAACATGTTATCTCGCGCATGCGCTATAACTTAGATGTATGTTCCGTGTGGTATGTTGAAGCACCATTAAAAAGTTATGACGATATGTGTATTAATAATTGATGAATACTCACACTATAAAGCCAAAACTCATACAAAATTCATTTCATTTGTTTTGCAGTCTATTTTTGGTTGAAGCCATTGTTTCTGTTTTTAAGTATTTCGGGGTTGAATACATTTATATATTTATTAATGTAGTAATATAGATAAGATTGTTAGTAATAATCCTTTTTTTTCAGTTTCTTTCTATGTATTTTTATTGAACTTTTTTTCCTTAAAAAGAACCAAATCAACATTTTGTTACATTTTAATTAACATATTTTGTAGGTTTACACCTTTCATGAGGTCGTGCGTCATGTTTCGTTTTTATTATAGATCAACTTAGTGATGAGAAGCAACAAAATACGGAAATATACGAAGTTTCCCGAATTGACATGAGCGATAATAAGATAGTGTATAAATGACACGTTCTGTGCTCTTTCTCTATTATTAGGGGCCTCCGTGGCCGAGTGGTTAAAGTCGCTGACTTGAGATCACTCACCACTGTAGGTTCGATCCTCACTCGGGTCGAAATCTTTCATGTGAGGAAGCCATCCATCTGGCTTACGGAAGGTCGGTGGTTCTACCCAGGTGCCCGCTCGTGCCTGAAATAATGCCCGGAGCACCCGGGCACCTGGGGTCTTCCTCCACCAATAAAGCTGGAAAAAATCGACGAAAAATCTCGGCGGGACGCTCTAGGATGACCCGACTTGAGTGTACGGTCGCCCATATGGGCTTTCCGGCGGCGACCTTAAATAAACGCATTAAAAAAAAATAATTTCTCTATTAATGTTGATTCAGGAAATAATATAAATAAATAAATAAATAATAATAATCATCATAATCATCATCATCATCATCATAAAACCGATAAAAAGTAAAAATAAATAAAAGAAGTCTAACGTGAAGCTAAATTTTAAAATAGGGTACTAACCTTGAATTTCCCCCACAATTTTCTGACAAGCTTTTGCAGACGATGAACACTTCACTTCAAACTTTGCAGCTTCTGAGGTCGTCAATTCCCAGTCATCACTACAGGCAGAGTCGAGAATGCTCGAACATTTGTAACACTTAAGGCCATCAGCTGAGGACGAAAAGAATTGAGTGTATGTACGATACTGTCAGGTTTGAAATGGGTATTGATGTCATAAGTGTTTCTTTTCCAGTAAATAAGACCGTCGCGTTGCAAAAGATCAAACGGTCGCGTTGTAAATTTTAATCATGCAATTATGTTACTCATACGTTTGACAGCGAGCCTGGTAGTTCAATTTGGGTATTTTGATATTGAAATCCCTTATAATTTGAATGGACTGCTCCAGATTCAAAGCTGCATGGATAAATCCATCAAAAACATTCAGCAAAGTCCATTAACTCAACGCAGCGATTACCTCCCTTAAAGTTACAGACTGTATTGAGAAGGGAGGTAACTCTGTAGAAAAATGATTATACAATAAACTAGGGTCTTTCGAAAAACATTGTATAAACTTTTTTTTTTACAAAGATCAAAACGGTTGCTCATGGTCATGTCGATGCTTTTTGTTTTATATTTGACGCGGAAGGTACCGGCACCTGCAGAATTTTCACGAGCGCATGATGAATGCTTAACATTTAAAATATATTTCTAGAGCAACATAATATTTTTTGCTTAAAATAAGTACTAACCAATCCTGGATAAAATGATCTCTGGAGAAGTTCACGGACTTCTTTGACAATAATCCTGATGGAATAAATAGCATGCTAGTAAATCCCCTAATTAGAATTTATATTTAAATGACTCAGTAATATGTTAATAAAGCAGAGTTAAAAGATATTCTTAGTAATCGATCTTAATTCGGTTTGATATGGGAGCTTTAAAGTCCGGCATTACGGAGTATCAGGGGCGCCATCCTAGCAGCCCAGACGCTGTCGTCAGGGCACCGGTTTATGCCATGCGTTGGAAATTTGCCTATGTACTCATCAGGCGTAGATATTCATGAAAATCTTTTTCCGACCTGCTTGGTTTTGTATATAGCTAAAGCAAAGGGAAACAACGTAGCGATGTTGACGCCAAAAAGAACAAACCACAATTAAGGTCAGCGTTTAATGTTGCATTAAGTTTTACTAAAAATAAAATGTAGGCCTACAAGCATCAAACATTACTAATATTACATCCATAATGTAACAGTGAAAATTGATGGTAAATATAATAAAATGTATAATAAATGAAAGTAACGATGTCATAAATATTGATATGCATATATTAAGCCCAAATCAAATTAAACAAAATAGCTCGAGGTTTAACCAGGATGCACCAAACTGCTTACAAGGGATCTTCGCCGATGACGTCATATTTCACAATTGAAAAAAAGGTTCGGATGGACACAGCGTTATAAAAATCTCATTTTTGAAGAAGAAAAAAGAGTAGATATAACATTACAAGAATTAGATGACAACTGATTGGTTGAAGGTGAAAATTTCCAAGCGGTAAAACTCTGTATTGTTCAAAGTCAGAATGTTAAACTTTAAGACTTTCAATTTCTCAGCTGCACAGTTCTATTTTTTTTATTCTATTTAAATGAAATACATATCTCGATTATGTGTATCAAAGTTACTGTATTTTCTAAAAAAGAAACGAAATGAAAAATGATTACTGATTTCCATCTCATAACCCACCAGTTTATATAAACAATCCAATATTTTTTTTTTCTCATCATGTATATTTTACATTGAAACATAGATAAAGTGCATTTAGTCACAAAAATCTGCATCTTATTATGAAATTACATGTATGTTATTTTCCCTATAAAATATAGATGTACTGACTACGAAAATTTGTAATTTTCATATTTGTCTCATATTAGTAATCTGTAAATTAGACAACTGACAGACGGGACAATAGTATCAAAAGTTACTTTTGTTTACTTTTATATCAATCTATCTTTACTTTATGAAACTGATGTTGGGGAGAGCCCACGATAATGTTGTAAACACTTTTGGCCAAACCCTTTTGTATATTATGTATTTATATACTAAGTATGCAATTTAATATAAAAAAAAACTAAAACGTTAAAAGGAAAACGACTTACCTTGGTGTTGAGCAATAAGAATAAGTCCAGTTAAAAGAAACAAAATGTCGAATGGATTCATCATTTCTTTTCATATAATTATATGTATTTTTCTATTTTTTTCAAATTTATCAGCTTATTTTGCGACAATTAGATTTATTTCTGTAACGCAAATGAACTTTTAATTTAAGCATTTCTTAAAGGGAAATATTATTTTTTCCCGACAAAAGATGCGATCGTCATCTGCGTGCTAAGTCGTCTGCAAGAGATCGTCTGCTGAAAGATTTCTGCCTCGTTTTCGATGCCTCATGAAACGAAACTCAGGCAGACAAAATATTCATTGTTTATTGTCCAACAGTATACGGTTTTTGATTTCTCGATTGTTAAAAGTATTTATGAAATATATGTCCTTTTGTTTTGTAAATTAGATTTGAGTTGATGAAGTGGTAGAGCTTTACTCATCAATTCGCGGAGAAACGCGCAGTGGGAGTGTTTTAAATATTTAATTGATTATATCCCAAATATATAATTTCCGCCGGCAGAAGATAACCATGGATAGAAAAACGGATAAATGAGTCGTGTCACGACAAAACCAACATAATGGGTTTGCGACCACCATGGATCCAGACCTGGATCTGCGCAGTCTGATCAGGATCCATGCTGTTCGCTTACAGACCCTATAACAAGTAAAGAAACTGATAGCGAACAGCATGGATCCTGATCAGACTGCGCGGATGCGCAGGCTGGTCTGGATCCATGCCGATCGCAAACCCATTATGTTGGTTTTGTCGTGACGCGGCTCAAATATAGTTCTTGTCTTAAAATTTCACATTATCATCTATCACACGATATTGTATTAGCTTCAACAACAAAAATACTAGTGTAGGAATACTAACTGCTCCATGCATGGATCAATATGACTTTTTGCCAACAGTTTACGTGGAACCTCGTGATGAAAATGTGTTTGAAATGGACCCATGAGACAAGTGAAAACTGAAATGATGTAATTTAGTTACAAAACAAGTCGATCATATAAATAAATAACGATTTGCAGACCTAATTCTATATACGGTTTAACTACATACGCTCACTTTCCAAGCTTGTATTATATGGAAAGTAATTCGTAACTGAGTTAGATAGGATTATTCAATATAGCTACTGAAGTTGTGACTATTCACACATTTATCTATCCTTAATGTTTCTGTTTGTGTGTATTGTTTGCAATAACTTTATTTATATACGTAGATGTGTTTTTGAATGTTTTATTTGAACGTTTAGTTCTAAAGCTTAAGGCCGTTTACGGTAAGAGTTGTTTCCCTTCTTTCCTTAATATCCCCGGACCCCTTGTTTGTGACTTATTCTAGAGCGTCACACCGTCGGCTTTACCTATATTTACATCTTGCGACATTAATTTTAACGGTTGTGTTGCGACATTTAAGGGCAAGGGGAAATCGTTCGACATTTAACAGTTTACCCTACATGTATATAGCGGCGGATGCGACATTGAGCGGCAATGGTGCGGCATTTAGCAGCAAGTGCTACATTTATCGGCGTTGAGGCATATGCAGCGCCACACACTACCTTTCCCAATTTTGCCGCTTACACGTGTTTGTGCAATTGTCCCTTACGGTACTTCACTGGGCGCCATTACTATATGCGTGACTTGAAATTGTTAAGGCATCGTTCCTTGAGTGTTGCTTTCCTTTAATGCTCTTTACTTCTCTATTTTATTTACTTACACAAGTAGATAAATTTGAGAGATGTTCCTGCCGCTCAGACGTAGAAGTTTCTAAAAAAAATGCGTTTCCCTTTGCACTCACTTTTTCAACTAAATGATTATAATTACCGACTAAGAAGGGCTTATGTATAGTTTCAATGAAATGTAACACAGTTCCTCTCCCGGGATACAAGAAAACTGACTTTTTATGACTGATAAAACATGTTCAACAATTTTCATGCGCACGCATTTCTGCTGTAAGCTCGTCAAATATTGTTTATCCTAATGGGGAGGGGGGAGGGGGGGGGGGGTGATCCATAAAAATATATGTAACTTGTAATGTTAATGGCACATTTTGACTCGGTAATGAATTAATTTTTTATTATGCAGAAAGGGCAAGTATTTGTTAAATAATGTTGTTATAATTGATTTAGAACATGCAAGATGCTCATCACCTTAAAAAGGCAATGTTGAATGTAAAATAAATTGTAATCAATGAAGCAAAATGTAAACAAAGTAATATTTTTACTTCCATTTAAAATACTTATTCACTATAACTGTAATTGTTAATAATATGCCAAAGAAACAAAAGATGGCCGAGAAATATGGCCAATGAGTAACTTTTTAGAAACTGGACACCCAAGCTAGGAAATTTTCAGAAAATTTAAATTATATCATTTATGTGGCTAAATGGGCCTTTAAAAAGATAATATCAGAACCCTTTGTTTAGAGAAAGAACGACAATTGACCAGTGACGAAAATAACCTGCCTGTGCCGTGTGCATACACCTCCATTCTTCCAGACGATACTCTATATTTTTGGCGCATTGCTTAACTTTTGTTATTAAATTGTATGGTTTTATAACAAATAATAAGAAGGTGTGGGGTTTTGTCCACTTTAAAAAATTGAGGTGTGGGGGTTTGGCGTGTGGAGTTTTGTCCTTCTTCCTTTGTTTTTTGATAGAACAATTTCTTGACCTAAGAAATAATAGTTATTGAGAGCACGACTATAGTTTTACACAGCAGGGTTAAACTAAATATCTAACTTATTTCCCACTGACTTTGGACTCGCGTAAAATAATAAAATATAAATTCACAATCATGTCCTGAACATAAATGGGGATGTACAGAAAGAATTACAAACACCATTCAAAATATCAAATATTTTGTTTTTATAATACTATAGACTAAAGCTGCTATTACATAGTGTCACTCAACTAAAGTGGTGCGACATATATTTTATGTAACAAAATAAGACATTAGACATTTTGAAATCATAGTCCTAAAGCTACTATGAATAGCTCCAAATTAAAAAATAATAACTCGTTTATTTCGCAAATTACTATTGTAACTAAATTCATATATATGTCATCTGTGAATAAATTTCTAAATTTCGGACAAAAATTGCATTTATATTTCGGCATATATTAATAATCTCTACATGTGTGTAACATAACTAAGGATTTTACACTGATGAAACTTTAAAATTCGCAAATATAAAATGTAAATTCTTATAGATTTCATTCCCTTTGAGAAGAGTAATACATCATTTGTTACCTTCCTTGAATCTTGAAAATAGAGTATACTCTCATTTATTAATTCCCTTTTATTTAATCTAGTATCAATAACTTTGAAACTTAAGGCGTTACTTTTCGTGTACAATTTTGTTGAAAGTCAGTAAATGAATCCCAGACTTGGATCAATGTGAATCATTGACCTTTATGCTAAAAGCACAATGATTTTTTTATTATACAATTGAACAATTTAACAAGTATAACCTATTGTGGTCACATATCAAATATAAACTAAACTCAGTTATAAAGATTATAATAATACTTTTCTACATTTGATACATGTTTGAAAAAGTGCATACCGTCGTTTCTGTTTTGTAATATTATTTTTACACACTGGTTACCATGATAACACACATATATAAATACATAAAATAGAACAAAAAATCTTAAATAACGACAAATATTTGCTTCAAAAATGACAAAATGTGAATCCAAAACAATGAGAAAACATGGTATTTCATATAACACGGTATTTCATATATACATAAATGAAATCACGACAATTGCACTTTCAAACGACTTTCAATAATACCACCACTTTGCAATATAAGTGTACACATAAAGAAAATGTATTGGGCTGACTACTGGTATTTTAAGAACGTATGTTGTCGGACTGTGCCTGTTTTAACGAAAGAAACATAATTCGCATCAAGTCATATATCATAAAACAAAAGTGATTACGTACGTTAATCGAACAAACATTTTACAAATTTGCATACAATAAACATTTCTTTTCAAAAAGATATGAAATGTTCCTGATCTTAATATTGCATAGCATTAGAGTAAATTATACAAAAAAAAATAATTAAAATCCTAATAGTGAACAAAGTAAGGGAAGTAATCCAATGAATAAAATTGCAGTAGATGCTCGGACGAGTTCACTCCCATTACAGAGATCACCTTTGCAGTAACATGCTACACCTTTGAACATTTCCGAACACTCTTTAACTTCCGGTTCAAATCCTTCCTTTCCCGGGGAGGTCCAACATGATCGTGACACAACTATACCGTCTGGAAAGAATGAAAGGTTTATATAATTATGATACAGTGTTGCAATTATGAATGGAATATATTTTTTTCCGCGTAGCAAATGCTAATAATATTAAAATAAACATGTATCTTAGTATTTAACATTATAATAGGGTAAACATTACGGGTGGTTCATATGTATAGCATTGCGACTCAAGCGGCTGGTTTACGCTCCAAAGAAAAGTGTAAAAAATAATTTAGCGACAATCATAAGATTCTCTCTACTTAGATATTCATTTGGAATATTTTATGAACCATCCCTGTAGGAGGCTCATTTCCATCATTCGGCAAATTTTGATACTATCCCTTATTAAACAATAAGCGCCCTAGTGAGAATGAGCAATATTACAATCTTGTCAGCCAGTCAGTGGCACCATTTACATACAATTTATGCAACCTAATGAACTGCCTTTATTTGTACAGACGTGTGGCAATTGTCTATGCAAAGACGGTCTTGTTTAGACTCTGTGTGCATGAAAATACCAAGGAGAAACTCAATATATTTCCAAGATGCATAATTTCCATTTGGCAGGTTGTACCTTTACCTAGACCCAACCCATCCCAGACCCAGTAACGTACAGCCATACATCTTTACTACATAAATATTCAGGCTTTATTAGAATTGAGTTAACCGAAATACTAGTAATAAGTGAGTGAAAAAGAGGAAACACTGAGCGCCTATTTTATGGACATACTTGTTTTCTTTCCTTGAAAATCGTCTTCATATGTCAATTTTCTGCAGAAGGTCAATTCTCCCTCGCATTTTTTCAGATATTTCTCCTTGGCTTCCGTTGAGCCGGGCGCAAAGTCAAATGTTGTCCCACATCTCTTGTCCTGTAGGTTCGAGCACTCGAAACAGCTAACACTGTCAGCTGAAAAATACAGATCGTTTTATGTAATGAGTACCAGTAAGAGAGGAGAGACTGGGTGTTAAGAGTTCTTTGGGGGTGGGGGTGGAGTTTGGGGGAGGGTTGGAGTTTGGAGTTTAGGAGTTTGAGTTTGGGAGAAAGGTTTGTTGGTATCAGAGCATCAGATTTTCGGTGCATTACCTATATATACATGTACATCAAAATATATAAGCTTGGTTGCAATCTTCAAGCTACTTCGATACTGGTGTGCTTACTTCATATTTCTGCAGCAGGGGGTTTCGTTTTCATAACGAACGCTGTGGGTTCGAATCCGACAGGGACTTTGGATTCTCTCAAGTGAGAAAGCTATCCAGCTAGCTTACGGGACGTCGGTGGTTCTACTCAGGTGCCCGTTCGTGCCTGAAATAATGCACTGAGGGGCAACTGAGGTCTTCCTCCACCAGTAAAGCTGGAACGTCGCGATATGACCTATACTGTGTCGTTGTGACGTAGAACCCAAACAAACAAAAACATAACATAAACATTTCAGTCCCAAGAAAATAATTATACTACATTTACGACCGTTTCTGTATGTCTGATATTATTATGGCAATATGTTTAAGCCCCCCCCCCTCCCCCCAGTTTGTCAACCACAGGAAGCTGGCCCGCTCACTTGAAGGAAGTCTTACTTTAGGAAGAATTAATACATGTACTGCTTTTGTAAAGAGTTTATTCGCTCTTTTTAAATTATTAAATGCATTATCATTTAAAACAGTCAACGAAGGTCAAAGGTACATCGATCTTCAATCCCACTATAATTCACTCAATGAGTTACTGATATCGGATTCACCCTTACATTCCAGTTTCAATTATTTCATTTTCATTTACGTCATATGCATAACAGTGATTGCAAAATGATACTTTTATAGTGCGGTATTTCATAATATTACCATGTATTTTGAAATATATTGTTCGCAAGAATTAAACGTAACAGAAGTTACTAAATATACTGTAGTATTTATGTAACAAAAGAGGTGACTTAAAGCAGCTTAAAATCACTTAAACGTGTAACCTCATGTATATATCAACAACATGCAACTTAATGTAACAAAACACGCCATTTGGTATATTTTATGCAACAAAATAATTAAGCCGCTTACTTAACTAAAAGGATCAAAATGTCACCTTCTATTACTAAACAGGTTAATTTTATCACTGTGTTTCCTAAATGAAAAAAAAAAACAACAACAAAAAACGCAACAACAACAACAACAACAAAACCAGATCGGTGAATTTAAAGTAAAAAATATTACTTAATGTAACTAAACAGGTTACTTTTGCAAAAATGCAACAACACTTCATGTAATTCATCTTGATATACCTAAAATTGATAATAAACATTTCCGAAAATAGAAGCTGGGCAAGTCCATTTCAGAAAATCAGCGTATCACAGTGTATGAAATGACAATCGTGATGCGTTTCAATGAGTACAAATTCTGCATGAAATGTAGATGAAAATCAATGGCAATTTGCCAGATTCGATAATTAATGACACACAATTAATGACAGATTGCATGCGAATTACATTGAACTCCATTAAATCAATGGTTGCTATTGTCAAGAGAGTTTTTAATCACCGAAAAAAAGATGAATACATGTAGATGAATTAGACAAAACGGAAAACGTACAAAAAGCGAAATATATCTCTGTCTTTTCGTTTTCCCTTTCATTTGTGTATCTAATACATCATGTTTTTATAAATTTGATAATGTCATTCTTAAATCATTTGTAAGCGATTGTAAAAACACGAACCGACTCGCACAAATTCGTTTGTGACATTTATAATATTTATTCAATCTCTGAAATAAGTATGTTTGATTTTTTACACACTTCATTGTTATTTAAATAGGAAAACTTTGGTCATAATGTTGTCACAAGGTCAAGTTACCTAATAAAAATGACCACTTAATTTAAGCAAATATCCACTTTAACACTGAAAGAGAATTTGAGGGCGGGAATGAAACGGGGCAAAATGAAAGAAATGAAACAAAACGAGGCTAAACAATGTGTATGGTGATGCTTTCTCAGAGGATTCACAATTAAATTTATTTATAAACCCAAAACTTAAAAGTTCTTTAAATTCACAACTGATTTAAGCAATGTCGCATTATGAATAGAACGTATAAATAAATGAACTCAACCTGTCCATCAATTCAAAATGCTCAGCCAAAAATCATCTCGCGACCGGAAGTTGATAGTATATACTTAGCAGACGAAAATTTGGTTAACTAGTACTCAAATTTCTATAATTTTAGATTTTATTGTTTACAATAGTCTATATTTATGTAAAAACATATGACTTATTGAAGAAGACAAAAATGTCAGAAATAAAGAGAATTAAATATTAATTAATATTCATAAATATTAACAATAACAAAAATAACAAAATAAAAAATACAATAACTTTTATCTAGGGTAAAATATCTGTAAGGAGATCGACTTTCTATATTATCATATACATATTCAAAAAACGTTTAACAATGGGTTTCCTGGGTGAATAAAAGCTTTAACGAAATTGTAGTAGATTCTGCTCCAACAAAGGGTCAGAAATTATGACATACGAAATAGTGCATGCTATACTGTCGTATATTATACAATTATGCAAATACAAGGTCGAAGTCGTCCTATTTTTAGAGTTAAGTCGTTTTAACAATAGGTGATTAAATTGTACAAAAGATGTGAGAATGTGTGTGTGTGTGTGTTTTTTTTTGTTAGTGTTTTTTGTTGTTTTTTTTTTTACACAAAGGAGACCCTCATGAAGCACCTCAATACTAATTCGTATGGTTTATACAAATTTATTTTAGTTCGATATTGTTTGGTACATAATCATATTAAAATTTCATTTGTCTGCTTAGCGGATGTGTTAGTACAAGTTTCTTCAGGCAGTTTTCAAAATTCCATTACCAAATCCCCTCATTTTAACAATGGAGTGTTCCAAATGCAAAGTAAGACAAGTATATCACACACATTTTAGTGGGGAAAGGGTAAGAAGTAAAAATATCCGACGATGCAGATAATATGAAATGTTCAGTCACGCAACCAAACGTTTCAGCGCATCTGTACTGTACACAAATTTGTTTTTTTTTATTTAACCAAATATACATGTATATACCAAATGTACATTGATGACTGCAATATATTAATTTATTTCATTTTATTTTTTAAGTGATATCATTTTTATTTCTAGAAGTTATATTTTTATCACGCTATATCAATAATAATCATTCAAAAGATGAAACAATTATCTCTGAACGCATTAATTTAAAAAAGGAAAATAACCAAAGTTTAGGAAAATTGTTTTTGTTGTTTTTTTCTCTTAAAATTGTCTCTTTATATGTATAGATATTGCACATTACAACAATAACAACAACATAAATAACAATTGTTGTAAAAATAAACGCGTATATTTCAATTAAATTATTTCACCTGACGTTGAATTAATTATTAGATTTTTTTCAAACTTTTTTTAATACTATTTTTTTGACAACGTGAAATGCTAATAAAGTTAAAACTAACAATTATATCCACGAATGAATACAGCTGAATTAGCGTCAGTAGCCTAATCGTTCAAAGAATGTCATTGAAGGTCAATTTATGGAGAGTTTTAAAACATTGCGAAAAAAACAATACTCAATAAATTAACTTACCTAAACCTAGCGCTCCGCAGAAAACCACCAGTCCGAACAATAAACAAAATTCAGGTGTCATCATAACAATTTCCAATTGTAATAATTCCTAATTAATTTACTTTTTGTCTTGTCTTGCCTGACCTATGTCTACAGCGAACTGGTACGGGCATGCGCTTTTTAGACGGCGTCTTCTCTATCGGATTATAGTACTATTTTAGTCAGACTATGTACATGTTGGAAAGGATTTCGAAATACCATGTTACTAAAAGTATATAAGAAACGGATTATCGATTTCGGATCAGAGTACTATACCGACGCATTCTGTACTGCTAGCGGCGGTCAAAATCTTAATATTATAATTGTGAATTGGAGAACAGAAAAATGAACGATAAATTTAAAAGGTGGTTTGGTGCAATTAACACACTTCCGCTCAGTCTATTCGTGTTTTATTTACATTCCTATTAATCAAATAACAATATTAATGTCATAAAAAAGCTAATATCAATTAACCTATAGCGATGTTTTTAAGGTAAATATCGTCATTCCTTTATCAAGGCAAACAAAAAAAAAAACAAACTTAAAAGGCTAAATAACTTGAATCTTGAAAATTAAGTTGCATGTATTTTATCACTATTTTGGTTTTACTTTACTTTACCTTACTTGGCACAAAACACTTTGCTGATGGACCCTGCGTCCACGCGTCTCTTCAGTGTTTTCGTGTATACATTTTTATTTCAAGGCAAAGATGGACAAAAAGGTAAACTTCTAAAAGTTGGAAACTACTGAACAAGCTAGATGGTTTCGTTGGTTTGTCTCATGGCAGAATTGTCACGATTCGAACCCACAATGATGAGTAGCAAGTCATAGCCAGTAACCTCTATAAATCGGTCATCAAAATATCTTGTCAATGAGGGTTTTTCGTTCATATTGGCACTAGTTCCTTAGTATATGTATGTATATAGAAGAGGTGGTCAAGCAAGAAACTGACCATCCAGAATGAGCAAAGATGAATTTAATAATGTTTAAATAATGGTTTCAGAAAAAAAGTTAGATGCTTGTTACCGGAAGAAAGTAGCGATATGTAATAACTTGTCAAAAATATAGCAAACTACAAAATACTAAATGAGTACTGCTAAAAAGCAACAAATGAAAAATAGGGTGCGGGTAATTTGCCAACTTTTCTGATACTGTAAAATACACCAAAATTAAATAGCTTTTTGAGAAATAATCATAAAAGCATTTCTTTGGCATTATGGGCCTTTAATGAAACAAATACGAACTGCGGTGATTTAAGACTCTTTCAGCCGTAAATATTATAAGCGGTTACTATGGAGAGAATGTCCGCCATAATTATGTGTATGAAATAGAAAAAACAACAATAGAACATGCATATAGGGACATATATATGGAAAGCCATGGCTGTCTGATATTGTTCTTTTTCAATTTATTTAACCATTTGGATAATATATGAGTTCACTTCGACTATATATGAATTGAAAACACCTTCTTATTTAACCGGCATCCATTATATTAATCCAGTTACTATATATGAAACCATACTGTCAGTGTATGAAACCGAGTTAGCAATATATAAGTTGATTTTTTCAATATATGATTCCAATTCTTCAATATTTGGTACCAAAGTAGCCATGTATGGAACAAGATGTACTTATATGAAACTGAATTATCAATATATTAATTCATTTTTCAATATATGAAACCAATGTATCAATTTATGAAACCAAAGTAGAAATATATAAGTTGGTTATTACATTATATGATACCAATTCTTCAATATATGATACCAAAGTAGCCATATATGGAACCATATGTCCTGAAATGAAACCGAGTTATCAATATATTAATTCATTTTTACAATATATGAAACCATTTTATCAATGTATGGAACCAAAGTAGCAATATATGAGTTGGTTATTACATTATATGATACCAATTCTTCAATATATGGTACCAAAATAGCCATGTGTGGAACCAGATGTCCTGATATGAAACCGAATTATCAATATATCAATTCATTTTTACAATATATGAAACCAATTTATCAATGTATGGAACCAAAGTAGCAATATATGACTTGATTATCACTTTATATGATACCAGTTCTTCAATATATTGTACCAAAGAAGCCATATATGGAACCAGATACCCTTATATGAAACCGAATTATCAATATATTATGTCATTTTTACAATATATGAAACCATTTTATTAATGTATGGAACCAAAGTAGCAGTATATAAGTTGATGTTACAGTCTATGATAGCAATTTTCATTATATGGAACCAAAATAGCCTATTTTCATGTCAACAAGTCAAAGGCCGAGGTCACTGGGTTCTGTTATTACAATGCATACACTTTTTCATGAAATCAATTATTATTTGACTGATTATTTTTAAACTTTGTGAGTAGATTAACCTTGATGTGTCCTACTGGCCATGCCCATTTTTGATCAAAGGTAAAGGTCGAGATGAACTTATTTTTTAAATATGTTTTTGTTAATGGTCAGTACGACACAATAGCTTAAATTATGACATACAACTCGTACATATATAACGATAAGTTTTGCCTGCCCAGCCCATTTGAAGTGAATGTGACGTTAAATTCAAATATTTCCTTATTTAGAAAATGTGCAGTATGCAATCAGTGAAGCACGCTGGTCTTTTGAATATTGGCGCGAAACTGTAATACCGGTGCAAGGATAGAATACAGTCTTTAAAAAAAGTCCCGTCAATATAATGACATTTTGGTTCAATATATTGCTACTTTGGTATCATATATTGAAGAACTGGTATCATATAATGTGAAAATCAACTTATATATTGCTACTTCGGTTACATACATTGATAAACTGGTTTCATATATTGTAAAATTGATTAAATATATTGATAATTCGGTTTCATATAAGGACATCTAGTTCCATACATTGCTACTTTGGTACCATATATTGAAGACCTGGTATCATATAATGTGATAATCGACTTATATATTGATACTTTGGTTCAATACATGGATGAAATGGTTTCATATATTGTAAAAATGAATTAATATATTGATAATTTGGTTACATATAAGGACATCTGGTTCCATACATTGCTACTTTGGTACCATATATTGAAGACCTGGTATCATATAATGTGATAATCGACTCATATATTGGTACTTTGGTTCAATACATGGATGAAATTGTTTCATATATTGTAAACATGAATTAATATATTGATACTTTGGTTTCATATAAGGACACCTGGTTCCATACATTGTTACTTTGGTTCCATATATTGAATAATTGGTATCATATATTGTAATAACCAACTCATATATTGCTACTTTGGTTCCATACATTGATAAAATGGTTTCATATATTGTAAAAATGAATTAATATATTGATAATTTGGTTTCATATAAGGACACCTGGTTCCATACATTGTTACTTTAGGTCCATATATTGAATAATTGGTATCATATATTGTAATAACCAACTCATATATTGCTACGTTGGTTCCATACATTGATAAAATGGTTTCATATATTGTAAAAATGAATTAATATATTGATAATTTGGTTTCATATAAGGACACCTGGTTCCATACATTGCTACTTTGGTTCCATATATTGAATAATTGGTATAACTAACTCATATATTGCTACTTTGGTTCCATACATTGATAAAATGGTTTCATATATTGTAAAAATGAATTAATATATTGATAATACGGATTCATATAAGGGTATCTGGTTCATACATGGCTACTTTGGTACCATATATTGAAGAAATGGAATCATATATTGAGAAAATCAACTTATATATTGCTAACTCGGTTTCATACACTGACAGTATGGTTTCATATATTGTAACTGTGGATTAATATAATGGATTCCGGTTAAATAAGAAGGTGTTTTCAATTCATATATAGTCGAAGTGAACTCATATATTATCCAAATGGTTACATAAATTGAAAGGAACGATATAAGATAGCCATGGCTTTCCATATCAAATATTGTTCAGTTGACTACATATAAAGATGGATCCACATAATATATTAATGTGTGCACATTATATACGGAAAGGTTGACTCAATATATTGCTAGTTGGACGTAACAACGTTCAGGTTAATAATAATAAGACAGTCAAGGCTTTCCATAATTTGATGTCAATGCGTCTTTATATGATGTCAATATATCATTATACGATGTGCATTTTTGAATATAGTATGTGGAACCATCCTTATATAAGGTCAAAATACTCAGGTAATGAATGTGCACAGAAATACCAACATTTATGTTTCAAAAAATTGCAGGAATAAATAAAAAATGAGATATCAATTTTTGAATACATTCAAAAATCATCTTATTTACAAGACATGATATAAACATACAATTTAAATACTGCGTAACTGTGACATCATATCCTCAAAGATTTTTGCTCTAATTTTCATGAAAATGTTAGATATATAAAAAAAATAGCCCTTGCTGTATTTCAACAACTTCAAGGGTCTTACTCACATTCACTTAACAGAACAATTGTCTCTTAATTATATACTCTTACTATTTTATGTCCGTTAAGTTAAACAATGATACCAACGTAATGTAATATTTTCCTTATTCTATTGTCATTAAAGTGTTTATTCTGATTCATATAATGTATATTAGCACCTAAATGTTACTATATACATGTATATAATTAAAGAGAAATACTTGGAAAACAACTTGACATTGGAAATAAAATAACAATCGAAAGACTAAATGGGATTATTGTCTAATTACTTAAAGTAAGTAAGCCCTGAAAGTGTTCACTGTCACAAGGACAATATATCAAGTGTCGTTTGAACAGATGAAATTAAATTTGTCAACTCATAAATTTCCTTGAAATTCTCTTTCTTACGGTACTTAAAATACGATTGAGCAAATGTCTGTCAAGGGTTAAAGGTTTCCCGAAAAAGTTTATCAGCGCAGTTGTTACTTAAAAAATGAGTTTAACAGCGGAATAATGTCATCATTGCGGAGGAAAAAAATACTTTAGTGCAGTAATTGTCATTGAATCGAGAAATATGCTTTGAAAGAACAAGATACACAATACATTTATAGGGAAACTTACGGAATCATAACTTAATACGTAGGCCACAAAAAAATCGGCAAAGCTATGTTAACAACACTATGAGTGATATACTCTGAATACTATGGGTTTTATATCACTAAATAGAAACCCAGACTTTCATTTATAAACATAAACTATTACAATGATTTGACAGAGTATTTCTTGCATATCAGACTGGTGTTTCCGTTTATTTTACCCATGCCGGATTTTTCATCTGTCATGGGGGTGCCAGATGAGTCGCGTGCTATACAATGGCATGCTTTGAATGACGTTATTTCGCCGTTGTGAATGAAGTTGTAATTTCATACGCTACTGTACGAAAATAGTTACGGTCGAAGTGAAATTATTTGTCATCCAAATGGTTACATAAATTGAAACAGAACAATATCAGACAGCCATGGCTTTCCATACGCTTGCAATGATGTCGTTCTATTGTTGAGCTATAAATAGTATTGTTTCCACCAACAGAGGGCTCTAAAGCATGAAGAGAAAATATAAAGCAAAAATAAAGTTTATTATTATTTTGATATGTGCAAATTATATAACAAACGCTTTGAAAATATGTGCAAAAATGGACATACATGTATAAGCAATCAATATAAAAATAGATAAATGACGCAGATGCAAAATTATTAATATAAATAAACTAGCGTATGTATAATCCGGTTAATGTTTTATTATCAAACAAATTTGTGAGAAAAGAATTTCGTTATTATTACAAAGTGTTCCCAATTATCACTAAGTTAAACTTCATTCTGAGCACATTAGGAGTACAAAAGTTTCATAATCAGTTTAAAGTTGTATTATTCATTATCAACACAAAGTTTAACTATCAGAACAAAGTCTCGAAATTAGAACAAAGTTTTAGTGCATTATTTCCTTATGAGCACACATTTTTACACAATTTAATCAGGAGATATGACGACATCGTATTATTACATACGTCACATATTGGGAATACGGTTGAAACTCGATAAATGGACACTCAAGGGACCAATCAGTTCTCTACGAGATAAAGCGAAGATTGAGTTATATGTGAAGCTGCTGTCATAATGATGTATTTCATACGTGTATTTACCTACTTGGCAGTACAAGTATTTGTTGGTTAGGATTAATTTTTTAACTGCTTTCTGATGAATTTACCACGCGCGATATTTCTTTTCATGTTATTCTAATGCATGATTTAAATGAAATGAAAATTTGTCTGACATGTATATTTTATCAAAGCTACGGAAAATTTTGATAATTAATACGAGCATGATTTTGTAGAGTACTTAGTTCAATGGCGAAACAGAATTATAAAATCAACAAAATGACATATGCTATATATAGACGGTGATAGTCATAACACTAACTTCCGGTCATGTGCATGCGATATGAGCATGATTTTTATCACTTTCGTTTTATCAATCATAAAGTGTTTTTCGACTCCAAATGTTCACTTATACATGTATATCATATCGTAAATAACATTTTGGCAAAGAGTTCATTCCGTGGCCATCTACTCCATTGACATTTTCAGTGCTTCATCGGATGCCAAAAGATGTTTGAGCTCGGAGCGAAAGGTTTCGTAATCTTCGTATGATGCTGGCAACTCCATCATGTTTGAACATGTGTGAGCCTTTGGTAATCTAAGCTTCCCTGTTTCTGTTGTAAACTCAATAGTTATCTTCTCTCGTGGTATGGACTTCTTTCCTGTTACAAAATGAAGGAAAGTCTCAAGCTCTGGTTCCGACATTTCTTTCAGCAGGTCTTTAAGAAAATCGAATACCCGTCTTTGATGCCGAGAAAGACGCGGATTGTCATCGGAAGTTTTTAAGCGCGCGATAACTCTTTCCGGAGTTGGTTTCAGAGCTCTAAACAGGATGCCGAGGGTTTTTAAATGGAAATTCGACCAAAAATGTTCCAAATGAGACTGTGGTATACCCGATCTCATTTTGTCAAGCAATGGTTTTGGGCGTATACAGGTCACGTGGCGTGCCAATTGAGTCACGTGATGCTTAAAGTTCTCGGCTGTTATTCTGATCGCATATTCATACCTTTCAAATATGGTCATAAGTTCGTCTGCTTGATCTGAAGTTAAACTGCTGTAATCGTTTATTGCCGTGGTAACCAAATTACGATCATGGCTGTCCAGAAAGTACAGGAAATCTTCAAGTAGAATTTCTGCCGAAACATCAGTAGTTTCGTAGATCATCGCGATAATCGTGCTTTTACACATATGTATCGGAAATTCTTTCATAACGGCAATGGAATGGGATAATATGCGACCGAGAACTCGATATTTTGAATCGTCTGTGAATCTTTGAGGGGGAAGATACGGAACCACTGCCTCGTAACCAATGAAAAATTCCTCTTGAGCTCGGTACCAAAATGTTGTAAACATATCGTAGGTGACACCACCACAGTCCATGCCTTCCTCACCGATAAACTTCACAGTAATGCGAGATCTTGCGAGAGATTCTTCAGTATAATAACCAATCAAATTCTCTAAAATATTTTCTCTCGATATTTGAAGAGGGATGACGTCACGTCCTAAATGTCGATGATGGCGATCAAGCACTAAAAAATATATACACATGATTTATGTCTGCATTTAGAGTGAGCAGGAAAGAACGAAATACAAATATACATGTATCATGGTTCACGTATCTTTAATTACCGTCAATATCCGAAAAAAAGATGATTCCTTTGATTTTCTCTGATGATATAAATTTTAAATTATGTTTATGGAAGTCAATATATATTGGTTTTTAAGGTATTCTAGAAATAATAATTCCCTGTCATTTAAAACAGACCTTTTCACTGGAATAGCCAAAATAGTATACATACACGATTCAACCTCTCTCAGCATTGCTAGATCATCGTTTACCGTTGTTGGAGCAGCACCTCCTTCTGCTCCTTGCGGCCCAGAACTACTTTCTCCTACATCAATTGTTGGAAATCCAAGGCCTATCTCATCAATATTATCACCTGGTTGTGAAAATAAGGCATTGAACTGACCACCATCGTTTGTTCCTAAAATGTATGAGTTATTACATATTAATACAATAAGAAAAACTTTTATGAGAGATTTTACGGATATTTTTGAGACTCGTCACAACTTGTTTTACATGTGTAGGATTTTTTTCCAATGAAAAATGCAGTGACATATTTGAAATCGTTCCAAATATCGTTCAAGAAAAGACAAAAGGGCAGAGAAAACGCTAATATCTTTGAAACTGTGTATAGACAAAGTCATTTACACGATTGCAATTTTGTGAAGCAGCATTTTCCATAATACATGTATACAGAAAATGACAGACTACTGCAAAGATTTCTTTGAAATCTTTCCCTAATACTTCCCCTCTAAATACTGCAAATTATGTACAAAACCCCTTTTCCAGACGGACTAGAACACTTATCCTTCCCAATATTTCCCCAAAAGAAGATAAAAATGCTTAAAATGATGAACACATTCTTTTCCCAGGCAGGCTAGATGATTTATTACATTAATTCATCATCCAATGATTTTTCATAAAAAGCAGAGAATGACGTCAAAGAATCTTTTATGATAGACAACAAACCTGAACCCTGAGCAATATTCATCTGATAGTTCTGTCTGGACTCCTCTATTGCAATGCGTTCCAGCGCTTGTTGAACTTCATTCGGACGAGAATCTCGTTCTGATCGCACTGTAAAAAGAAAAGAAACATCACGTGATATATAAGGTTAATCACGTGGCTATGTAAAGGACTGAGACAGAATTGTCATAATTTTTAAAACACAGTTTTTATGAAAAAATCTCATGAAATGTAAGGATGAACATTTTAGACATTTGGGTATTAAAACAGTGCTACGTTATTGAGAACAAAATTCGTGCAGAAGTGAAGCAACAATCAGTTTTGCCCATATACTCGAATAATCTATAAAGAGTTAACTTTGATTTAAAGTTAATACTTCTTAATGATCTAAGATATGACGTGCCAATTTATATGCAACTTACATCCATCTGCAAGGGTAGGTCGCTCATCACTCCTCCGCCTCCTACCAAAAGGGTCAAGGCCGCCAACATCTCGTCTGCTTCGCTGAATACTTCTTTCAAGATCCGAATCGGAATCCGATTCAGAACTCGGCAAATATTCTTAAAATAGATCAGTTTCTGTATTAATTAATATCATGCAAGCCCTTTACAAAAAGGAGTTCATTCAGACCATATTAAAAGACTTAAATTTTAGAAAACTCGTCCGAGGTCACAAGTAGTCCTTGTAACTGTTACATTTAAGAGTTTATAGTCAAAGACAAACCGGTTCCTTAACAATTTGAAAAGAAAAATCTGAAGAAAAAAATGATTTTAATGAAATGATGTATAATGAAAATGTGTTTAAGAAAGTAAATCTTACCAATACAACATCTGCAGCACCTTCTAAAACATACACAGCATATCCTCATCTTTCTCTTTAAATTCATGTCGATGCGACTGTGCCGGCTGTTAAAATAAATGGGAAAGTAAATGTACAGTGGTCAATGTTGGTAATCAAATATTGTAGATTGCCTTGAAATTGATATATGCTACTGTAAATTCCCTTAAAGATGATATATGCTACTGTAAATTGTTTAAAAATTGATATATGCTACTATAAATTGCCTAAAAATTGATATATGCTACTGTAAATTGCCTAAAAATTGATATATGCTACTGTAAATTGCCTAAAAATTGATATATGCTACTGTAGATTGCCTTAGAATTGATATATGCTACTGTAGATTGCCTAAAAATTGATATATGCTACTGTAGATTGCCTTATAATTGATAGATGCTACTGTAAATTGCCTTAGAATTGATATATGCTACTGTAAATTGCCTAAAAATTGAAATATGCTACTGTAAATTTCCTAATATGAACGTTGCCAAAATAAATAGCATGGATGTTTCTTAAATGTAGCATCTTAAAAGACCGTTTAGATTCGAAATAAACTTAAAAAAAAGAATTGATAAATTTAAAAGTAATAAAGACTTGAGAGATCAACGTGGCAAACTAATGAAAATTTAAAAAGGGAACTTACGCAACGACCATAGTAATTACAAAGATGAAAACGGTGCTGGTCACTGAAAATTAAAGTAGCAGTACTTATTAATCGTATCTACGCATACAAAATTATTGTATTCATAACATATACCTTAAACCTTTATCTACGCAACTTCTGCACAAAATCTTTGTAAAAAAGTTGATTTCTGTGCGTATCTTACGCTGATATGCTGGTTATCTACGTAACTGGTTCCGCAAGGAGTGTTATCGTCAAATCACTTCCAAGGACAATCGTTATTATATTTATATTAATATTTACATTTAAACCTATAAGCACATCTATCGGGCAATTGATAACGCAGTGGATATTTGAGCCGCGTCATGACAAAACCAACATAATGGGTTTGCGACCAGCATGGATCCAGACCAGCTTGCGCATCCGCGCAGTCTGATCAGGATCCATGCTGTTCTCTACTTCTCTCCTGCTGGTCCGGATCCATGCTGGTCGCAAACCCATTATGTTGGTTTTGTCATGGCACGGCTCATTTCTTTTATGCTATACTTTATTTTTATCATTAGTCATTATGCAATGCATACATCATGCGTTATGTGATAAAGCTCTTGATATTTTAATGTACTATTCACAGTCTTTCAATACGAAAATGCCACACAGATTGATGACTTTAAAAAATAATATTCATACTACTGACATGAAATACAAACACGTAATACAAGTTAACACAAATGATTGTTTTTGTTCAAAATTAGCAAAATTTTGTTAAGAGACTATTTTATTAAGTGACCATTTGTGTTTACGTTTCTTGAGCGGTTTCTTAATACAGTGTATGAATATCGTACTTCAAAATGGTAATGGAACACTGTAATTAAGACGAACATTCACCCATTTGTGTTTGTGTTAGAATCTTGTCAGAGACATAATTTTATTTACTTTTGAGACGCTATACAGCCAGCTTACAGACGGACTGTGATCCCACCTGCCAACCGTGAAAGTCGAAAAGAAAACACCCGTAGGCTCAATATCAAACGGGACTGATAAAAACTGCTACGTTTTGATCAGTTTTACATCTTAGTTTGATCGAATCAAGCATTGAAAATTACTTCATGGGTCATTTTTAACGTGATATTACATCACCCTGTGTCTGGAACAGTACCTAAAGTCCACCGCAACCAGAAAAGCGAAACTCTATTTAACCATTGATCTGCTCGAACGGGAAATTATTAGTGTTTGCCACAAGTATAGAGCCATGTCAGTTTGCAAATTCATTAAGAAAATCAGCATGTTTTGGGTAAACTAACCCCCAACAAATGGTTAGAAAATATATACCTGAGATACATATGACAATAACGAGAGCTCTGAATGTTGAGTCACCAAGATCGTCGTCATCACTTACTGGTTTTGACACTCCTAATTCAGAACCTTTATCAAAATATTATATGATTTGTTAAAATGAAATAATACATACACATTTTACTCGTAAGTTTTTTATATTTTTTTCTCTCCCTTTTTTACATTATTTCCACACATATGAACTATGACAGTCCTGGTAGGCTGGATTACAAACCGGTAATTACCAATTTCTCCAAAAGTGACCACTTACTAATCCTGCATAATTTTTGAATCAACGGTGAGGGACAAATGAGCCGCGTCACGACAAAACCAACATAATGCGTTTGCGACCAGCATGGATCCAGACCAGCCTGCGCTTCCGCGCAGTCTGATCAGGATCCATGCTGTTCGCTATCAGTTTCTTTACTTGTAATAGAGTTGGTAAGACAACAGCATGGATCCTGATCAGACTGCGCGGATGCGCAGGCTGCTCTCGATCCATGCTGGTCGCAAACCCATTATGTTGGTTTTGTCGTGACGCGGCTCAAATGACCTTTAGACTCAATGTCCAATGTCCGAGATTATTTGTCACGGAGAAATTACGCCTGGTCCGAGGATCAAACCTGCCACCTCTGAAATAATTATCCGATGCTTATTGTATTGAGCTAAGCGGACGGACAATTTCAGGCTGAAGGTGCAAGTCAACAACTTGATCACCTTATGTGTATTTGCCTTATCAAACAAATTCAGAAGTGGCTCATTCAATTTATAAAGAACATGTTGGTATTGAGTTTGACATATCCATTGATGCCAAGCAAATAAAACAGTATCATGCGCTACAGGGTCTTCAAGAACATAATCTCTGAACTTTTGACATCACAATTTTTTATCAACAGGCTTGGAAATATAAATAGTGATTTAATCATTAGTCAATTGTTAAGTTAATATCCTAATTTTCCCATTATACAAATGCTTAACCACACATTCATATGATAAAATCGAAAATACTTGCATATTATGTTTGGAAAAAGCCCTGGACTTCTGTCTGAAATTAAATCACTTTCGGACACTGAGCAATATATCGGCAGTAAATTTGTAGTGCTACATTCAACGTTTGATATGTAAGCTGAAGATCCATTGCTTGTTGAATCGTAACCTTTGTTTCCTTCCGGCCAATCGTCTTTAGATGGAATGACCCATTTAGTCATGAAAAGAGGCTTGAAGAAAAGTGGAGCAGCGGAACCGGAAACTGCGTCACATGTCACATTTCCGGATATTTTACTTCCGGACACTTTCCACGTGGTATTTCTAATTTCTGGCACCTTTGGGTTTCCTGTAAAAGGTATTGCAAACTCTAAAGCATGCTCATATGATTTACTTTAACCAGTGAAATGAGAAGAATATAAGATTATTTAGTAAAAAACAAAAATAGAATAGTGAAGTAAAAATAAATCAAAACCTATAAAGGTTTACCTAGTACACCAACAGTTATGCCGTCTCGTACAGTTGTGCCATCATCAATAGTGTATTCACAGACATAAGTCCCGTTCCTTTGTCTTTGTAAGTTTAGAATTATTGCGGAGAAGTTGTTTTGATGAACATTTCCGTTGAACATAATGCCAGTATCATAGTACGCCACGTTGTTTTTTTGATCGACTTCAAGGAGTGTAACGTTAGACTGGAGCATGTATAATCTTATGTTACTTGCCAAACTATTTAGTAACTTGTAATACAACACAGGACTTGAACCAGGTATGAAAACTCTTGTGGTATGACTATCTAGGACTGAAGAAAAAATCAGGAAGCTTTGTAATTGGTAAATAACACGACCGAAACGTACAATCATGCATAATCAAATAATAGAGCTTACAAGCTAACATGCTTTATTTAATGACTGTATTAGATAATGAAAGATAGACAGATTATGATAGCTTGCGCGCGTACGTAAAAAAATTAAATATGATACATTTAGGCCTACTTACAAATCTGTAAATACTCTAGATACAAGTTTAAATTTACACTCAAATTTTACCGGTTATTGTTGTTCTTGACTTGTTACCATAGAAACCACATTCAAAGATGTCGTCTGCGTAGTCTGTAAAAATTTTGTTCTGTAGCGTTAAACTGTAAACCGTAGCGTTCCCCTTTTTGGTACAACTCAGTATCAAACCGGAAGCTTCGCCGACGCCATAATACCAAATGTCACAAGATGGCCCTATCCTGGCTAAATGACCGGAGTTGTTTGAGAAAAATACTGATGCACCACTTGGTAAATTTTCCGTGTAGCAGCAAAGTGAAAATGGTTTATAAGCTATTGGTGCGTCACATGTTGAGATTTGAACATCAGCCCATGACGTAATATCTGTTTGTGAAAAGAGAAAGTTTTATGTTAGACATGTTTCGAGCAGAAGCACAACGTGTGATAATATGGCGGCTGGTTTGGAAAGCTTTTGTGCGTCGTGTTGTCGCTAGCGACATCACGAGAAAGCGCCAAACGGCGCGTTGTCGGACTTTCGTCTTGTGATCCTGTCGCTAACTATGCTCGCCAAAATGGAGCGTGTTGTCGCGATGTCACATTTTCCCTCGGCTTAAATCGAAGGATTGGCTTATAAGCCAAGCGACAGGGCGACATCGCGACAGGGCGCGCTTCGCTAGAGACAAGACGACAGTGCGACGACAAGACGAAATGGCGATAACGATATAGGTTGTATTGTCGCTATCGAAAACGCATTGCGCAAAGTGTACCAAATCAGCCACCATATGATAATGAATATTTGGATACTCTCCAAGAAAATAGACATAATATACGTGACAGATTAAGACTGTTGTCTTTTCGGCATAGTTAGTTAGAAAAAAATAATGATCAATAAGATTTATTGAGCTTTTTCACAGGTTTTGACTGTTACGAGTATAACAGTTCGAAACATAACAGCGAAAACACGAACTATGGTCGCCGATCACTTGCTCGTAATTTTAGTCTTTTTCATTTTTTTTCTTCATTTTTGGGGAGGATGTTATTTTAAGGGCAAGTAATTCACATTTAAGGTTAGCAAGGCATTTTCTATTTTTCATGTACCCGACTTCCTTTTAAATGTTTGACGTTTCAAGGAATGGTTCAGAAAAAGAAAAGAAAGAAAATTAAAAACCCTAAAACGGGCCTATTTTTGAAAATAAAACGAGAAAGAAATATAATAATTACAATAAATAAATCATGCTTTATATTATTCCATTTAGTTTGATTTGTGCCCAATTATGAATCAATTGTAAAGAAAATAGATAAATAAAATCAGATTAAACTGTTTTTGAACAGACAAAAAAACCCATCAAATTCAAGGGCAGATAACTCAAAAACTAGATGGGCTCTGAATGATTTGACCTTATTCTTCTTTCTTTTTGGATATATAACCAAACCGTGTCGTGAATATTGATTAATTAAGTAGATATACAATTGTTAAATGTAGCACAAGTACTTGCATTATAACTATCCTTTTACATAAATAGTAAAACATCAATTATCATTTATATTCCCATTAGGTTAATTTAATTAAGCGTGACCGGTTTGACCAATTTAACTATTTTCCCCTGTCAAATCTTTAGAAAAGACATCGCCCGTCCAAAAAATATCTCAATATCTCTTTGACAACTCTAATTAGTTGATTAGCCCAACACATTGTGCGCTAGGGCTTCGTATTATACAGGCGAAGGATGGGCCCGGGTATTGGTCTACATATCAAATTTGGGCGGGGTTTTTTAAATTTTATCAAAGGGAAGAAAATTTTAATTTTCTATTTCCCATTAAAATTTATCACTAAAAAGGAAAAATTAAAAAAATTTGAGGGTGTTTCTCCAATATCAAAATCTTTTCCTAAACGATTACCCCGAAATGGGGAATTTTAATGCGTAACCCCTACTTTCTTTTTTTGGAACTTTCAACTTTCGATTTTATACAAGTTGTTAATGCATAATTCATTCATTTAACACACGTTTAAGGTAGCTTTACATGATTAATAGCATGTCCATTTTTTAGCGAACGATTTAATGTTGACTAAAATGGATTTTACGTCAAAATTGACACTTAAACTTCACGGTCAAACTATCTGTTATAATTATTTTAAATAGAAAATAGTTGAAGGAAAAAACCCATTTCTAAAAATAAACACCCTGTCACACTCAGTGGACAGAGGACATAGTAATTATTTTCTCAAGGGTAAAGACTAGTAAAAAAGAAATTGTACAAATTTTAATTTGTATAAAATACAAGTTATGCCTTTATAAAGGGTTTGTAAACGTTGCATATTAGTCGGACGAGAACAAGTATATTTGATATTAAAGAACAACTTGCGTTATGTTCAATACCCTATTACAAGTACTGTCATATCAAACATTAAGTAATGAATATCAAATACGTATTTGAAACTATAGCTTAAAATTTAGATGTAAAAAGTGGAATAACATTAATTAAGCGCCATTTATCATATATGTAATAGAAAGAACATCGAAACACGAGGCTATCTGATTTGTACGAGGGGGCGTAGCCCCCGAGTATTAATCAGATTGCCGAGTGTTTTGATGTTCTTTCTCTTTTGTATCATAGTCAAACATAAAAACACGTTCCCTGATGTCACAATATGAAACCCCAGAAAAAGGAACCAATGAACAAGCATCTGAATAGGATATATTCCTATCGCTTTCCCTTTCCCCGTCATCACAATATGTAACCCCAGATAAAAAATGAACCAATCAATGGGCATACTCTGCAGTGCGGGTAACTAATACCTGCACTCCAGTTAACGCAGAAATGCATGTTAAGTATACGATTTAACTCTGACACATTTTAAACAGAAAGGTCCCCAAACTATGATACAAATATATGTATGTATCAATCCTTAGATTACTTGTCCGATGTGTGTACCGCTCGGGCATGCCGGCACCTGTATATAATGAACAAAATTAAAGGCACACTTCATGCAGAATGAATAAATTTCCAAATCTGTAGAAAGGACACACGTGTATCTCGTGGTGCATATCCATACCTTCTTTGCGACATTTACTGACACGGTACTCTCTTTGGACATGCACGGGTCATTCTCTGCCGATATACACCAATCTTGTAAATGTTCTATTGATAAAAGGTGGTATGTGGAGTGAAAAAGAAGTATACCAAGCAACACTAAAATACATTAACTATTTCTTTCTAAGGTATTTGTCCATTTTTGCAATTACTGTAGCTCCTCAATAAGCTACACATGAAGAAATAAGTTAAAACATCACCTTGGGTGTACTCGGTGTGCAGCTTTCTACTTTCGTTTTCGGTATTCTTAGGGTCTATATCCGGTGGACGCTGTACAACAGTGATACAATTTTAACAAAACAACTATAGGAAAGAAGGAAAAATAAAAAAAAAGTATAAGAAGAACCCAATCTGGATAACAAAATACGTGGTTGAAAAATAAGAGTTCTTTCCATGAAAAATTTAAGTGCAGAGAGAAAACATTCTTTAAATGTGGAAATTAATTATCTTAACCGCATGAAAAATATCATACAAGTAAGAGGAAGTAAGAAATATAATGAAATGGTTAAGTGATTTTATATTTTTTCTCCTCAGTGCTAAGTGTTTAAGTTTGTAGGTAAACCGATTTAAAGTTTGGGGTCAAGACAATACATTGTCTTTTTTATTTCTTGTTAATAATTGTTTCACAAACAAGGAATAAAAAATGTTAAAAATAACAAGAGCTGTCGGAAGGACAGCACGCTCGACTATTCTTAGTGTTTGATAGTAAAAGATCTTTGATAATGTAAAATTTTATAATACTTTTCCTTTAAATCCATGGTAGAGTTATAGGCCTTGGAGAGAGTCCTATTATGCTCTCAAAGAAGTGTATAAAATTTCAACTTGTTTCAAAGCAAGATGTCAATTGAATAGTGGTATGCAAACTTTAATGGAAATTCTAAATCGAAAAAGGGCATTATTCTGTCAAAATGCTTGATAGAGTTACCTCCAGTTGTCTACAGATTTTGGACATGATGGTTAACAACTGTGCAAAGTTTCGAAGCCATATGTCAATGGACTTTGCAAATATTTTAGGTGTTACAAAAACTTCAAAGTAAATTCTAAGTCGAAAAAGGGACACAATTCTGTCAAAATGCTTGATTGAGTTACCTCATCCTGCGTAAACGTTGAGGCCATGATGGTGAACAAGTCTGCAAAGTTTCAAAGCCATATGTCAATGGACTTTGAAAATATTTGAGGTGAAATGCAAACTTTAATGCAAAGTCAAGTTGAAAAAGGAGCATAATTCTGTAAAATGTTTGAATAATTTACTTCCTCCTGTCTACAGATTAGGGACATGAAGGTGAACAAGTGTGCAAAGTTTCAAAGCCATATGTCAATGGACTTTGAAAATATTTTAGGTGGTACCCAATCTTTAAAACAAATTGAAAAAAGGGGCATACTTCTCTCAAAATGCTTGATAAAGTTACCTCATCTTGTCTAAAGATTGGGGACATGATGGTGAACAAGTGTGCAAAGTTTCAAAGCTCTGTCAATGGACTTTGAAAATATTTGAGGTGTTACAGAAACTTTAAGTTGATTCTAAGTTGGAAAAAGGGGCATAATACTGTCAAAATGCTTCATAGAGTTACCTCCTCTTGTCTAAAGATTGGGGGCATGATTGTAAACAAATGTGCAAAGTTTCAAAGCCGTATGTCAATGGACTTTGAAAATTTATGAGGAGTTACATTAACTTTAAGCTAATTCTAAGTCGTAAAAGGGGCATAATTCTGTCAAAATGCTTGATAGAGTTACCTCCTCCTGTCTACAAGTTGGGGTCATGATGTTAAACAAGTGTGCAAAATTTCCAAACCATATGTCAATGGACTTTGAAAATATTTGAGGTGTTACAAAAACTTTAACATAAGTGGGTACGCCGACGCACATGCTCGGGTGACTAGGATAGCTCTACTTATTCTTATCGAATAGTCAAGCTAAAAATGATGACTACTGGAACGAATATTAATAACTGAATATCATAGAATGTTGTTGGTAAGAGAGAAAGATACTCTCTTCTTACAATGCTACTAATAGTTACATGGTCACGTGGTAAGGGTGAATACCTATCAGCACATCGATCCTGCGATTTTCGCCCTTGAAGAGTTGAATTTTACATAATAAATCGAAACTACTTATTTCCAGGACAAGAGACCAATGCACTAATTTTTTTTCAACATAAATGTAAATGTCAACCCTGTATATATTTAGAGATCAGTTAAAACAGAGTCGGGAATGTGATCTTCAAAAGCTTCTGTGGCCTTAAGCACAAGCTGGGCTGTATTTTGATTAAGGAAATTTATTCCAAAAAATCTCCTTTATTAACAATAGGTTAATTGACCTACTTTTAATTGGTAATTGCGCATCCGTAAAAATATAAATGTATAATTAAACGTATTTAAAACATAAGCTCAGACGATGGAAGGGAAAGTGTTTATGGAATATTAAAAAATAAATTACTTAATTTCTGTGATTTGACAATGGAGTTTTCTTTTTGCATTAACTTTAATTTTTCTAGTGATTGCTGACTCCAAATGTAATTAAATTTAAAAATACATCCCTGTATCTTATGTTTTCCCTTTATTTTAAAGTAAATCTCATTTTTTAACTAAACTCCCTATTCAAGCTAATTATTGAAATCTTCTTTACAGATTACTAGTATTAACGAAAAAAAAAAGGAAATTTAAAGGCACATATTACCTCAGAAACAAATACAGCTTTACTTCTTTAGAAAGTGCAAGCATAAATTTCATGATGTTTAAAAAGTGCCTGGCGATAAATGTACAATAATTAAGCATAAAAGTAGCAAAATGTTGAAAAGGTTTTTTAGCTCACCTGTCACAAAGTGACAGGGTGAGCTTTTGTGATCGCTTTTCGTCCGGCGTCCGTCCGTCCGTCCGTCCGTCGTCCGTAAACTTTTGCTTTAAATGACATCTCCTCATAAACCACTGAGCCAATTTCATCCAAACTTCACAGGAATGTTCCTTTGGTGGTCACCTTTAAAAATTTGTTCAAAAGAATTTAATTCATACAGAACTCTGGTTGCCATGGCAACGCGAAAGAAAAACCTTTAAATATCTCTTTTAAACAACCCTAAGAGCTAGAGCCTTAGATATTTGGCATGAAACATCTTCTAATGAGTGTCTACCAAGTTTGTTCAAATAAAAAGCCCTGGGGTCAAAATTGGCCCCGCCCCAGGGGGTCATAGATTTTCCCTATATGCATATAGTAAAAACTTAAAAAATCTTCTTTTAAAGATCCCAAAGAGCTAGAGCTAAGATATTTGGCATGAAACATCTTCTAGTGAGTGTCTACAAGTTTGTTCAAATAAAAGCCCCTGGGGTCAAAATTGGCCCCGCCCCTGGGGGTCATTGATTTTCCCTATATGCATATAGTAAAAACTTTAAAAATCTTCTTTTAAAAGAACTGTAAGAGCTAGAGCTTAGATATTTTGCATGAAACATCTTCTAAGTGAATGTCTACCAAGTTTGTTCAAATAATAAACCCTGGGTCAAAATTGGCCCCGCCCCAGGGGGTCATTGATTTTCCCTATATGCATATAGTAAAAACTTAAAAAATCTTCTTTTAAAGAACCAAAAAGAGCTAGAGCTAAGATATTTTGCATGAAACATCTTCTAGTGAGTGTCTACAAAGTTTGTTCAAATAAAAGCCCTGGGGTCAAAAATTGGCCCCGCCCCAGGGGGTCATTGATTTTCCCTATATGCATATAGTAAAAACTTAAAAAATCTTCTTTTAAAAAACTGTAAGAGCTAGAGCTTAGATATTTGGCATAAAACATCTTCTAGTGAATGTCTACCAAGTTTGTTCAAATAAAAACCTGGGGTCAAAATTGGCCCCGCCCCAGGGGGTCATTGATTTTCCCTATATGCATATAGTAAAAAACTTAAAAAATCTTCTTTTAAAGAACCAAAAGAGCTAGAGCTAAGATATTTGGCATGAAACATCTTCTAGTGAGTGTCTACCAAGTTTGTTCAAATAAAAACCCTGGGGTCAAAATTGGCCCCGCCCCAGGGGGTCATTTTATTTTCCCTATATGCATATAGTAAAAACTTAAAAAATCTTTTTTTAAAAAAAAAACTGTAAGAGCTAGAGCTTAGATATTTGGCATAAAACATCTTCTAGTGAATGTCTACCAAGTTTGTTCAAATAAAAGCCCTGGGGTCAAAATTGGCCCCGCCCCAGGGGGTCATTGATTTTCCCTAAATGCATATAGTAAAAACTTAAAAAATCTTCTTTTAAAGAAACCTTAAGAGCTAGAGCTTAGATATTTGGCATGAAACATCTTCTAGTGAATGTCTATCAAGTTTGTTGAAATAAAAGCCCTTGGGTCAAAATTGGCCCCGCCCCAGGGGGTCATTGATTTTCCCTATATGCATATAGTAAAAACTTAAAAAAATCTTCTTTTAAAGAACCCAAAGAGCTAGAGCTAAGATATGTAGCATGAAACATGTTCTAATGGGTGTCTACCAAGTATGTTCAAATAAAAGCCCTGGGGTCAAAACTGGCCCGCCCTGGGGGTCATTGATTTTCCTTATATGTGTATAGCAAAAACTTAAAAATCTTCTTTGAAAAAACCAAATAGCTAGAGTTTAGATATTAAGCATAAAACATCTTTAAGTAAATATCTACAAAGTTTGTTCAAATAAAAGCCCGGGGTCAAAACTGGCCCTGCCCCAGGGGTGTCATTGTTTTTAACTATATGTGTATAGTAAAAACTTAAAAAATCTTCTTTTAAAAAACCCAATGAGCTAGAACTTAGATGTTTAGCATGAAACATCTTCTTATGGGTATCTACCAAGTTTGTTCAAATAAACAAATAAAAGCCCTTGGGTAAACATTTGCCCGGGGGGGGGGGGCTATATACAGGTGAGCGACCTCAGGGCCATCATGGCCCTCTTGTTACATACAGCATACTCATTCACTACAAAAAGCGACTGATGAAAAAATGGGTTCCGGTAAAATTGGCCAATGAATAAGTTTTTGATTACTATAAAATACACCAAAATTAAAAACCTTTTGATAAAAAAATTGAAATACATTTCTGAGGCATAATGGGCCTTTAAAAAGGTACAGAATTGCCCTTACTGCATTGATAACGCAGTAGAAATATAGTGAAAAATACTGCAAAACCAGTCAATAAGTATAATATGTTGAATTTTGTAAAGTCCAAAATGTGAACAAGATCCGTTCACAAATAACCTATGTATACAGAAAAATGTCAGTGTCGTGTACAAAAAATTAAGCCATTGAAACTGGACGATATAACAATACTGACCGACAACAACAATACTGTACTCAATGTAACATAGATATGATTGAAGATCCTTATCAATTTTTACTTGTTTGTCCTAAATACAGACAGTTACGAATCAAAATTTTCACCTAGTATTTTTGCAGATGGCCGTCTATTCAGAAGTTCATTACTTTAAGGTCAACAGATTCTATAAGATCAATTTACAAATTAGGTCGATTTTTATATTTGGCTTTTAGAGGAAGACAATGAGTTCATTCCCATTTAGACTATATATTTGTATGGCTATAAATATTGTTTGTATTTAATGCAAATAAAATATCATGTTCTGTTCTATTCTGTTCTGTTTATCTCTGAATGATTTGAACTTCTTCTTCTTTCTTTTTGGTAAAATAACCAAACTGTGTCGTGAATATTGATTAATTAAGTAGATACAATTGTTAATTGTAGCACAAGTACTTGCGAGAATTAAATATATTATCACAAGTAGTAAAATATCATTTACATACCCATTAGGCTAATTTAATTAAGTGTGACCGGTTTAACCCATTTAACTTTTTTCCCTACTGTCAAATCTTTGGTTAAGACAGTTCCCGTCCAAAAATATCTCGATGTCTCTTTGACAACTCTAATAAGTTGGTTAGCCCAATAAATTCGTGAAGTTAGCCAGACAGCCGGAACAGCCGGAGCAGCCGGAACTCATTTTTGTCAACTCCGGATGTTCCGGCTTCTCCGGCTAGCCGGAATCCGGTTCCGGCTATACAGGCTGGCCAGAGTGGATGCGGTAAAACGTGTGCAAAAGAACATTGGCTATTTCTATAATGTAATGTCAAATTACTTATCACAACGATCTCCGGCAATTACGGCTGGCCAGAAAAACAGCCGGTCAGACCCCCAAACCATCCCACCATATGCGGTTCTGCGGAATTAAGTCTGGTCCACACAGATGCCAGCCGGAATTGGTCAGATATGAGCTGTATTGTACGATTTTCGACTCAACGTCGGCAAAATACCAGAGTATTCCCGACGGACACACCTATACCCACGGACACCCGGTCAGACCCCCTTACTATCCCACCATATGCAGTTCTGCGGAATTTAGTCTGGTCCCCACAGGGGCCAGCCGGAATTGGCCAGATATGAGCTGTATAGTACGATTTTCGGCTCAACGTCGGCAAAATACCCGAGTATTGCCGACGGACACACCTATTACCGCGGACACCCGGTCAGACCCCCTAACCATCCCACCATATGCGGTTCTGCGGAATTGAGTCTGGTCCCCACAGGGGCCAGTCGGAATTGACCAGATATGAGCTGTATAGTACGATTTTCGGCACAACGTCGGCAAATACCAGAGTATTCCCGACGGACACCCGGACACACAATGCATGACACATTTTTTTTCATCTTATGTGGCCTTGATTTCTGTTTAACTGGCCAGCCGTAATTGCCGGAGATCATTGTGATAAGTAACTTGACATTATATTATAGAATAGCCAATGTTCTTTTGCACACGTTTTACCGTATCCTTTCTGGCCAGCCTGTATAGCCGGAACCGGATTCCGGCTAGCCGGAAGAGCTGGAGTTGACAAAAATGAGTTCCGGCTACTCCGGCTGTTCCGGCTGTCTGGCTAACTTCACGAACATCACAAATGTTACCTTAAATACTAAAATATTATACGTCTTAAACTTTATCAACCCATAATTCATAACTGCAAATATGCGTTTCTGGACAGCTAACAATTAAATAAACAATTATGTTTACACGCTATTAGGTACAATCACCGCTCATGTGATGACATGCCCATCAATTTATCTACAATTAGGCATATCTTACACGTGTGTCCGGTGAAAGCTTTATCATAATTAACATATCCGCCTTAATATATCCGCCTATTTTGTTGACTAAGTACCGTCTAATTACCGTTATCCTACACATTTCCTTTATTAACAATAGATTAATTGACCTACTTTTAATTGGTAATTGCTTATCCGTAAAAATATCAATGTATAATTAAACGTATTTAAAACATTAGCTCAGACAATGCAAGGGAAAGTGTTTATGGAATATTATAAATAAATTACTTAAATTCTGTGATTTGACAATGGAGTTTTCTTTTGCATTAACTTTATTTTTTCTAGTGATTGCTGACTCCAAATGTAAGTTAAATTATAAAATACATCCCTGTATCTTATGTTTTCCTTTATTTTAAAGTAAATCTCATTTTTTAACTAAACTCCCTATTCAAGCTAATTATTGAAATCTTCTTTACAGATTACTAGTATTAACGAAAAAAGGGAAATTCAAAGGCACATATTGCCTCAGAAACAAATACAGCTTTACTTCTTTAGAAAGTGCAAGCATAAATTTCATGATGTTTAAAAATGTTTAGCGATAAATGTACAATAATTAAGCCTAAAAGTAGCAAAATGTTAAAAAGGTTTTGATTCCCAAACAGAATACTTATTCACTATAAATGTACTTATTGCCAAAAAGCGACTGATGAAAAAATGGGTTCCGGTAAAATTGGCCAATGAATAAGTTTTTGATTACTATAAAATACACCAAAATTAAAAACATTTTGATAAATTAATTGAAATACATTTCTGAGGCATAATGGGCCTTTAAAAAGGTACAGAATTGCCCTTACTGCATTGATAACGCAGTAGAAATCCCAGCAAACATGCATATATGGGACCCATATGGGCTATATCTAGGCAAGCCCATATGGGTATGCCCATATTGGACCTATATGGGACCAATATGGGCAAGTCCATTTGGGTACGCCCATATTGGACCCATATGGGTCCCATATTACAGCACTATAAGGAAAAACGATTTTTCGTTTATTTATTTCTTTAGAACTTGCTTACTTTGAGCTATTGTGTGACCACCTTGGCATAAATTGCTATTATCTTTTATAAAAATCGTAGCATTAACATATATACAAGCCATGAGGGACCCATATGGGTCCCATTCGGGCAACCCAATAAATATTAGCATGCCTGAGCAGGTGCGAGAAATTAATTTGTTTAGTTTTTATATTGGTTTTAATTTTTATAATCTAAATATAAAAATGTGTTTTTAGACTATTAATTCAGAAATAATTTATAAAAATCAGCATTTGATGAAAAATTTATTTCAAGCATGCGCAGACGTGATTTCCGCTGCCGCTTAAAATCAAATTGTGTATTGAAACGTTAAATTGTAAAATTGTACACGAAAACAATATTTCATTTCAATTCGGAACATTTAACGACGATTTCGTATAACGACCTTTCATATTATATCCTTACAGATTTATTGTGTGTGTAGGTAAGTGTAAACGTCATTTATTTTTTGTTTTTGCCTTTGCCATGTAATTTCGCGATAGTTTTTGTCAGTTTAATTTGCGACATTTTCTAGAATTTACGCCCACTATTAGGCACTTTAGCTGACCTATGGATGTGTATAGTTGTTATTGTTGAATAACTTAACTGTGACGGAGTCGACACTAACATTTTAATAATATTGTTTCTATCTAGACTAAATTTTAAGAGATCCTTTTTTAAAGGGACACCATCATTTGAAATCCAGTGACCCCTCCTAGCCTTAGAAGTCCCTTCCATTTTGTACCAATATTTCATTCATAAGCATTTTAAAATATTAAATGCAAATACTTATTATTACAAATTCAAGTATTTTTTCCAAGTACCAACCAAGCCCTATGTTGCACAGGCACGAGTATCGGACCTGGGAAGAAAAAATATGACCCGAAAGATAATTAAACCTGTGTTCATCTTTAAAAGGTCAAAAACCGAAAAAAATTGTAAATTATACCCCCCTTTAAAAACATACTTTAAGTTAAGAGAAGGCCAGAAACTCCAGATTCGAGCCTGCAAGCAAGGGATTCACTTCCCGGGCCGTTGTGAAAACAATTGTCCAGACAATTAAAAAAATCTTTTATCACTTTCACGTTTGTATTAAGCTTCCAAATGGGACCAAGTCTTTAGCCCTTCCCGTTCATGAAATATCTATCGGGGAAACAAACGCATTCGTGCTAAAAATCCTTGGTAGACAAAATTGCGGCACAACAATTTGGTACGTAAACATAGACTAGTACATGTTTGCCAGCCGATTACGGGTCATAATCATATTGTCACTTGGCGCAATAACTCACTTAATGTATATGTATTTTATAATTACTTATTAATGTATTTTTATTTTATTGTAAATAGGCCATCAAAAAGGCTGTATGAATATAGTGGCACTGATGAGAATGAGACAGACGCAGAGAGTAGGCCACCACAAGTTATTGACCAAGCAACAACGCCCAAAGAGTCACAAAGCCTACTTTCATCTCCGCCTCGCTTATCTGCACAGGCATTGCGAGAGGCCAGCAGTGATGTGCAAAGTGCTTCTCCAATACAAGGTGCTTCTGATACACCCTTCCGTGGGCAGATTATTTGGCCCAGTAAGTATAAACTTCGGAGCTATAAATATATTTATTATTACAGTACATACTTATTAAATGTTATATTCTCAAAACAAGTCAATAAATGTTATAACAAGCTGGATTGAGTGACACAGCCAAAAATGGAAAGTTTCACCTTGTGACGCCCCTAGTTCAAAAAATATTCAAAAGAAATTGATGATTACTTATGTTAGTCTTTATCATGATGTGAATTTGTGCGCATATTCTTGCCTGACCCCACTACTGTTATCCAAAGTTACGGTCCCTGGAAGAGTCAAGAATGTTTATTTTCACCAAATGACATGCCTAGGCTCAAAAATATGTTAAGTTTAATTCATGATTTCTTATCATTTTCACATTTTGTGACCTTGCACACTCAACAATCCTTTTGAGATTTTAGCGTTAATTACTGTTAAAGCCAAGGAAAAATTTAAAATACTGGATTTTTTTCATTTGAGCCGGGTCATGACAAAACCAACATAATGGGTTTGAGACCAGCATGGATCCAGACCACACATAGCTCTAAAAGTATATGGCTTAGAATTATGACATCTTTTTTTCAGCTGCTGTTACACAGATTCTCCGAGTCTTGAGGACAATGCGAGAAAAGAATCGTGAAATTAAGAGGATGGTACAGCGAATGCTGTTAAGGTCAGCAACAGATGACCAACCGCTGCAACTTCCGAAAGATATCTCATTCCCTTTTCGTTATCCTGAGCAGATGGAAGCATTCGATAAGCTTCTGGGAGATCAGACAATGCTCTCATCTGTGGTAAGCATAGTGTTAGTCATGTATGTTGCTCCATTAGTAACTGAAAAAAGTATACCCCATATCCACTGGCCTAAAAGCGAAATAACATAATGGTCTGTGGTGAGCACTTGATGATAATGTATAATCATTCTGCTATATTTATGTTGGAAAATATTGCACAGTGGACAAACACTTTGCTGCATTAATTTCAGAATTAAAAACTGGCATGTTTTAATTTTTTGATTCATATTGACACAGTTATGTTATTTATATATGCTATAATAGCCATGAGCACAAGACATGGGCAGTTGGCCTCGTTTTCAACATTAATTATTAATTAGGACAAGACAGTCAATTCATTAATCAAAATGCTGGCAGCTTTCAAAATACCAGGAAAATGACTAGTACCCACAAAATCCAGGAATTGAGCTGTTATTATATTATCAAAAATTATTCTGTTGATATTGAATAAACTCTTGTATAAAAAAAAACAATGATAATGTGCCCCATAACACTCGGTGGAGGGGACAAACATAAAGGCACAAGTCACTAAGGTGTTGTCCTAGGCTGTAAATATATGAGGGAAGATCTTTTAATTTGTCAATCCAAACAGTTTTCTTGGCAGATTATGTTTTTGAGGTCCAGTTGACAATTATTTGTCATTTGGTGACTTGCAGCCCATCACTTAGTAGTGTTAAAATTAACATTAAAAAAAGTTTATGTTCTGCTTTATTTAAGGTGCGGTTCCTCTCAATGTTTGGTATGGCAGATGTACGGGAAACTGTTGACCGCTTGATGAAAGAAACCATGTCAAATGAACTGGCAAGAATGTACAATATGAAGTGGCTGAAGGGGAAGGAAAAGTTTGTGGGCCTCTAGATACTGAATGTATTGTATAGTAAGTGATATTTTACAAATTTGCAAAGTGGTGTCTTCAAAATAGATATATTATCCAAGATCTTGTTATTGTGTCTTCGGGTATTGCTTTAATAAAGGAAAATGCTTGACTAGCTTTTATGGAAATTAATAAGAGAGAATATTTTACATGCTGTGTGGTTTTGATCCCATGCATTGTGTTGTGATGCATAATATAAACAGAAATCACCTTCCTGTAAAGCAACTTATTTGCTGACCTTAACATTCTTTACTGATACACCGATAAGATGATCTCAGCTTACAACTGACTGCAGCGATATCACAGAAATATTTTGAAAAGCTATGTAAAACCAGGAAACAAACATCTTTATTTGGTAAAACATACCAGAATTAGTTTATATTCCAATTTATACTGCTCAAAATGCTACAAGGTGGCTTATGACCTTTGAATGGTTTCAATACCTTCATTTCACTTCATTTCATTCTTTAAGGATAAGAATGCTTGTTTTGTAGAATGTGTCCAAAGGAACTTGCCGACAAAGGCTGCAACGAGGAAGGATGTTGAAATAGAGGTTTCAAAGTGGCTGGCTGGGGCGCGGGACCGCGATGGGGGAAGGAAAGCAAGAAACAAAGTGTCAGAGACCTTACCTGAAGAAAATGAAGGAAGTGACTAGACATGTTTTTAATTTAAAAATGCAAATTTATAGAGGATATTTGTTTGTTTGTGTGTAAGATGAAATTTTATATCATCAAGAGAGCTTTAAAAACAGTATTCTCATGAGTGGCTATGCGCTCGTGAGAACACTGTTTTTTAAAGTTCCTTCAATGATATAAAATTACATCTTACACAACAAACAATAAAGTGTCTTTTTATTTTATGCTAATGAAATTTCCTCAATATTAACGTTAATATTAAATCTGTTTTCCCCACTGTTAACATCAATTTTAGTTGAATTTAAGTCCAATTTCTCATAAATACAGGAAGTCTTGGGCTGAAAAATAAGTTTGACAATCAACGTTGAATAGCCATGATATTATTTATTGAATTCAAAAAATTTGAATGATGATAAAATCTTTAAAAAGTAGTCTCGTCATAGAAAAGTTTGAAATTTTAATCATTTCACTGTGAAATTATCAAATATATTTTTCACGGATACATCAGTAATACACTCAAAAGCATAAAATAAATGACTTTTATTTTACATTTTCAAACCTTTACTTCATCTGCATATAAGTTATTCCACTGATTGAAAGTCAATATGTATCAAGGTATTTTTAAAATGTGATAAGGGTCAGAACTACAGTAAGCGGCTCATTTGTTTATCTTGTTATACTTTTGTTGCTAATTTTAATGTTTGAGGTCATCAGCATAGCATGTCTTTCTTGTAAATGCAAAATTCTTGGAAAGTCAAATTTTGCCTTCTAGTCAGTATATTCTGCTGCTATGTTATGTTTGTTGTTGACATTAATGCTGTTTTTCTGTTGTCTATATGCTGTTGTTTTTTTCCATTAAACATTGTTACTGCACGGAGGAAGGTAGTCTAGTACTGGTGTAACTCTCCAGAAACGATGGTTAGGAAACTACCCGCCTATATGACGTAAAAGGCGCAAAATGAAACAAACAAAAAACATTGTTACTATTTAAATCAAGACATTAAATGCTTGGGGAATGTTTTTGATACTGATCAATACAATTATAACATCTTGTCAAAACTTGACACTAACAGGGAACACATGTATTGATATGGTATTAACCTTTAAAATAAAGTTGAAATACTTTACAATGATGATTCTTGTAATCTTTATTGTTGTTATTGTTGAAACTTTGATAATATCGGAGAAATTACTAAAACCAATTATTTTTACTGACAATTTTTTTAATGAATTTCTTCACAACAAATTTGATCTAAAATATCACATTTTAATTATTATTGATTTTTACAAACTTGTACAAACTATTTTTTACTTTTCATCAGCTGCATATTTTGTTTACATGTCTATAAACAGTATTTCAATGTGCCAAGATTTTGTGTATTATATTTGTTACTTTTCATCAGCTGCATATTTTGTTAACACGTCTATATAAACAGTATTACAACCGTGCCAACCTTTTTTGTATTACTTTTTGTTACTTTTCATTAGCTGCATATTTTGTTGACAATTACAACAGTGCCAACCTTTTGTGTATTATATTTGTTACTTTTCATTAGCTGCATATTTTGTTTACACGTCTATTAACAGAATTACAACCGTGCCAACCTTTTGTGTATCATATTTGTTACTTTAGCTGCATATTTTGTTAACACGTCTATATAAACAGTATTACAACCGTGCCAACCTTTTTTGTATTACTTTTTGTTACTTTTCATTAGCTGCATATTTTGTTGACAATTACAACAGTGCCAACCTTTTGTGTATTATATTTGTTACTTTTCATTAGCTGCATATTTTGTCCACACGTCTATAAACAGTATTACAACCGTGCCAAGGTTTTGTTAATTATATTAATTTTTTTTCATCAGCTGCATAATATTTTGTTTACACATCTATGAACAGTATTACAACCGTGCCAAGGTTTTGTTAATTATATTAATTTTTTTTCATCAGCTGCATAATATTTTGTTTACACATCTATGAACAGTATTACAACTGTGCCAAGGTTTTGTTTATTATATTTGTTACTTTTCACGAGCTGCATAACATTTTTTTCTTCAGCACTACCATACCAAAGTGTAATACATGGTTGTAATGAACAACTTTTTATATTAATTGATGTAGATCTATATCATTTGAAAATGAAAGTAATTGGTAGATAGAAATTTGTAATGAATTACAGTAAATGTATAATACTTTTTCTATGAATTATGTAGAAAGTTAAAAAGACATTTGGGGTCATACTGCTGATTCACTGAAATTTAAACATTATACACATATATTTCTTGGAGTTCCAAAGACCTTCTGTAAAGTTTTACCAGTGTCTAGCATAAGTTTCATTTTTCCTTGGTATCTAATGTTATGAAACTGCATTTTTAATTATTTTGTTCGTACATTATAAACAGTTTTCCATTACATGTTGCTTATTAAGTGTACCAAAGTAATATTTACTACATAGGACTTTTTGAATAATAATTAATATTTCTGTATTTTTGAATTAAAAACTATGTAGTCAAAATGAAATTCTGTGGATTTACAAATATGTACAGTTTAGGATTTTATATTGTACACTTTTCTAAGTTTATTTACATAAGTAAAGGTTTCTTTGTTGACATCAGGCGTCCACAGAATGTATTGAGAATCTGTATGTATATGATATACACTTACCATAAGTGAGATTACTAAATAAAGTTACATTGTTAAAGCATATACATTGTGTATTGTTTTCTTGCATGATCATAAAGGCTTTGTGCCATAATCTGTCTGTTCCAGGAAACGGAATGAGTTAAAACATCACTTGAATATTTAATGCAAGTACAAGAATCATGCCCTGTAGCAAGCGGTTGCTATCTTAACGTCCAGCAAACTTATAATTGAAGTAATTGAAAATAGATCTACCCCGGAATTCAAAATCTACCCATAATGGAAGTATCTGGGCTGCCCATTTGAAACCCATATTTAGTACAAGGGCTGCCCATGTGGGGCCCATATTGTGTAAATGGGCTGCCCAGATGGGGCCCATGTGAATCCCATATTGAGTATAAGGGCTGCCCAGATGGGACCCATTTGGAACCCGGTTGCACTTCCTATATGGGGCCCATATGGGCAGCCCAAATGGGACCCATATAGGTGCCCATATGGGCCCCACATGGGTCCCATATAGAATGCTATCTGGGATATAGTGAAAAATACTGCAAAACCAGTCAATAAGCACACATAACGTGTAAATTATTACTTTTATATTGAATTTCTTAACTTTCATAAAATGTCAACACTCATTCTCAAGTTTGATTTTATTGAAATTTGTTGGCTCATCTGGAGGCATGCAGATGAAAACAACAAATAAAACAAACAACAACATGTATATATAGTATTTGCCAGACTCAAATTAACAATACTAGCTCAGAGAATGAATTATAGTTTTCTTAAATAAAAATATCAAGGAATATACAGTTATTTCCCCAAACTTCATTTTTATTTCTAGCTCAAGAAATGACGCCATGGGGCAGCGTTCAAATTTCAACATGTGACGTCCCTCTGTTTGATACTCCATTTTCCATCTGCTGTTACACCGAAAATCTACCAAACGATACAATAATCTATTTCTCGAACAATTTTGGTCACGTGGCCAAAATAAAACCACAATGTCGTTATGGCGTAGAACAACATTCTGATAATATGACGTCAAATTGCAAATGGATTGGAAATATGAAGGTGTATTATCTTACGATACATGGTAAATTTCTACAAGACTATGCAGACGTTACTTTCGAATGCGGTTACTTTGTCAGAAAAAGAGAATTGAAAATAACTGGTAAGGGGTCATTACTTTTATGCAGATTAGTTTATACTAATTTATTTTATTTTTGTTTAAGAACCTATTAGTTCATTGAAACACTCTCGAATCCGTTCCTAGAACCAGTACTAAGCAATGAGTGTAAAGTTTTTTGCTCACCTGACGGTGTTTGTACCCATACGGCCAGCAATCCTTACATTACCAGTCCGACACGTTAAACACTCGGCCACGCCGCAATTTTTACAAATTTTATTTCATTGTAACATTAATTTTGAATAAAATCTGTTTTGTTTTTGTTTTTTTTCCTATGTACAAGTAAATTATTGTATATTCCCGACCCACAACCACTGAGAATAGTGGGGGTTATGATCCTTTTTATTTGTTAAACTCTTTGTAAAGACCTCGAGTGGTGAAATAAAGTTCCCCGCTAAATACCCATACACTGCGGGTTTGATATATCTCCGGCACAAGTCATTGGTCATTGACCTCGTAGTACGGAGACAGTACGGACACCGTTAGGACCATGGTTATATTTAATGATCAAGAGGGGCGACAATGCGATGACGACAATATGACAGTGGATGACAGCAATAGTGCGATGGCGACAATGCGATAATGCGATGGCTACAGTGCGATAACGCGATGACGACAGTGCGATAAAGCAATGGTGACAACACGATAGTGCGATAATACTATCCTGTTGTCGCCATCGCGGTATCGTATTGTCGCCTTCGCGTTATCGCACTGTCGTCATCGCGTTATCGAACTGTCGCATTATCGCCATCGCATTTTCGCACTGTGGTCATCGCACGTTCGTATTGTCGCCATCGCGTTATCACATTGTTGATTATCGCCTTCCGGTACCACCGTGTATATCCAGTAACGCCGGAATGTGAAAATAACGCACGATTCGTGCAATAAGTAACGCAGAAATGTGCAATAAATGGCGGATAACTGACAGAATTTCCAACGCGGTAAGTAAACTGGCCAATATATGTTTTACTTAACCGAACTGAAAGAAAGTAATAGCCGCATACGGCTGCAAAGACATTACTCTTTATCCCTCATCAAGAGAATTTCCAAAAAAATGTTTACTTTTCAAGATCATTCGTGAAAATGATGACTTGTTCACTGTTTTGAGCAAGATTTTGGCTTTTTGTCGACTCTTATAAGTACAAAAATGTATATTATACCGTATAATTTCGATTTTCGGTGGGCAAGTGATATTTTCTTATCTTCTGTGACATAAAAAATTGAAATAAGCTGATAAAATGTGATTCAATCCGTCATTATGAGGTAACGCCGATGTTCGTGAATTGTGCTTCACGGTAACGCCGGAAAATGTGATTATGTCATATATTGTACTGAACTGTTATACTGGTTTAACGCCATTAATAAGCGAGTATCAGCACTTTTCAAATATATTTTTATGGGGAAACTTTAATTCATTTTATACATAATTTATTTTAGATTGATTGGTAGTAAATAGAGACACAGTCTCGAATCCGTCCCTGAAACCACGGAGCTATAAGCTTCGTATTATAATTAATGTTTGTTGAAGTGAGTACGAGGCAATGCGTGAAATGTCTCACTCAAGGGAAAAAAATGGGGTAGCAACGGTGTATCAATTTCTCAATACCCTTTGAGATGGTAGTTATGAAAATGGGCTTTGTTAAATTATAGAATGTTTCATTGTTCTCACTCTTTAATTATTTGGCATAGTAAACATGAGGATGTCCACTTTTAGACCTTCATGACATGGATAGATAAAATCTCCCAAAACACATCTCTAGTAGCACTCCACATGTACATTGAGTTAAGAAACCAAAATATATTCAACCTGTCTTTAGGCTATGTCACCCTTTACCTGGTAAATTTATGAAACGGTTTTGCTCAGCTGTGATCTTGGAACAGTTCATTCAAAGTCCGAGAGATTGGTATTAGATATTTAATGTATTTATACAAATGAGTTAACTGAGTGAGCAAATGGTCACTCTGTATTTGTACTGGTGGCTTCTTTTAGGGTCATTAACCTGTAAGTTTTGAAAACGTCTATAGTAATGCCTAGCATAAGCTCTTACGGTAGATTTCAATGTTTTCCCATACAAGTTAACATATAATAAGGAACGTCAAGAGTAGGGTAAATCTTTACCCCAAGGGTTATAATTTATTTAACTTTAGCAGAGGACAGTAAGGTTATGCTTTTACAAGTTTTGGGTATTATAGTTTCTAAGTAAAATATCTTTTGAATACAAGTCACTTCAAAATTAAATTAAATGAATAATCCATTTTCACAGGAGTTAACCAAGCAAAGTGCTACAGCCAAATATTTGTTTTGGTTGGGTTTCTCATCACGCCAACACAATAAAGGACATGTGGAGACTTTCAAGCTTTAAAGGTGTATTATTTCAGGCATAAAATATACAAACACATCTTCTATTGATTGTTTTCTATTATTTTTATATTCAATTTATTTGCAATCGAAGTTTATTGTTCTTATTTACTTACAAGAGGTCACAAATAACTTGATTATATTTGCGTTAAACCTGTATAACAGTTCAGTGCCATATATGAAAAAAATCAAATTTTCCGGCGTTACCGCGAAGCACAATTCACGTACATCGGCGTTACCACATTAAAACGGCTTGAATCACATTTTATCAACTTATTTCAACTTTTTATATCACCAGAAAATAAGTTAATGTCACTTGCCTACCGAAAATCGAAATCATACGGTATAATATGCATTGCTGTACTTAAAACAGCCGACAAAAAGCCAAAATCTCATTTAAAACGGTGGTTTAGTACGGTGGCACAAAGGTGACATGTGTGTGTTTTTATTTATCTCGTGGCCACGAGATACTATGTCGTGGCCACGAGTTACTCAGTCGTGGCAACGAGATAGCTAAGTCGTGGCCACGAGTTACTAAGTCGTGGCCACGAGATACTATGCCGTGGTCACGAGTTACTAAGTCGTGACCACGAGATAGCTAAGTCGTGACCACGAGTTACTATGTCGTGGCCACGAGTAAGTAAGTCGTGGCCACGAGATAGCTAAGTCGTGGCCACGAGATGCTATGTCGGGGCCACGAGTAACTAAGTCGTGGCCACGAGATAGTGCTAAGTCGTGGCCACGAGATACTATGTCGTGGCCGCGAGTTACTAACTCGTGGGAACGAGATAGCTAAAGCGTCGCCAAGAGATAATTAACCAATCAGAATACTCTATATATAATATGAATTTTTTTAAACTTAACAACTTACTTTTATATGCAACATTATTCTTTGCAAATACTGAAGATATTCACTTTGAACTTGTCTTTAAGATCATATTAGAAAGTCACCTTCCAAGGCCCATCAGACATTAAATTTGATTATAGCTCTTTGTTGGGCAAGTTTGTGATCGAATTGGTCAGTTTGTACGTACAACGGCCTGTAAACCTTGTTTATACGATAACATGAGAAGGAATAAGTCCTGGTTTATTTTGTTTGTAAGGAACATTTCCCATGAACAGTAAATAGCCTCTTAGGTAAAATCCTTGTCTGATGAATAATTTAGAAAGGATAAGCCATGGTTAATGTTACCCAGAAAGATCATTGCACCTTATCAGTATATGACATCTAATAATTTCGAGATAATTGGGTCAAAAAGCAGGGTCACAGTGACGCTAAATGTAAAATTATTGACAAGTCAATAAGTTGTATAAATGGCACTTTTACAGGCTGGTGAAGAAGGGGCATCCTTGTACTATAGCACATGTCTAGTTAATTAGGAAAATTCACATATATGGTGTAATCTGATTGGTTATTTATCTCGTGGCCACGCCTTAGCTATCTCGTGGCCACGACTTAGTAACTCGTGGCCACGACATAGTATCTCGTGGCCACGACATAGTATCTCGTGGCCACGACTTAGCTATCTCGTGGCCACAACTTAGTAACTCGTGGCCACGACATAGTATCTCGTGACCACGACTTAGCTAACTCGTGGTCACGACTTAGTAACTCGTGGCCACGACAAAGTATCTCGTGGCCACGACTTAGCTAACTCGTGGCCACGACTTAGCTATCTCGTGGCCACGACTTAGTAACTCGTGGCCACGACATAGTATCTCGTGGCCACGAGATAAATAAAAACACACACATGTCACCTTTGTGCCACGTAGTCAAGCGATCATTTTCACGAATGATCTTGAAAAGTAAACAATTTTGTGGAAATAATCTTGATCAGTGATAAAGAGTAATGTTTTCGAAGACGTATGCGGCTATTCAATTTTTTTCCGGTCCGATTAAATAAGGAAAATATATTGGCCAGTTTACTTACCGCGTTGGAAATCCTGTCAGGTATCTGTCATTTTTTGCACAATTCTGCGTTACTTATTGCACCAATCGTGCGTTATTTTCACATTCCGGCGTTACTGGATATACACGGTGGGTACACATGCTCACATTCTTTTTTGTATCTGATTGGGCTTCTCTAAACTGCTCACGAATAAGCTGACGTTATAGAATATGGGGCAATAATTTTATATTTGTAAATCTATTTTTTGTTGGGGTGGGGGTGTTCTTTTTTTCTTTTTTTCCTTTTCTTCTTTTTTTATACTAAAAACGTCTTAACAAAATTTGTAAATTATTAATAAATAACATTTTATATTTAAAGATAGGGGAAATACCTAAAGAGTTAAACATACACGGAAAAAGTGGAAAATATAATAAATTGTGTTAAACTTTAATATAGTTGAAATATTTCAGATGAAAATATGTTATGTTGACATTAAAGATGCAAAAATTTAAAAATAATTGATACAAAAATAAGATTTTGTAGTGGAAAAATGATAATGATGATGATATAAATTTGAACAGTCTGTGTAAGATACAAAATAAAAAGATTCCTTATTTTTTACTGGTCAGTAGTACATAAGTTTTCTCGACAAATACAAAGATACATGTAGATCATAAATAAATGTAAATGGTCATTATTGGTCACTATAAAGTGGTCACTATAAAAATACTGCTAAA